ATCCTTAATTTATTCTAAACAGATGGTCAGGGGAAGAGGCACAAGCCCTTAATGTTTTTTTCCCTAAGTCTGCCTATAGTCCTTTTCTCCTGGAGGCCTTATGGGAATGTGGATGAGAAGATTGGGCTTTTCCAAATGGGGAAATACCTTCTTTTTTGAAATCATATATTGTAGCAGATTTTTGTGCTTTTGTTTTCTTTGCTCTTTTGTACTTGAATTCCTCAAGCAGTTCCTCCTTCTTTTCTCTTAAAGCTATCCATGGGAATTTTCTGCTCACTGGTGCTTATGATAACACAGCCAAGATCTGGACCCACCCAGGCTGGTCCCCACTGAAGACTTTGGCTGGCCATGAAGGCAAAGTGATGGGCTTAGACATCTCTTCTGATGGGCAGCTCATAGCCACTTGCTCATACGACAGGACCTTCAAGCTCTGGATGGCTGAATAGGCAGGACCAGGGAAGAAGGACTCTAAGCTCAAGCTCTTTCTTAAGGGCCGTTTTTAAAAGAAAGGAATTGACCTGTTTAGTTCATCATGTTTTTTGCCAATTACCATGTATAGACCCTCAAAAGAATTGGATTTCCAGGTCAGCCTCCACTCCAGATAGACAGCCCAATCTCTGGGTGTTGACGAACTCCTTTCATAGTTGAAATTCTAATTCTCATCTTCAAGCCTTGCCACAGACTGTGTAGACATTGTTTTTTATTAATCTTTTGTTTGAATGCCCTGTTGCCTCCTTCACAGCACTCAGGATTGTGACTGGCTACATTTTTAATTTTGAAACGTGGCTTTCCATTACATGGTACATGCTTCAGGACTCCATGTGACCCACAGAGCAAGGCAGCTGAACTGGGAGCTAGTCTGGGAGCCCTCATGGAAAGAGGCATTTCTCCCTACACACTGGTTAACCAATGCCTTGACAGAACCTTTCCTCTACCTTGAGAACGGGAGATGAAGAAGTAGACCACAGCTATGCTCAGGGTTTGCAGTAAAGAAGATTTTACCTCTTCCTGTTGAGTTTGCTTGGAATGCTGACTGCATCCGGAAGCTCAGAACTGAACATTTGCCCTGTCAGAAAAGGTCTTCCTTTTTGCTTTGAGGTTTGGCATCCTTTGTGTTACTCCGAAGCTGGGCTGTTGTGTCAAGATGGCAATGAAATTTTTAGAAAGTAAAAAGGAAGTCTGTGTGTCACCTCCTTTGTGTGGGTGATTTAGGGGACGTACCTTTTATGGCGAGGTGACTGGGAAAATCCCAAAGGTGGTGTTCCTTGACATCGACTTTTTCTCTTTTTTTCTTTATTACACACTTGCTACAGAGTAAAATCCTATGATAAAAACTGTTCTTTAAATACTTATTTTGTATAGCTGGACATTTTCTGAATCCAACTCATTGGTGCATGGGTTTTTTTTTGGGGGGGGGGTTGTTTTTTGGTTTGAGATACAACGAAAGGATATCAAATAATAGCTTATTCCAGTTTCTCTCTCCTTAGTAAGCATTCTGCTAATAGTTGTTTTTGTAGAGACTACTGCCTTCTGGGCCAGACTCCTAGCAAACTGGATCTGAACTCTGTAATTCGTACTCATTGGCCATGCAGCAGTCAGCTTATCCTCTCTCCACCCCAAGTATACAACTGCCGAACACAAAGACACAGTAAATTCTCACAAAAATATAAGAATTTGGAAGAAGAAAGGATTGCATATAGAGCATTTGAGAAGGGCTTGTATGTTGACTTTTCCTTGAATGTTCAAAATAGTTTCTATTTGCTGTTCTGGAGAAACGGACAGTGGCTTTGTCTCACTCTGTCCTGCAAACTATGAATGTGAGACTATAGCTAAATCTGTGTGGTTTAATTTTGATTATAACCAAATAGTTGCATATTTTGAGTGCCTGTTAAGCTTCTCAATTATCGGTTCTACCCTCTGTTGGACATTTGACACTTCACTATTGTTTAAGTATTAACGGGTTCTATTTCCTCCATCATTGGCTGTGAAAAATAATTTTTCATTGGTACCTTTGTAACTAACAACAAACATTAGTGTATTAGCGTGCAAATTGGATATAGTGTGTTAACAAAAGTTTTTAGTTTTTCAAGTTTAACTTTTACTATTAGTTCCATTAAACTTTTTTTTGGGGGAGGGGTTGTTCCAAGAGATTTAGAGGTAGCAATCAGATGAACACATTTCATGTAAGCCTTTGGCAAAACAGTTCCCTTGGAGAATATACATTACTTCATTGTAAGGAGGCAGTCAGCTGAGGAGCATAAATTAGATGTAGCGTTTTGTACTACTGGTGAGATAAATCGCAGAGCCACCACTTAAATAAAAGGACACTTACTGCCTAGAGACTGCCGGGTATGTTCAGACACCTCGCTTAATCCAATTTTCTGAGTTAAGTGTTACTCCCTTTTTACCAACAAAAATCAAAGCTCAGAGAAGTAACTTGCTCAGGGCTACCCTGTCAGTGGTAGAGCCTTGTCTTCTGCCTGTGAGCTTAGGAAGAGATTGCACAGGGCTTTACTGAGTGTGTTGGCAGCACTGGCTGGACAAAACGAGCAGTCTGTCCCAGCATGGCCTATTTGCCCTACAAAGCCTGAGCTAATTTTTAGCCCTCTATCTGGGATACCTTCCTTGTGATGAGTCTTAGTTAATGCCACAGAGTCACAGGATGTCACTGCCTCTGTCTCCTGAACTAAAAGGCACCTGTAGGGTTACTCAGCAGGAACTATTTGCACCTTGGATCCATGTTCTGTTGTGTGGAACTGTCTTTAAGTATTGCAGCGTGTCTTAGCATCCCTAATGTAGGGAGTAGTGGAAGCTAGAAACAGAACCCACCACCTTCATTGGAATATCAAAGATGCTTCCAGGCACTTCTGCATGCCCCAAGGTTAGAATAGCTGAGTGTGAAATTATAAGATGACTGTTGAATATATCCTCCTCTGCCCCCCAAAACTCAAACCTCTCTATTTTTCCTTGTTTGGGTGTATTAGCCACTCAAAGAGCTACTCCCAATTAGAATTTTACTAAACACCATTTCCTGGCTGCTGAGCTGGAACAAGACAGCTAAACCTGTGGAACCTCAGTTTCATCTGTGGATAGGGATGAAGCTTCCTTACGCTGAGCCGTAAGCGCTAGTGCAGAGGCAGGTGTTCCCTCCCGGCTTCACCCAGCTCCTCTCCCTTTCCTCGTGGCTCAGAGCACACGGGGAGATCATTGCCTGATTCACTTGCCACAATGTTAAGGAGCCAAGGACATGTAAAGAAATGAAGTCAGCGGGGAGAGGTTGAGTCCCAGCATTAGTGTAATTACCTTTGATGGCGCAACTGGAGAGATAGGTGTTGGTCCCCTGGTGGGACACGTAGGTGGCTTCCTACTTTTGTAATGGAGAATTTTCTTCATGTTGGTGCGTAACAACACCACGTAGTCTTACTATGAAATACAGGTCTTGGCTATTTTGGAATATCCTGTACATCAAGATCCCTTAAGAATTTATAGAAGCCGGTTCCATTAAGCAGAAAATTTTATTTAGAGCAAATAAAACTGACTCAGTTTCTGATCTCTGAAAGTTACTTCCACAAATCAACATCTCATAATGGTGATAATGTTTTTAACCACTTTGAGACTGTTCCAGAGCCCTGGGCCACCGGGCAATGTTAAAACGGGAAGCGGGGGGGGGGGGGGGGGGCAGCCTGGGTGGCTTAGCGGTTTAGCGCCGCCTTCAGCCCAGGGTATGATCCTGAAGACCCGGGATCAAGTCCCACATCGGGCTCCCTGCTGAGTGCCTGCTTCTCCCTCTGCCTGTGTCTCTCATGAATAAATTTAAAAAAAAAAAAAACTGGAAGCAGAAAGGGTTTTAGACCCTGCAGAGAGCGACTTGTAGTCAGCCGAAGCATCTGGTTTGCCTTGGTTCTGTCACAGAAAATGAAGCCCAGGGTCTCCTGTCTGCATGGCCTGCAATGAAAGCTAAGGCTTCTAGTTTCCCTCTTGAGGTCAAAATTCTATTGTCTGGAGGAGGGGAGTCAACTCTACCCAACATCCAGGCTTAATCGGGGCCTCTGCACCTGCCGGGAGGAATAAACCCCTTTTCTCCAAATCCTAGATTTTTTTCGATCACTGACCCTGGTTTCTTTTCATCTTTAAACTTTTATCCTCTTAACACTCCACAAACCACATACTGACAAGAGGTTGTCTTGTACAAGAAGCAGCTGAGTGAACATGCCGTCCTTGCTGGTAAAGGCTCTGTCACCCATGGGTAATCCCACCCTTACCTTCCTCTAGTTCTGACAACGTCAGCCAAATAAGTGATAGTCAAATGAGTAACTGCATGAATTCGTGAATGCACACCCATTTTTTTTCCCTAGGACTGGTGACAAGACTTCCAAAGAGAAAACTGAAAGACAAGGCATACACATTTGCTCACAGAATTGAGGCTCACTTTCCAAGATTTTAGCAACACGTAACAAAAAAAGCAACTCAAATGTGAACTGAGTTCAAAGCAACTGTACTGAGAAATGCAACTTTCCCTCTGGGCTAGTCAGGCCCCTGGATACATGGTCCAGCCCTTTGGCACAAATTGCTCCATAGCCCTATGATCACAGATCTGCTTCTTTGCCCTTCTTTGGCCCAGTGGCTCACACCGAGTTCTCTTCAGGTCTTTTCCCAGCCTTTTAACTTTCAGAGGTTCTCCTAATAGGGATCTCTGTTCCCAGAGCAACCACGTGGACTAACTGTAGAAATGAACAATACTACAAAGGAAGACCACCCCCAGTGAGGCCGTGCAGTCGCCATCTCCAGCTGCAGTCAAGAAAGGTTTGGTTCCAGGGCTTCTGGGTGGCTCAGTGGGTTAAAAGTGTATGACTCAATAGCTTGGATCTTGATCTCAGGGTCATGAGTTCAGGTTGCGCATTGGGCTCTGCACTGGGCATGGAGCCTCTTTAAAAAGAATTTTTAAAAGTAATTTAAAAAAAAAAAAAAAAAAAGCTTGGTTCTTTGTCCAGAAACAATGCTCACCCCACACCCCAAAGGAATTGCTTGGTCCAAAAGATGGAGAAGATGAGCAACAGAGTAACACTGAGGATAACAGCCATCAGGTAAGCAAAGATCCGGAACTGAGGGTTGCGGAAACACTCCCTCGGAGAGTAGTGGCTGGGGATGGGAACGGGCAGAGACCTGGTGGCAGGGCCCATGTCCTGGGGGGGCCCAGTTTGGCTCCCGGGCTCAGGGCCTAGGTCCAGCGTATAGACCCGGGGCTGGCGCAGGAAGTAGCGGCTCTTGGGCTGGTCCTTGAGACAGAGCTGGTGGCCTTCCAGGATGACGTGGTGGGGCTCCAGGCGAAGCAGGGTGAGCACGGCAGTGTCCGTGGGCAAGTCCGTGACGGGCTGCCCAGAGGCCAGCACGGTGGGCTGGCGACAGAGTGGGCACAGCAACCGGCGCCGGGCTGGAGTCACCAGGCTGAGGTGGGCCAGGCATTCCACGCAGAAGGAGTGACAACAGTCCAGCACCTTGGGCGTGTGAAATGTGTTGTTGAAGGGGTTCCAGCAGACAGGGCACTCGGGCTCCTGGCCCTGCCGCTCCGCCATCCTCAGGTCAGACACGGGCGGCCTGGCAGAAAGGGAAAAGGAGCAAAGGGACACCCGTGGAGCTCCATCCCGGTGCCTGGTCCTAGGCTACGGTTCTGTGCGTTGTTAAAAGATACTGTCACCCACATTTCACAGATGAAAAACCTCGTTTCAAAACATGGAGCAACCTGGGCCCCATCACCCAGCGCCTACGCTGTAGAGGTGAGTGGTGCTCCTGCAGCGACCCCCCATCAGGGCAAAGGCCCGAGGCACCCGCCATTAATGGAGGCTGCGCCCCCGCTTGGGAAGGGGAGACAATGCTCCTCAGGCTCCGTGGCACTGCCCTTGACTCCTCGGACTCCAGGGAGAGGGAGGGGAGCCAGTCTGTGGTCTGTGTTGTGGGGCAGAGATGGCCTCTGTGACCTCCCTGGTCCGTCCCTTGTCTGGGGACAAATGCCAGGCCCTCTTTCCCTCCTCCCACGGGCTACAGGGCCAACCCTCCAGAGCCCACTTGCCCGGTCTTTGTGCGGGGCATGCGCGGGCCTGCCAAGGGGGGTCCTGGCAAGGCTTTTCCCCTCGACCTGGGAGCTTGGCGAGGCTCCCTTGCCCGGGTCCCCAGATCAGCCCTTCTGGACCGTCCCAATACGTGGCCTCCCCTCTGGCTGCTCCTCCCTCCTTTGGTCCCCGGAAACCGCAGGGCACCCACCTGGGCTTCCTCGGGACGGGGTGGTCAGGCTGCCCGACAGACAGACCCGAGGCTCCCGTCTCTCCCTCTCCAGAGTCCGCAGAGCTTTGGGAGCCCGCCTCCTCTCCACCAGCCACCAACCCGGGGCCCGTCTCCATGGCAGCACACACACAGCACCTGCAGCTGCCAGGTGGCCCGGGGTTGCAGCCTCCCGAGCGCACCTGCCTGCAGCAAAGGCCACAGAGCTTGCCTGGGCGCGGGCTGGGGAGTGGGGACCAGAGATCCCCCAGGGCGCGGCGAACAACCAACCCTGGAAGCCAAACATCTGCGAGATTGTGGGCGGTTCTCTTCAAGCCCTGGGATCTATGGCCTGGGAAGGTAGGGGCGGCAGGTTCCTTCTAGACTGCGGAGACAGTAAGGGAACCTCTGGGCTTCTCTCCTGGGCCCTCATTTCTTTTCTAAAATGGCTAAAGCCTCCTCTTCACACAAAGAGGCTGCCTACCCTGCACTTCACCCACCGCACAGCCGAAAACCTCTGCACCCCAGACTCAGCAAATTTGTTTATTTTTAAGTAACATCTACACCCACCGTGGGGCTTGAACTCACGACCCCGAGATCGAGAATCGCATGGTCCTCCAACTGAGCCAGCCAGGCCTCCCCCTTTCCTGATCATGTAATGTGCCCAAGGAGCTGCAACCACACAAGTCTTGCTGCCATCTCCGTTCTACACAATCGGCCTGGCCAGCAGTGACCCTCCGAGGTCTGAGAGTCCAAAGGGGGGGCCATCTCACCACCCTTGGGGCCTTAAAAGGGGGAGTCAGGCAGGAGGAGAGCTCCAGCCCCACTTCCCCATTTCAACCAGAAATATCTAGCCTTTCTCCTATCGATCACCTAAGTTGAAGAGTTGGGCTGCTGAGGGGAAAAAAAAAAAAGTTTAAAAACCACTTCTCCATCCTAACCACTCACTTTGCAGATGGGAGGCAAGAAGTGACTCAGCCAAGGTGCCCCAGCCAGGCAGTGATATTGCCTGCTCAGGTGTGTCATGAACTACATGGGAAGTGTCTGCATCCCCTCAGGAGAGTCCCCGCCGTGAGTCTCTCTCTCTCTCTCTCTCTCAGGAATCCCAGGGCTTGCGGGAACCAAGGCTCACTCGTGCCCCTCATATGGCACCGACTGACTGAGTTGAAACCTGAAGCAAAACCTGCTTATGCTCTCATGGCCACGGCTTCCTGGTTTTCTCCTAGACTCCTGTCACTGCTCACGTAGGGAAGAGGAAAGGAAGGTACGCAAAAGGAGGAGGGAACCCCTCTGGCCTGAGCTGGGAGTCTGCTGAGGATCCTTACCTACGAAGGCCTTCTTCTGTGGACCATGCATCCATCCCACAATTAGTAAGTTGTCAAGTACCCACTGCATGTCAGGAGCTGTGCGAGGCACTAGGTAAATAATGGTGACCCAGAGAGGCATGGCTTTGACCTCATGACATTTAGAGTGCAATGAGGGGAAAAGACCTCTAATGAGCAGTGGGCGATAAATATATAATCTAATGCATATGCTATAAAGGGCAGAGAGGGACATGGACTTAGGGAACGGGCTCCATAGGAAACCAGCAGGCAAGGTTGCGGCAGACAGGTGGTCTGAAAGCTGAGTCTGCAGGACGACAAGGAACCAGCCACGCAGCGTGGAGGAAGGACATTCCGGGCCAAGGGAACAGCATGTACCAAAGCCCCAAGGTGAAAAAAAGGCTCTGCCAGATGCAGGAAGTGAAAGAAGCCTGAGGTGTAGTGGGAGGTGCAGGAGCAGCAAAGTGGCTCAGGGAGGAGCCAGCCTGGGAGAGGCCAGCCCTGGGAGTCGGGATCACAGCTGGATTTAATTCAAGGGGTGAGTATGGGGTGGGGGACAGGGCCTCATCCTCTTTCCATTGTATTTTTAATTTTTTAAACAATTTTTTTGTTTATTTCAGAGAGAGAGACTGCAAGCACCACAGGGGGAGGGGCAAAGGGAGAAGCAGAGTCCACGCTGAGCCTGGAGCCCAACATGGGACTCGGGTCCCAGGACCCTGGGATCATGACCTAAGCCAAAGACAGATGCTCAACCGATTGAGCCACCCAGGTGCCCACTTCTTTCCATTTTTTTTTCTTTCCATTTTAAAAACACCATTCTAGGGGTACCTGGGTAGCTCAGCGGTTGAGCATCTGCCTTTGGCTCAGGGCATGATCCAGGGGTCCTGGGATCTTGTCCCACATCGGGCTCCCCATGGAGAGCATGCTTCTCCCTCTGCCTGTGTCTCTGCTTCTCTCTGTGTGTCTCTCATGAATAAATAAATAAATTCTTTAAAAACAAAAAAACACCTTTCCAGGGGTGCCTGGCTGGATCAGTCGGTAGAGTGCATGGCTCATGATCTCTGGGTTGTGGGTTTGGGCCCCATGTTGGGTGTAGAGGTTACTTAAAATAAAATATTTAATAATAATAAAATCAAAACACCATTCCAGCTTCAGAGCAGAGAACAGACTAAAAAGAACAGAGTGGAAACAAAAGACCATTAGGGACTTGATCATTCAGGCTGGGCTGGTGGTGCTTGACTTAGACCAGGCTATGGCAGAGAAGATCAAAGGGATGGAATAAAAACCATCTCTGGAGATTAAGTCAAAAGCACTTCCCAAAAAGCCATGTTGAGGCTCATGCCCCCAGATGCGCTGCTTCTATTAGGGCAGGATCCCGGTTGAGTTGCTTAACCTGTGCCTCAGGGTCTTCTGAAAAGGAAAAGTAGTCTGAGGGCAAAGCTCGTGGAGCCTGGCACCCGGCAAAGATCATATATGAAGTGGTTGCCGGTATCCCTGCAAATGGATTTGAGAGAGAGGAAGGATCAAGGTTGGCTTTGAAGTCATGAAAGAGGTTTCTGCGTTCAGTTCTGAGGAGCTCCGAATTCCAGAGTGTGTCTGAAGCAGACCTTTTAGCACTTTACCAAAAGCCTTGAAAGGTAATAGCCTTGATCCAGCGGTTTCCCCACTGGAAATCTGTCCCATGGTAATAACCAAGGACCTGTGCAAAGGCTTGACTGTAGGGACGCTCGTAGAAGCACGTCTCTAATGGACAAGTCTGGAAAAGTACTTACTCATTCAAGAGTGAGACATGAACTAAAGATATTCTGCTCCAGATACATAAAGAGACATTCTGCAGCCTTTAAAATGATGTGATAAGGGGTGTCCGGGTGGCATGGTCAGCTGAGCACCCAACTCTTGGTTTTGGCTCAGGTCATGATCTCAGGGTTGTGAGATCAAGCCCCAAGTCCATGCTCAGTGTGGAATCTGCCGGAGATTCTCTCTCCCTCTCCCACTGGCCCTCCCTTTCCTTCTCTCTCCAGTAAATAAATCTTTCTAATAAATGATGTGATAAAATATCTATTAATGTGGAAATATGTTTGTGATATGTCATTAAGCAAAAAGAACCAGTAATAAAACCATAGCACATTATTCAATTATCCAGTATATGTGTGCAATGGAAAAATGCCTGGAAAAACAAACATCAATATGTCCACAGTGGTTATCTCTGGGCATAGAGGATAGGTGGGCTTTGGTTGGTTGGTTTAAATTCTCTTATCTGAAAATTCTAACTTTACAATATTACAGTAAACTCATATTACTGCCCTTAAACATCTCCCTTTCCCCAAAAGCAGACCTACATTTTCTGAAGTTCCATGGCCAAGGCTGTAAAAGGCCATTCAAGAGGAGGAATAATCACTGTTTTGCCTCAGCACCTGGGCCCTTACCTACCAGGGTCCCCTCAGACGTCCACTGCTGTTTCAGGAGCAGCACATCAGAGTCCAGCGTCTGCCGGAGGGACTCTGGCCATGTATCCTCCCTCCCACCACTCACCCCCGAAGCCATCTCAGCAACAGTACGCCCTAGACACCACCCCAAAGGGATCACCTGGGTCTGTGAGCAAGTCACCTAAATATTGTTTGTAGCATCCCCTCAAAGTTTTTACCCTCAAGAGGAGAGAGATGAGGAACTAGCATTTTTTTAAAAAGATTTATTTATTAGAGAAAGAAAGAGAGAGAGCAGGGAGGAGGGGCAGAGGGAAAGGAAGAGAGAGTCCCAAGCAGACTCCCCGCTAAGCACGGAGTCCATTGCAGGGCTCAATCACATGACCCTAAGATCGTGACCTGAGCTGAAACCACGAGTCCGTGGCTCAACTGACTGAGCCTCCCAGGTGCCCCAAGAGCTAGCATTTTTATAGGACCTCACAGTTTGCAAACAAGGGCCCTGGTCCTGGGTAGGATCTAAGTGAGGCAACTCACATCTACATTTTATGATTGCCCTTTACAATTATTTTTCCATTTGCATAAGGCCATTTGGTTTGGAAGGGGTTTTTCCCCAATTATTTATGTATTTAATTTATGTTGTTGTTATTTTTTAAGTAATCTGCACGCCCAGTGGGGCTTGAACACACAACCCCGAGATCAAGAGTCACATGCTTTACCAACTGAACCAGTCAGGTGCCCCAAAGCCATTTGATTATTTGAAACCACCCTGTGAAGGAAGCAGGATAGGGAGTTGGAAGTGGGCTTTGGAACCAGACTTTTATCTGCTATGTGGTCTTAGAGAAATGGTTTATGCTCTCTGAGCTTCATTTTTCTTTGAAAAATAGGCAAATAATCCCACCTTAAAGGCTTGCTGTGAGGAAGGGTTAATATCTGTAAGGAGCCCAGCAAAGCACAGCAGGTGCTTGGTACACAGCATGATAGATGCGCGCCCATTTTATAGATGGAGACGCCAGGGTTCAGAATGTGAAGTGGCTTTGCTTAGGGCTTCACAGCTAGAGAACGACTGGGCGGGAAAGCTGCTCCCAGGAGCCCTGCCTCCCAGGCCAGTGTTCATGTTGGCCGACAGCAGTGCCTCTCAGGACTCCGGTGAGTCCCACCCATCCCTCCAGGACCCCCTGTGACTCCTCACCTGCTTCTCAGAGTCTCCTCGTCCAGTCCCCAAGGTGGCCCTGCAGCATGTGCTCTGTGCTCTCACTTCTTTTGGGCCTGGTTTCCAGGCAGCTGTGGGCGGGTCTCATTTGCATGGGTGTTGTGGCAGCTCCTGGCCAGCTCTGTTTCCCTCTTCCTTCTGATGACTTTGGACTGTCTATGCTCATGGGGGACAGCCCGGGAACTTTGGTTTTCTCTTCCTCCTGTGAGTCACTCTTGCTTTTTCTCTAAGGGGGTCAAAGTCCCTCATCCTTGCAGACCTCGGTTCTGTATTGGGTTGGTTTCCTGCCATGTCTGACTGCACCGCCTAGGCTCACAGCCAGCCTTACTCTGATGGAAGGCAGGGCATCTCTGAAGCCACTTCCTGCCCTCAGCCCAGACAGCCCCTCCCTACCGTGACCCCCCACCACCAAAATATGGAGAGCTCTTGCAAAATATTCCGAAAAAGGCAAATCATCCAACAGAAAAACAATCAGGGGAGAGTTCTTTAAGCACAAGCTTGAAGAGCCTGGGTCAGTCAAGTGGGTCATTGGGGTCAGAGTCAAGTCCTTGCTCAGAATCCAGACTCTACTCCCTAGTAATGGAGACGAGCAAATTGACTTCTCTAAGCTTGGTTCCCTCCCTTGAAAACTGGCATCATGATTTTATCTTGATCTACAGATTAAATGAAATAGCACTTGTAGGGATCACGGCACAGTGCCTGGTACATGGTAGCACGCAGCCAATGTTAATAAAACTGTTATCATCATATGATCAGGCAAGTTACCAAATATTCACGTAATTGCTCAACCTCGTTTACAATGAGAGAAACTCGAATTTAAATAAGACCCTGAATTTTAAAGACACTTATTTTAGGGGCACCTGGGTGGCTCAGTCAGTTGGGTATCCAACTCTTGATTTTTTTTTAAAGGTTTTATTTATTTATTCATGAGAGACACAGAAAGAGAGAGGCAGAGACACAGGCAGAGGGAGAAGCAGGCTCCATGCAGAGCCCGATGCGGGACTCGATCCCGGAACCCCGGGATCATGCCTTGAGCTGAAGGCAGACCCTCAACCACTGAGTCCCCGCTGAGACCCTCAACCGCTGAGTCCCCTTCAACTCTTGATTTTGGCTCAGGTGGTGATCTCAGGGTTGTGGGATGGAGCCTGCATCAGCAGGAGTGCATTGGAGGGCACGCTGGGTGAAGCCTGCTTATAGGATTCTCTCTACCTCTGCCCCTCTCCCACTGGCACACGTGTCTTCTCTAAATAAATAAAGACACTTATTTTAATATCTGTCAGTCTGATGGGGGCGGGGGAGCTCTCAGCACTATTATTAAAAGTAATGGTGGCAGTTTTCTGTGTGCTTCTGATCTGTAAGAGTGAGTGCTCCCAGCAATCCCAGGAAGCACCGTGCCTACCACAATATGAAATCCTGAAAATCAGGGTCTTTTCCCTGCTCTCCCGCGGATAAGGAATCTGAAGCTCAAAGCAAGTAACGGATTTATTTGCCCAGGATCTCATGAGAACCACTTAATAGCTGCGAGTGCAAGTCTGGCTCTGAAATTGGACCACCGCCTGGACCCTCTCCCCAAAATGTGTCCACGCAGCCCATCTCCTGTTCCCTCTCACATTCTCTGTACTCAGGACCCTCTTCTTTTATTCCTTCACTGACCTTTTAAATGGGGTTTGGAGAATAAACAAGTTAAATAAATGGATTTGGAGGTATGATCAATTGCCCTAGTCCCATAATTTTCTGGTTTTAAAATTATTTTATTCTTTTAAAAGATTTTACTTTTGGGACACCTGGGTGGCCCAGCGGTTGAGCATCTGCCTTGGGCTCAGGGTGTGACCCCGGGCTCCAGGGATCAAGTCCCACGTCAGGCTCGCTGCATGGAGCCTGCTTCTCCCTCTGCCTGTGTCTCTGCCTCTCTCTCTCTGTGTCTCATGAGTAAATAAAATCTTTAAAAGAAAAAGAAGAAAGGAAGAAAGAAAGAAAGAAAGAAAAAAAAAAAAAAAAGAAAGAAAGAGGGATCCCTGGGTGGCGCAGTGGTTTGGCGCCTGCCTTTGGCTCAGGGCGCGATCCTGGAGACCCGGGATCGAATCCCGTATCGGGTTCCCGGTGCATGGAGCCTGCTTCTCCCTCTGCCTGCTTCTCCCTCTGCCTGTGTCTCTGCCTCTCTCTCTCTCTCTCTCTCTCTCTCTCTCTCTGACTATCATAAATAAATAAATTAAAAAAAGAAAGAAAGAGATTAGGTAATACATTCAGTGAATGGTTTGATTTTGTAATGAAAATGTTCTCCCAGCCACCTCATTGCCCTGAAAATTAAGGTATCGTACTGTCAGCTTCTTACGTATTTTTTCAAAAAGGTTATATGGCTACACGGACAGAACTCCTATGGCAAAATGTCTGTGTGTTTCTTGTCCTCCTCTTTACACAATGTGCACGTGGTATACAGTGTTGTGCACCTTGGTTTTTTCACTGAACAGGGTACCTGAGAAACATTCTGTGCTGGTACACAAAGAGTTTTTTTGGAATGGTTGTATCCTATTTCATTGAATGAGCCGTATATTACTTAACCGTTCCCCTATTGATCTTATCCTTTCATTTTCAATATAGAAATATTAGTCGGGGGGGGGGGCAGCCCGGGTGGCTCAGGGGTTTAGCGCCACCTTCGGTCCAGGGTGCAATCCTGGAGACCCGGGATCGAGTCCCACGTTGGGCTCCCTGCATGGAGCCTGCTTCTCCCTCTGCTTCTCTCTCTCTCTCTCTGTCTCTCATGAATAAACACATAAAGTCTCAAAAAAAATATTAGTCGGAAGAAAAAATATCAAAATGATTGCAGGATTTAGATCATTCTAGAATTGTGTGAAAACGATGCTGTGGACTTGCGTCCCTAAGGGAGATCTCTTGAAGCAACTCTCCTCTTTCTGAGCTAGAGACAGAGGGACGGCCGGAGAGTCCCCGTCAGCTCTGGGATTCTCTGCTTTTCAGTGTCGCTGCTGGTTAACTAAGGTTAGTGGACCTTCAAGACAATGATTCAGCACAAAGGATCTGGTTTGTATTTGAGAGTTTGGAAGCTACACTTTCTAGTTTGGCAGCACTCATGCACACCATGAAGAAGTTCATACACCTTGACCTAATAATATAGTTCCCCAGAAGGACCCAAAAGATATATGTGCTGATGAGATTTATAACAAGAAATATCTATTTGGTCTTCATTCTATTCCAGGCACCAGCTCCTAAAACCTTTGGGGTTTCCTAAGGGAAAAGAACAACCAAGGTGTCTTTTGTTATGTGAATGTGGCAACTTTTGGAAAGCCCCCAAGTGACATTAAGGATGGGGGGCTCATTGCCAGGCCAACCAGCCTTTGATGACAGGGTTGGAGCTTTCAATCCAGCCCGAAGAATGCCTGCCCCCCCACCCCCACCCCCCGCCCAAGGAAAGGGGCTAGAGATTGAATTCAATCACCAATGGCCATAATCTAATCAATCGTGCTGTAGTGAGGCCTCCATAAAAACTGAAAAGGATGGGGTTCACGTGCCCTGCCTGCCCTTCGCATCTCTCCCATCGGCTGTTCATCTGTAGCCTTCATTATATCCTTTATAATAAGCTGGGAAGGGTAAGTGAATGGTTCCTGAGTTCTGTGAACCATATTAGCAAAAAATTAAAAAAAAATAAGGTTTTTATTTATTTGAGAGAGAAAGCATGAGCAGGGGAAACAGCAGGCAGAGGGAGAGGGAGAAACAGGATCATCCCTGCTGAGCAGGGGGCTCTATCCTCCATCCTGGGACCATGGGATCATGAGCTAAGCCTAAGGCAGATGCTTAACCCACTGAGCCACCCAGGTGCCCCAGCTGCGTTGGCAAATTAATCAAACCCAAGGAGTGGGACATGGGAACCTCTCCCATCTATAGCCAGTTGATCAGAGGTACAAGTGACAACCTGGACTTGCAACTGGTGGCTCAAGTGTGTGTGGTGGGTGGGTGGGAGGATGTCTTATGGGACTGAGCCCTTAACCTGTGGGATCTGGTGCTATCATCTCCAGCTGGGTAGTGTCAGAATTGAGTTGAACTGTAGGACATCCAGCTGGTGTCGGAGAGAATTGCTCGGTGGTGGGGAAATATATGCAGGTGCTGGAGTTGGGTTCCCAATCAGAGTCAGTCGGTCGGAGTTTTCTGCAGCCAGGAAATCCAGGACTCAAAAAGGAAAGCAGGGAATAGTCAGGGTATTGCAAGCATTGAAGTAAAAATGAAATAAGCCACGGCCCTTTTCCGGGTCACTGATTATCTAGTGAGCAAATGCATTATCACAGTGTCTCTGGGTGGTCAAGGCTTGGGAGTACTTTGCAAACAGTGGAAAATTTTTTTGGGAAGATACCCAGGAGAGATAGTGAGGCATCTCAGGAATTTGAGTTGAACTAATTTAGTTCTTGCTTGGGGGGGGGGGGGGTCAGCCAACCGGAAAAGCACCTCATCTAAGCAGGACCTTGGAGCTGGGTGAGTAAGGAGTCATGAGACTTGGTGGAGCCCAGCCAAGGTCTGGAGTGGAGGTCAGGGTGGTATGAACCCATCTGGGCAGGAAGAGGCAACAGAAGGCAGTCGAGGGGCAGTGGAGGATGGATAAAAAGGCAGGTTTTAGCCCAGCGATGATCAGTGTTTAGCGAGGGCAGGGGGCACCTCTCCCTGCGGGGCACCGCACTGTCATTACTGAGAGCCGCCTGGAGTTAAGGACAGTCCTAAGGCAAAGGCATCACCTGGAGATTGTTCGGGAATGCTGACTTCACACCTAGGACGTCATCATTTGCATTTTCACATGATCCTTAGGAAGTTCAGGAACATGTTAAAGTATGAAGAGTCTGGATCTAGGAGAAATAGCCCCAGTACATGCTCCTCGGCCTCATCCTGATTATATTCATGATTCGTTACATTTGACTTCACGAAGGCTTCCCAAGGACAGGCTCCAGGAGGAAGATGTCCTGGCCAGGGCCGGGTGAGCTGCCCCCCGGGAACAGGCATTCCCCTGCCCCTGCCTTAGGGAGCGTCTGTATTAGTTTTACAAGGTCACAATCCCTTATACAAATCCCCTGTGGCCAGATGTGTTTCAGAACTAAGACTTTTTCATATTTTAGGACCATGATATGATGCATTTACTAATATATTAAGGACTCTTCCAGTGGGATCTGAGGTAGCAACCTGGGATCAAAAGCTTTAATATTCTGCAATTTATCATACCAGAAAGAGTAAACCTGCTAAGACCAGGTCAATTTTAGTGGCAGATTTAATGAAAAAAAAAAAAAAAAAAAAAAAAACTTCTGTCTTCAGAGTGCAGGGATTTTATCTTTTTAATCTTTTATTATTTTTTAGGCTCCATGCCCCATGCTCAAACTCATGACCCTGAGATCAAGAGTCACATGTTCCAGGCAGCCCAAGTGGCGCAGCGGTTTAGCGCCGCCTTCAGCCCAGGGCGTGATCCTGGAGACCCGGGATCGAGTCCCACGTTGGGCTCCCTGAATGAAGCCTGCCTCTCCCTCTCTCTCTGTGTGTCTGTCATGAATAAATAAAATCTCTAAAAAAAAGAAAGGATGAGGAATAACGCCCCTCCCACGCCTGTCACCTGGTATGTGTACAACCACGGAACTGAGACTGGACCGTTCCTTCTCCAGCTGGGCTGTGAATGACACGTCTCATCTTTTCCATCCCCCAGACACTCAGCCATGTCGGGGTGGTGGTGGTAACTGGCCCTCAGAAAGTCCGTGGTGTGAGTCGGTTCCAGCACAGCGAGCTGAGTCCTCACATCTATTCTGAAGCCTTACCCAGGTAAGCCCTGCCAGGAAGACAGGGGCGAAGGGCTGGCTGGGGGCTGTTGGTACAAGGAATGTCCAAGTAGTTTCTAGGAAAGTCTCAAAGGCCTTCTCCAAATGCCAGCAGAGAAAGCTCCTGGGCCAAGGTCCATCGCTGCTCTTAGGATGGTGCTTGGCTGACAACACTGGCAGAGGGGCCGTCATGGACTTGAGCATGTCCAGACCAGGAAACCAGGGGCGCCTGGCTGGCTCAGTTGGTGGAGCTTGCGACTCTTGATCTGGGCATTGTAAGTTCAAGCCCCGTGTTAAGTCTAGGGATTACTTAAAAATAAGATCTTAAGGGACACCTGGGGGACTCAGTGGTTGAGCATCTGCCTTTGGCCCCACGTGTGATCCTGGAGTCCCAGGATCGAGTCCCACATAGGGCTCCCTCCATGGAGCCTACTTCTCCCTCTGCCTATATCTCTGCTTCTCTCTGTGTCTCTCATGAATAAATAAATAATAAACTATTCAAAAAATTAAAAACAGAAATTTATTTTAAAAAATTAAGATCTTCAATGGTGATGATGATGAAAAAAAATAAAAAATAAAAATAAAAAATTAAGATCTTAAAAAAACAATCAGGAAACCAGAGACCTCCCTCCTTCCTCTCTGGGGTTGCAGGAATCGTTTTTCTTCCTCTTCTTTTTGTTTTTTTTTTAAGATTTCATTTATTTATTTGAGAGAGAGAGAGAGCACAAGCAGGGGGAGCAGCAGAGGGAGAAGGAGAAGCAAACTCTCTGCTGAGCTGGGAGCCCCACATGGGGCTCGATCCCAGGACCCCAGGATCATGACCTGAGTTGAAGGTAGATGCTTCACCGACTGAGCCACCCAGGCACCCCTGCAGGCATCATTTCTGCTCGTCCTTGGGCTTCACTGTCTCTCAGTCCCCTCATGGCCCCCTCATCCGTGCTGTAATCTGTCTGTGCTGTTTCCCTTCTTTTGCAGGAGTTTATCAACTCTTTTTGTAATACGTGTCCAACGTAGAAAAACGAGGAAACTCAGATGCATGTAACCATCCTGACACGGGAACAATGCAAAGTGCTCTTCTGAGGCCTCTGCCCGAATCGAGTAGCATTCCAGTGACAGTCTGTGGGGCGGTGCTGTTACTGTATCACTCCCATTTTACAGATGAAGGCACAAGACACAGAGAAATTAAGTCACTTGCTCCAAGTTGCTGGGTGAAGTGGCAGCCTGGGATGTGAACCAGGCAGCATGGTGTCGGGAGTCCACGCCCTTAACCATCACACTTCTTTGTATTTTAAATGTAGATTTTTTTTCATTATTAGGAATATATGGGATCCTTGAACTGTTTGGTGGCCTTTCTTCTACTTGTTGTCTTCCGACATCATAAAATAATCTTCTACAACCTTTCCTTCAAAAATGAAAGTAGTCTTGCTTTTTGATTGTAAAAGTGATAAAGGAAATGAATTTATGTATAAAGTGTCTCTTCGGGGTTACACCAGATGCTGGTGACACTGGTTACCTCTGGAGGGTGCCAGATGGAAGGCAGATATGGTTGAGAGGGAGGCATTTTATCATATAAACTTCTGCACTCTTGATAGACTATGGGAATGCAGTGCCTATTTCCAAAAATAAGTAAGTTTTCAAAATAAAACTGATTCATCCTCGTTGCAAAAAAAAATCAAATATAGAAAGTAGGAAATAAATTCATCTTTATTTTTTTTTAAAGATTTTATTTATTTATTCGAGAGAGAGAGAGAGAGAGAGAGGCAGAGACACAGACAGAGGGAGAAGCAGGTTCCATGCGGGGAGCCTGATGTGGGACTCGATCCCAGGACTCCAGGATCATGTCCTGGGCCGAAGGCAGGCACTAAACCTCTGAGCCATCCAGGGATCCCCTAAATTCATCTTTAAAACTCAATACCCAGAGGGACGCCTGGGTGGCTCAGTGGTTGAGCATCTGCCTTTGGCTCAGGGTGTGGTCCTGGGGTCCTGGGATCGAGTCCCACAGCAGGCTCCCCACAGGGAGCCTTCTGCCTGTGTCTCTGCCTCTCTGTTTCTCATGAATGAATAAATAAAATCTTAAAAAAAGAGCCCATAACTTGTTTCACTTAAATCCACTGGTGCATAGCAGACTACCCCAAATATTAGTGTCTTTAAGCAGGGATTTACAATTTTTCATGATGGTGTGGGACAGCTGTGCAGTTTCTCTTCTGATTTCATCTGAGATGGCATCCAGTGGCAGTTTGGCAGGCTCGGAAAGTCCAAGGTCACCTTATTCACACAGCTGGTGGCTCTCAGTTCTTCCCCACCTGGCCAGGTCACCCCTCTGACACGGAGCAGCTCTCCAGGATGGCCAAAGAGAAGCCATGGGCCTTCTGAGGCCCCACCCAGAATTTCACAGCATTTGTTCCTCTGCATTTAAGATTTTATTTATTTATCTGAGAGAGGGAGCAGGGGAAGGGCAGAAGGAGGAAGAAAGAGAGAATTTCTTTTTTTTTTTTTTTGTTTTTGTTTTTTATTTATTTATGATAGGCACACAGTGAGAGAGAGAGAGGCAGAGACACAGGCAGAGGGAGAAGCAGGCTCCATACACCGGGAGCCCGACGTGGGATTCGATCCCGGGTCTCCAGGATCGCGCCCTGGGCCAAAGGCAGGCGCCAAACCGCTGCACCACCCAGGGATCCCAGAAAGAGAGAATTTCAAGCAGACTCCGAGCTGAGCATGGAGCCTGACATGGGGCTCCATCTCACGGCCCTGAGATCAACCAATACCTGAGTGGAAATCAAGAGTTGGATGTTTAACCAACTGAGCTGCCCAGACACCCCTGTTCCTCCGCATTTGTATTGGTCAAATTAAGTCAAAAGTGCAGATGCAAGGGGTGGGGAAATCGACCTGACCCAATGATGAGAAACCACCTCACGAAGGGCCACGTGTATAGGGCGGAGAGGAATTTGGGGCCGTGTCTCCCATCTGCCACAATACAGTAGGAGTCCATGTATATAAAGCAGAAAAGCAGGCAAAACCAACTTAAGCTGTTCTAGATCCCTTAGCAGCGAGGCCTGGAGGGGAAGATGGGGGAGACCATCTGGGTTCTAGGAGGTCTGCACTTCATCTCGGTTCTGGTTACTAGAGTGTGTTCAGCTTATGGAAAATCAGCAAGCTCTAAACTTAAGGCATTTGAAATTGTTCCCGATTGCTATCCTTGAATTCAACCGTACAAATATAGAGAGTGGCTTATGAAGAATGACGTTCATTCCTCTTTCAGGTCACAGTCTAGCTGGTCGGGATTTCAGGGTTGTTCCATCTTCTCTTGCTGTCCCATCACCACATCCTCATCTGAATAACTGAAGCTGGGACACCTGGGTGGCTCAGTGGTTGAGTGTCTGGCTTCAGTTCAGGTCATGATCCCAGGGTCCCAGGATCGAGTCCCGCGTCAGGCTCCCTGCATGGAGCCTGCTTCTCCCTCTGCCTGTGTCTCTGCCTCTCTCTCTCTGTGTCTCATGAATAAATAAACAAAATCTTAAAAAAAAAAAAAAAAAAAAGAGCTGAAGCTGGTCCTGGCGGTCTGCATTCCAGCTACTGGCAAGGGACCCAGAGGGGTAATCCCAGATGAACACATTCCTTTGGAATTAATAGAGTAGAAGTTACACACATCACTTCCACTCACAATCCACTGGGCAGAATTTATGCTCACGCCCCTGCCTGGCTGGGAAGGGAGGCTTCGCTGGGCAGCCTGTGCCGGGAAGTGCCAACTTCAGGAAACAGCTAGCAGCCTGCTGCATCTTTCACGATGAAGCTTTTCTTCACTCATTATGTGCTCAAAAGGCTACCCAGAAATAGCTAACTTCCTTTTTCACAGTGTTAAAAGATTAAAAAAACACCACCTGACCTGAGTTCTATACTTGTAATGCCTGTGTCAAAGTCAAGGCTGTTATAGACTGGAAACGTGCCTCTCGATACCAGTGTTGAAAACATTACATTCCTGCTGCTGCCAACGGAAAGTTCAGGAGGTATTTCTTCAGTGACTGTGTACTCAAAACCCCTGGGGAAGTTGATTTAATAATCATTGTTCAGATGTAAGTGATGAATCACTAATTTTTTTTTAAGATTTTACTTATTCATGATTGAGAGAGGAGAGGGAGAGAGCAAGTGCATGTGGACACACACAGAAGGAGAGGGAGAAGCAGGCACCCGGAATCACTGAATTCTATTCCTTTTTTTTTTTTTAAGATTTTTATTTATTTATTCATGAGAGACACACACAGAGAGAGAAAGAGAGACAGAGACACAGGCAGAGGGAGAAGCAGGCTCCGTGCAGGGAGCCCGATGTGGGACTCGATCCCAGGTCTCCAGGATCACACCCCGGGCTGAAGGCGGCGCTAAACTGCTGAGCCACCCGGGGTTGCCCTGAATTCTATTCCTGAAACCAATATTGCATTGTATGTTAAATAGAATTTAAATTTAAAATTTTTTAATTTTTTCTCTTAGATCTGTTCAGGAAGATAGTGATGATGGGAACTTGTCTGGGACCCCTGGATAGCTCAGCGGTTTAGCACCTGCCTTCAGCCCAGGGCATGTGGAGTCCCGGGATTGAGTCCCGCATCGGGCTCCCTGCCTGGAGCCTGCTTCTCCCTCTGCCTGTGTTTCTGCCTCTCTATCTGTGTCTCTCATGAATAAATAAATAAAATCTTAAAAGAAAAAAGGGAACTTGTCTGATACTTTTTTGATATCAGTGATATTCACTGTATCACGGTACTTTAGTCGCTGGTAGCTATTTTAACTTTTTAAAAAAGATTTTATTGATTTATTTGAGAGCCAGAGAGAAAGCACGCCTGAGCGGGGAGGGGTAGAGGGAGAGGGGGAAGCAGACTCCCCACTGAGCAGGGGGCCCAATGGTGACTGGATCCCAGGACCCCCGGGATCATGACCTGAGCTGAAGGCAGTCGCTTAACTGAGTGCTCTATTTTTATTTATTTATTTTTTAAAGATTTTATTTATTTATTTACAAGAGACACAGAGAGACAGAGGCAGAGACACAGGCAGAGGGAGAAGCAGGCTCCATGCAGGAAGCCTGATGAGGGACTTGATCCTGGGTCTCTAGGATCAGTCCCTGGCCTGAAGGCAGTGCTAAACTGCTGAGCCACCCGGGCTGCCCCCCGCCCTTTTTTTTTGAGTGCCCTATTTTTGAAGTTTTATTTATTTACGTAATCTCCGTACCATTTGGGACTCCAACCCATGACCCTGAGACTGAGTCACATGCTCTTTTGACTGAGCCAGCCCGGTGCCCCAGCTGGTAGCTATTTCCAAGAAAACAATATTTTAAATACAAATTGGGACCTAAATTATAGACAGTCTAGATTATATGTGAAGAATAGCACTCCAAATTGTATCTTTTCCAGATCATTTTTAACCTTTCAGTAAAAACAAAAATCCTCTTATAATTTCAGCCACACACACAATTTAATGTCCAGGCCTCAGCTGCCTTATGTTTGGGCTCTCCTGAAGGCAGGAGGGACTCTACCTTCCCTGAAGGAAATGGGTTTGCGAGCACCATCCTGGGGACGGATGTCCTGGGGGCCACACAGGCCGGCCTGAACACCCAGTCCCTCCTCACCAAGGAGGGCTCAGTGGTTGGCAGCAGAAGGTGGAGTCCATCCCTCTGTTCTATGTTCTTTTTTTTTAAGATTTTACTTTTTTATTTGTTATTTTATTTTTTTAAAACACATTTTTCTTAATTTTATTTATTTATTCATGAGAGACACAGAGAGAGAGAGAGGGGCAGAGAGAGAAGCAGGCTCCATGCAGGGAGCCTGACACGGGACTTGATCCCAGGTCTCCAGGATTACGCCCCGGGCTGAAGGCGGCGCTAAACCACTGAGCCACCGGGGCTGCCCTACTTATTTATTTTAGAGAGAATCTTCAGCAGACTCCCCCCTAATCGTGCAGCCTGATGCAAGGCTCAATCCCACAACCTCGAGATCATGAATTGAGCTGAAATCAAGAACTGGACACTCAGGGACGCCTGGGTGGCTTAGTGGTTGAGCGTCTGCCTTTGACTCAGGGCCTGATCCCAGGGTTGGGGATCAAGTCCCACATCAGGCTCCTGCAGAGAGCCTGCTTCTTCCTCTGCCTGTGTCTCTGCCTCTCTCTCTGTCTCTCATGAATAAATAAATAAAATCTTTAAAAAAAAAAAAAAACTGGACACTCAACTGCCTGAGCCACCTAGGCACTCGCTGTCTATGTTCTACTGCTGCTGTAGACTCCCCTTTGCCTCACACTGGCCATCCCCCAAAAAGAGTTTATATAAAATGAAACAAAAATATTAAAATGTACAAATGACATTTTTTTTAGCCTTAATCTCTAGAACCTCTCCATTTTCTTATGCACAGCATAGGTCTGATAACTAGGATTTGGGGCAAGGCCCTGCAGTCGTTGGACTTTTCAAGCCATCTGGGGTCTAATTTTCATGCCTCCTCAGCGCTGGTGTGGGATGCACCACCTGCGCTCGGCTGCTCCTCCGAGTAGAAGCCAAGACTTCTTCACCTCGCCGAGGAGCAGTGGCCGGAGCCGAATCCCACGTCCGCAAGCCATGTCCCCTGTGGGGCTGCGCTACCCTCTCCCGGCTGGGTAACCAGGAGGCCACCTGAACACCGCCGCTCCGCCTGCGGCTTTGTCTTCTGGGGAGGCTTGGAACAGGTCAGTCCAGTACACTCAACCCTGCGTTCGGACTCACAGACAGAGGCCTATCACTCTCACACCTACAGCTCATCGTTCGGAGCCACGAACTTTGTTTGTAAAGAGCGGTCCGAAAGGTTCCTGCAAACTGCTTGTGGTTTGCACCGAGACGGGGAACCTTACGCTTGGCCCACGTTTCTCAACTGCACCTGGCCTTCAAGCCCTGATGCACCTGCCAAGTGAACCTAAGCAGAGAATCCAGGGCCCACATTGCCCTCCCCGCAAGATCACAGGGAAAAACAAAGCCACACAGAGGAAGGACGGGCCACGGTTTGCTATTGTCCAGTGTCTCTGGGCCTCAGAAGGCCGCCACTTCCCGCAGGTGCAGCCCGGGGTCCCGCTCCACTCGGAGTAGGTGAATTCCTCTGCTGAAACTTGCACACAGCAAGTAGACGGTGTCGCCAACAGCCAGGGAGGTCAGAGGTCCTGATCCATCCAGGGACAGGGTGAACAGGCAGGCTGGGGGAGGAAGAGAGAACCAGCGGCTTAGGCCGAGCGCGCGGCGTCGGGGTGCGCGAGGTCTCTGTGAGGAACCGTGTCAATAAAGCGTGCCCTCCGCCTCCAACCCAGGCAGGAGCAGCACCCGTGCTCCAGAGGGCTGCGCACCGGCGGGGAAGGCAAACGTGGGCCAGCCGCAAGGCTTCAACTCCAGAGAACGGCACGTGGGCCAAACAAGGTGTGTATCACTTAGAGGCACATCCAGTCGGGGCCTGGCCTGTCGCCCTCCCTGACCGCCCGCCCAGAGTACAGAGCAGGGGCTGGGGCGGAGGAAACAGACAGGGGTGCTGTTCTTCAGCTGCTGGGGCCTTGCTCCCTTCAACACAGAGGAAACTGGGACCTGCAGGGCAGTCTGGGGGCCTCCAGCTGACCCAGCGTCCCCTCTGGCCCTGTCTCGGAAGCTGCTCTTCTAAGATTTATAGGTGCACACCTGGTGGGCCGGGCAGCACTCTCAGACCTTGCTGTCCCTGGTCTCAGGTTTAGGAGCGTGGACTCTTGGGACAGGCGCTCTCCACCTCCCACCACTCTTGTGCCGGGCAGCTGGAGAGGTGGGGGATACAGCGGGGCTGTGCTCCCTATGGAAGTTCGGTTTGTGTGCCCCTAGACATGATCTCACGTCTTTTCCCTGAGAAAAGATAGAGCTACCCTATCCTCCCCTGCTGGGAGCTAAGTTTCTGGAAAGTAACCTTGGGAGGGATTTGTCATGCGATTCTCTAAGTTCACACTATTCCTATGTCTGTCAGAACTCAGGGTCCAGGACAAAATAGCTTAGAGCCAGTAGAGTGCTGGTAAGGCAGCTTTCTGGAAGAAAAAAACCAACCACCTTTACTCATAGCACTCGCACCCTTTGTGGTGTAAATACTCCCACTATGACCTTATAAAAAAATTCCTGAATATTTCACCATCAGCCCGTAGGAGTGGCTCTGGCATTCCACTTCACTGAGGGCTCTGCGGAGCTGTGTTCCCCAAGGCATCTTTCTTTGGTGCTTTGACGTGTCATGACCTTACTGTGATCTCAAACCTTAGCTGCAGCGTCAAACTGGGAGGTCTTGCAGAGACCATCCTTATGCTACCTCACCCCCACCACGAGCTGAGACTCTCATTTTATTTATTTATTTATTTTTTTGAGACTCTCATTTTAGACCTTAAAACATGCATTTGAAAATGGCAATCCTTGTACTCTTTGTCAGACGTTTTGAGCATCACACATTTAAACCTGAGGAAGAACTTCAGATAGAACAACTACCAAGAGCTAAATGTATTTGAGCTCTCCAGAACCAGTCTGAACAACATGGCACCAGGGCTCCTGCAGTGATGGCTTATAGCCAGACGGTCAGCAGAATCCCGATATCATACTGTCATCTTTTAACCACTACGGGCCTGGAGAGTGGCAGGACATGGGTGGCTTTGTATTTGCTGAGCAATGGAAAGAAAGAGTTTCAAGGAAGCTTTTAGGACTCCATGTAACTTTGAGAAGCACCACCAGCAGGCTGCTTACCTCCAGTATCTTGGTTCCAAATCTTCACTTTGCAGTCATGTGACGAGGTAGCAATTACAGGCATCAAGGCCAGTGCTCTTGGTAGAAAGACACAGGATGCGACAGTCTGGAAATGGCCCTTATATTCACATATTCTGTTCCGCGTCTGCCGTAGGTCCCACAACTGTAGAGTAATGACACAGGCTGGCTCAAACGTACCTACTCTCTAGCTATATACATGCTACCCTCACTGACTTCCACCTCCCCGCCTTCTCATGAGCCACCTCTTCCCTCCAGTTACCCACTTATGTAGCTACCCCTCATCTTCATCCATCCACCCACATACCGAATCATCCATCCAATGATTATTTTTTTGTTTTTTAAATTTATTTATTTGTTTTTAAAGATTTTACTTATTTATTCCTGATAGAGAGTGAGAGAGAGGCAGAGACACAGAGGGAGAAGTAGGCTCCCAGCAAAGAGCCCAAAGCGGGACTTGATTCCGACCCTAGGATCATGCCCTGAGCCAAAGGCAGACGCTCAACCGCTGAGCCACCCAGGTGTCCCTGTTTTTCTAATTTAAATTCAATTAGCCAACATAAAGTACCGACTTAGTTTCAGATGCAGTGTTCAATGATTTATCAGTTGTGTGTAACACCCAGTGCTCCTCCCATCACTGCCCATCACCAAACTACCCCATCCCCCGTGATGATTATTTTAAACATCGACTATCTTAAACAACCCTGGTTAAGGATGTGCTGGGAGGGTCGCTGCCTCCCTCATTAATGTCATGGTTAGGGAAATGAAAGATCCAAGTCCTACAGCATGATGGGACAGTATGAGGTTGGCTACTTTTTTTTTTTTTTTAAGTTTTTTATTCAAGTAATCTTTACACCCAGGTGGGGCTCAAACTCATGACCCCAAGATCATGAATCACATGCTTGGGGATCCCTGGGTGGCTCCGTGGTTTAGCACCTGCCTTCAGCCCAGGGTGTGATCCTGGAGACCCGGGATCAAGTCCCACATCAGGCTCCCTGCGTGGAGCCTGCTTCTCCCCCTGCCTGTGTTTCTGCCTCTCGTTCTCTCTGTGTCTCTCATGAGTAAATAAATAAAATCTTTAAAAAAAAAAAAAAAAAGGAGAAAGAATCACATGTTTTTCTGACTGAGCTACCCAGGTGCCCCGAGGTCACCTTTCTACACAACAGTTCAAGAGCTGCCTGACATTCAGCCTCCTGGCCTCTGTGGATCCTTGGAGACCCCACAGTTGGGAACACCTTCTCACAAGTACACAGAGGCACAGCCTTTCTAATTTCTTGCCTACATGCTAAAACTTGGTAAATGATGACGAGACTCTCCAACAAAGGAGGTGAAAGTTCTACCCATCCCACTCTTATTGATATGATCAGACCACCGCTAGAGAAATGTTCCAGGAGGAGAGCAAACTGAATTGTGTCCAAAAAGTAATGAAGTCCCTGGATACCATGTAATTCAAAAGAACAATGTTCAGAGAGGAGAGCGATCCAGAAAATAAGGAAATCACGGGACACTGTGTTGGTTGTAGTTGCTAGAAATGCTTAGCTTGGTAAAGAGATGCTACATCAATAGCCTGGGATTCAACACCTCAACCTACCACTTATCAGAGGTGTGGTCTTGTGCAAGAGATTTCACTTGGCATGCCTCTATTTGCTCAGCTGTAAAATGGCAATTATAACAGAACCTAACGGACAAGGCTGTTGTAAGGATTCAATGAGATACTCCATGTCATGTGCTGAGGCCAGCACCTAGTGTGTAAGGTTTGATACAATGGGAGCCGTAATTGTTCTATTTGGACTAGATGCCCCTTTTAACCTATATTCTACAATGAGGAATCCAAGGTACTTTGAAGGAGCCAATGCAATCTAATCCAAAATCAACTGCGAGGAAAGGTATATGGATAAGGGTTGGGGTGGGCCATCGGCCAACACTGGCACTTCAAACTTCCCAGAAGACCTTGAGCCTCCTTTACTGTGACCACATGTACAATGGAAATAATGTGGCTCTTCAAATAGTCCCTCCCCTTTCTCAGCTCTGCTGGGAGTAGGGATGTTAGCAAACTGGTTCTGTGTTTAGCACCTTCCTATCTTGACTCTCATCCCATCCCTCTTTTCCACTACCAATTCAGAAAGCCCAAGGCTCATAGAAGTTTCTTGAGAGATGCATCTGGAATGCAAAGAATCACGTACAGTATGCACTTGGAACAGGCTTGAGCCATTAGTAGGGCTTGCCTATGTAGCCCAGTATGGAGGTGAGGTCAGAGTAAATAATTTGCTCATCAGCAATCAGACCCCCAGACGCCCACAATCTCTTACCGTGGCTTCACAGCCTTCCCCTCCAAAGCCGTTGCTGCAGGAGATACACTTGTGTCCATCCTCACTGACCTCACAATAGGTCTGAATATGCTGCTTTGCAGGAAATACATGAGCTACCTGCAGCCCCCGGCTGTCCCATAATCTGCAAGACATGACTGCAGGAAATGAGTCTGTGGTAAATGTGTCCGAAATACCCACTAACATAAGGCTCAGCTCTTTGCTGCTTCGGCCGGTCAGAGAGAATGTCATGATTTATCTAAAAACAGGAGTATGAACCAGATCAACCTTGGAGACTCAAAAGCTGCCAGGAAATAACCAAACTGAATGACATCTGAGTTCCTTCTATTTTGAGATCCAGTTAATAAGAATTTAGACCAAGCATCCTAACTGTATAAGTTAATTTGTTAATTTGGCCCTTTGGGATACTGCTTTCAATGGACAAGAGGATATTTCTGTGCCTGTGACTTAATTTTTTTTAAAAAAGAGATAGTTATTATGATCCAGAGGAGAAGTCACCATTCCAGAATCAGATACAAAAGACTTGCAGGCCTTGGCCTACCTGGGCCATGGAGTCCATGGGGGAATGTTTTGTTCAGCCTCTTGTCTCATTTTCATCTCTTTACCTCATTCCCACTATTTCCTAAGTAGAATGAATGTCTTCTGAGATCCAGAGTTTCTCATTGTACTTTCTACTCGAGAACGATTTACTTCATTTGACTCTCCTAACTGGGATTCCAACCCCATTTCCCCAGATAAGGCTTCATCTGAGGGCTGGGTGATTGAGAACACCTGGAGCCAAGCAGGGGCAGTAAGTGGAGCCAGGCAGCCCGAAGGGTGGGACAAGCCAGTGACAGGTCCTGAGGTTAATCTGAACATATTCATACAGGGGGTGAGTATGGGGGTCAGACATCAGCTGCTTCAAAACCATTCAGGACAAGGGCTTTTTCCTGGCCTGACCTCCTGGCGTTCGACTTCTACCCGGGTGGTCCAAGGGGCCAGGTCAGAGAGACCCCAGTCTCAGTGAGGGGCAAAAGGGCAGAAGGCCCTGGGAAGGCACAGCAGGGAGGAGAAGCAGAGGAGGGAAGGGAATCATGTAAGCACGGGAACCACAAACCTTCACCAGAAACACCTTGACTGCTGCTCAGTAAGCCCACCTGATGGTTTTATCTTCAGAAGTCTGTAGTATATACGGTTCTTGAGGGACCCAGCACAGGTGAGTGACCTGGAAAGAGCAAAATTTTCAAAACTTCTCCACACCAAGTCATTCTTCCGCTGTAATTCCTGTAGACTGTGCTAAATAGCATCTCTCCACCACTTCCCAAGGATGCTGACTAGCACATTTGACTTGGAGGGATTCGGTGTTTTGTAGATACCCAGCAGTTGTGCTCTACTGACATCCCCTGGATCGGCAGCAGCAATGGTAGCAGGCGCCCATACGTGTGCTGGAGAGCTGCTGGCGAGGAGCAGCTAAGGGGAGCAGTCCCCTGTTCTGTGGTGGGACCACTGAAACCCTGCTCTAAGGCCTCACAGGGTTCAGGAGAAGTGTTCTTTCTCCCCATCCCTGTAGCCCCCTGCTGGACAGGCATGAAACAGTTTTCAAAACAACCCGACGTGACAGGATTTTCTTCCAGCAACCTCCACAAATACGGGGGGGCACAGAGCAAGCGCACCTTGCCATGGAGGGTTGTCTTCAAAACTGGAGAAGAGGGATCCCTGGGTGGCTCAGCAGTTTAGTGCCTGCCTTTGGGTCATGGCGTGATCCTGGACTCTCAGGATCGAGTCCCACATCGGGCTCCCTGCATGGAGCCTGCTTCTCCCTCTGCCCGTGTCTCTGCCTCTCTGTGTCTCTCATGAATAAATAAATAAAATCTTTAAAAAATAAAAAAAAAAAACTGGAGAAGATAACCATGAGTGATATTTAATGACCACTAAAGGAACATCTACCAATGTCAGGTCATAGGATTTCCCCCCACTTTATAAATGAAGACACTGACAGTCCAAGTGCCTTTCTTGGAGTAACACAGCTAAAAAGTGACAGACCTTGGGGTGCCTGGCTGGCTCAGTCAGTAGAGAATGTAACTCTTGATCTCAGGGTTGTGAGATCAAGCCCCACAGTAGGGTAGAGATTACTTAAAAGTGATGGATCCATAGTTTGAACCCAGGTATGACTGACCTCAAAGGCTGTGAGGCTATACACCAGCCTGCTACCAGAAAACACTGGTCTTCATAAAGCAAATTATACTTAGAGCAAAAAGGTCATGCTTGTTTCTTTGCCCAGAAGCTGTGAGCTCTGGTGGACTGTGTCCTGGGCTGCTAACCTGCTCCTGGCACAGCAGATATGGAATAGCTGCATTTTGAGGGAACAAATGAGGACACCACTTAAAATTCCAATGTGAACTAGTGGAGGTGTTCTCTGGAGCAGAAGACCTCAAAAGATCATCCAATCTGGAAACCCTGAAAGGCCAGAGTCTGACAGAGAGCTCAGGGTGAGCAGTAGCGAGGCCCCCAGCCTCTCCTGCCCGGAAGGTCTCCAGATCTCTCCCCCAGGCTGCGTGCCTCGCCCCCTGCTCCCTCCTGCTGTCCCACTCTCTACTGCGTGTGAGTTACTAACCAGGTTCCTGGAGACAGAAGCTCTCTCCGCACACTGTCCGGTCCCAACGTCCCACAGAAGCAGAGTATTGTCCCGAGAGCCAGTGCACAGCTGTGATGAGTCTGGGGAAACAAGGGAAACATGGTCCATGAGACGGGCCTGGCACAGAGCTTTTCAGAAAGTATAACAGGGGACACCAGGGTGGCTCAGTCAGTTAGTTGCGTGTCCGACCCTTGGTTTCCACTCAGGTCATGATCTGAGGGTCGTGAGATCAAGCCCTGTGTCAGGCTCCATGCTCAGTGGGAGCCTGCTTCTCTCTCTGCCTCTGCTCTTCCCCCTGCTTACACCCACTCAGTTTCTCTCTCTCAAAATAAATAAATAGGTCTTAAAAAAAAAAAAGTACAACAGCAATAGGAAGAGATCTGTTTGACTTTACCTGGACTCACAGCCAATCCAGTGACCACCATGGCGTGGCCAGAGAACTGCTGCCTTGGTTGTGAGGGGTCAAGCAAGTCCCACATCATGACCATCCTGTCACGAGAGGCGCTGAAGAACTGGCTGGATTTGTGAATACAGGCTATCTGCTCAAGAGGAAAAAAAAGTTCCGGTGTGCTTGTTTGATTGGACTTTAAAATGGGCAACAGACCTGGGGCTGCAGGTGTCAGAGCCTGAGGCTCTCTCTACGTCGCCGTGGGAATGCACTGCATCTGGTGTGTCGCTACCACACTTTGCACCATGAGTTGTGGCTGTTGCCTGGTTTCACTATGACAGAGTCTGCAACTCAATTCTGCTTTTCAGTTCATTTAGGGTGACTTCAGGGAGGCGACTTGTAGGGACTGGCATTCTCTATCCTTTTTGCTAGGAGCTCAGTCTATCCTGCAATGCTTTTTTAATAAATTAATTTTTATTTAGCTGTTGTTGGCTTTTTAAAAATTTCCCCAAGAGGGGTTCCTGAGTACAGAGATTTTATCATTTACTTATAATTTATTTATAATATATTTAAAATATAAAGAAATTGTATCATTTATTATTTTCCTACCTACAGTAAACACACAGGCAGCCTCTAAACATGTCCCTGTTGAATTAGGATAAGCAGGGAGAGTTGTTCTCTATTTACCACCTGAACTATTAAGGGCTTAGTGACCAAATAAAAATCATGTCTAATATGCCTGTAACAATAGCTAAAGGAATGGTTTGCTCTGCTTTTCCTCGAATAGGGCCTCATGGCATCAAATGAGGCCCTTGAGTTATTTTTAAGACTGAATATCCAATCACTCCTACATCTAGAGCCATTAATACTCCTTTATTCAGTTCCAAGTTCCCTCCCTGATAATGATCATTTGATAGTTACCTTAGTGATTTCTCGCTCATGTCCTTTGAACCTTTTCACCACATTTCCAGTCTTCCAGTTATAGGCCACAACCGTCTGCGGAGAGTCATTAGAGTCATTAGCATCTCTGTAATATTTTCAGTGAAGTGAATCTCTGAATATTTTAAGTAAATATTTTATTTAATTGAAACAAGCCTTTACTTCATTCTCTACCTAATTTCTCCCTCTCTGTCAAGGGACTTGCGTCAAGCGTTAGGGCTTTATTGTTGTATCCCTAGTCTTGTCCCCCTGTGTGGACTTTCTTTTCTTTCCTCCTGACGGGTGCTCTGTCTCTCTGCAAGGCAATGGGCCACTGCTCTGAGCCTTGCTGATGGGTTCGGGAGGACACTCCCCAAAGGGAACTGACAGCCTGAGATTCTGGTCATAAATGCTGAATTAGAATTCTACGTGGGATAAGTTTCCCCCCCTGCACTTTCTCTTTAATAAATAAATGATTCTTTAAAAAGAAAATTTACCATCTTAATCATTTTAAGGTGTACAGTTCAGTAGTGTTATGTATACTCACACGATTGTAAAACACATCACACTTTTTTTCTAATTAAAAAAAAACAAAAACCATAATCCCATCTGCCAGAGAGAATCATCATTAAAACTTTCTTTCTGTCCTTTTTCTAGGTATACACTTTAATATATTTTTTTAAGATTTTATTTATTTATTCATGAGAGACACAGAGAGAGGCAGAGACACAGGCAGAGGGAGAAGCAGGCTCCATGCAAGGAGCCCGACGTGGGACTCAATCCCTGGTCCCCAGGATCAGACCCTGGGCTGAAGGCGGTGCTAAACCTCTGAGCTACCCGGGCAGCCCTATACTTTAACATTTTGTCATAAATCTCCTGAACAGGAGACTCCCTGTTTAGCATCTTCTGGCCCAATCTCTGTAATTCATTGCTAGAGAGAAAGGAGCATGTTAGCACTTGACCTGGTTAAATGCCAGTTTCTTAATCTGTAAAACAGAGAGGATAATCCTTCCCTACCTACCCCTCACAGGTGAAGATCATATAAATAAAATTCATACATCTAAGATGATATCAACTTTAAGACAAACTGCTGCCAATTAAATTATATCCATGCTTTATCAACAGTTTTTATTTTTATTTATTTTAAAATTTATTTTAAGTAGGCTCCACACCAAATGTGGGGCTTGAACTCACAACCCTGAGATGGAGTCATACATTCTACTGACTGAGCCAGCCAGGTGCCCCTATCATCAATTTTTAGATGCATACTGACTTTGGAGGTGCTCAAGTATCAAAACATGAACCTCTTTGAATCTGGGAAATACAGGGGTGTCTGGATGGCTCAGCTGGTTGAACTTTTCTGACTCTTGGTTTCCGCTCAGGTCATGATCTCATAGCTTGTGGGATTGAGCACCATGCTTAGCAGGGAGTCTGCTTGAAGATTCTCTCCCTCTGCCCCTCCCCCTGTGCTCTCTCTCTCTCTCTCAAATAAGTAAAATAAATGTATAAATTTTTAAAAATCCATGAAATATGAAAATGAGAGGTATTAAAAGAATCAACATTTTTGCTACCACCATCCTAGCTGTGAGTCCTGTGATGGAAGCAAACGTGACGGGGAGAAGCAATCAGATTCAGTGTCAGTGGGAGGAAAGACAGGAACACAGAAGGGCAGAATTATGATGCATGCCAGTTAGAGATTTGGGCAAAAGAGCAGGATAAAAGAGACTGGACTTTTTTTTTAATTTAATATTTATTTGAGAGAGAGAGAGAGCGCACAAGCAGGGGGGAGGGCAGCAGGGGAGGGGGAGAGAATCTCAAGCAGGCTCCAAGTCCCCACTGATGCAGGGCTCGGTCTTATCACCCTGAGTTCATGACCTGAGCCAAAATCAAGAGTCGGACGCTCAACCGACAGAGCCTATGGTTTCATGCTACTCGACGCTGCTGCTGGAACCAGAGAATCAGCGCTTCCTTCTCAAATACCTTCCCTTGGCCACAGTAAGCTGGTTCCCTGGGAAGCACCACAAACCCCACCTTATCTCTTCCTCCAGAGACACACAGGTCTGAGTTCAGGGCAGCAACGACCGAGACCGTATCCACGTGGGCTGGGCTATACTCCAGACAAGCTTTAGTTTGAGTTCTCTCTTCTATAATTTCTTCGGGCCTGCTAAAGAGAAGATGGCAAATGAGAGGCCCACTGGTACAGAGTGCAGGGGGGCAAGGGGAAGATGAGATGGCCCACAGGAGTGGCCAGGCTGAGGAGAAATCTGGAAAAGAAGTGCAGAAGGGAGACCCACGGCCATTGCCAGAAATGGGATTATTAATGCCGAGTCTGCTCGGAATGCCTGAAGGATTGGAATCCAATAAAGGGGAAACTTGAAGCCAAGAGGCCCGGAGTCTTTGCTCACCCTAGAGCTCATTCCCAAAGACGCAGGGCCCCTCTCCATGTGGCTGCAGACATTAGCTGTTTCTCATCCAAAAGAAAACAGACTTGTTTTCAGAAAGCTGCCTGTTCGGGGAAGGTCATCAATAATCGCTCTGGGCCTTCTCTTTCTTTAGTGGAGAATTTTAATGCAACATGACAAAATTTGGGATCCCAATGCAGGATTGCCATACCTGTATTTATAAGTGCTGTGTTTGAGTTTGCTTTGCAGCTTCCCCATCCCTGCACAGAAGCTACACAAAACCTTGTGAGGAGCTCCTTTCAGATGGCACCCGAGCAGCAGCATCCCTTGTAGCTACTGGAAGCTGTGTCCCCTGCTTAGTAAAAAGAACACATACTGTTCATTTTGTTAGTGTGGTTATGTAAAATAAAGCCTTATTTTTTAAAAGACTAATTTATCGTACTTGTTTGCTTTTCCTCTTTCCCCTGCCTCCTCTTATGCCCTGGGAATGCACAACCCCCCTCCACCCATAAAGCATAATCAGATCAGGAAAAACAAAGACAAAATAAATTTTAAAAATACAAAGAGGTTTCTCAACAAGTTAAATGTGGAATTACCATATGTTCAAGAATTCCACTCCTGAGAAGACACCCAGAAGAACTGAAAGCAGGTGTTCGCACAAAAAAATTATACATGAATGTTCGTGGCTGCACTGTTCACAATTGCCAAGAAGGGGAAACACCCTAAATGGCCATCAGTGAATGAGTGGAAAAACAAAATGTGGTATGTCCATACAATGAATATGAGCCATAAAAATAAATAACATAATGAAGCATACTGTAAGATGGATGAACCCTGAAAACATCATACCAAGCAAAAGAAGCTAGACACAAAACGCCACGAAAACATCATACCAAGCAAAAGAAGCTAGACACAAAACGCCACGTATTCTATGAGACCATTGGTACAAAATACCCCCAGTCAGAATCTATATGGACAGAGAGCAGATTAGTGCTTCCCAAGGGCTGGTGTGATGAGGGAACAGAGTTTCCTTTTTGGAGCATGAAAATCTTTTGTTGTTTTTTTTTTAAAGATTTTATTTATGTATTCATGAGAGACACAGAGAGAGGCAGAGACACAGGCAGAGGGAGAAGCAGGCTCCCTGCGGGGAGCCCGATGCAGGACTCAATCCCAGGACCCCAGGATCACGCCCCAGGCTGAAGGCAGGCGCTAAACCATTGAGCCACCCGGGGATCCCCCTGGATCACGTAAATGTTCTGGAACTAGACAGTGGTGATGATTGCATAACACTGTCCCTGTACTAAATAAGAATACATTTTATACTATACGTAATTGTGCCACAATAAATACTAGGAATGTGTATTTGAAAATAAAAAGATAATTTTCACCAGTGACGCTTCTTGAAAAGAACCTAAGTTATTCTAAAAGGTCATAGCTTGCTGGTTTGTTTTTAAATGATTTCATGTGACACTTCTCTAAACCAGTGTGCCAGGTTATTCTGTAGTAAGAATGAGATATGAGGGGCACCTGGCTGGCTCATTCGGGAGAGTATGCAACTCTTGATCTCAGGGTCATGAGTTCAAGCCCCATGTTGGGCATGGAGCCTACTTAAAAAAAAAAAAAAAGAAAAAAAAGAATGAGATGTGAGAGCTGATGACACTACATGAGACAACACAGGTAATGACCTAGACTGGTCTGAGGGCCGGTGGGGATTCCTGAGGCCCTTTCAAGGAGTGCGTATGGTCCTCCTTCCTCCAACTACATCTCTGTGTGAGGTCTGATTTTCTTCTTATACTACAACCCCAACCACATATTGCCAATAGGCTGAATGCAGAAGCTGACATGAGAATCCAACTGCCCGGAATCCCTGGGTGGCTCAGTGGTTTAGCACCTGCCTTAGGTCCTGGGCGTGATCCTGGAGTCCCAGGATCGAGTCCCACGTCAGGCTCCCTGCGTGGAGCCTGCTTCTCCCTCTGCCTGTGTCTCTGCCTTTCTCTCTCTGTCTTTCATGAATAAATAAATAAAATCTTTAAAAAGAGAGAATCCAACTGCCTTATGTTGAAACCAAATATGAACAAGAACTGCAAAAATGTAAAACAATACCAGTCTCCAACCAAATTTTTTGTGCATTTTGGAAAACACATTTTTCAAAAATTATTTTATGCTAACCTATATAATAAGTCTATTATTATTAACATGAATAAGTAAATATTTTTTAAATATCTGTGGGGTTTTTTTTTTAAGATTTTATTTATTTATTCACGAGAGAGAGAGAGAGAGAGAGAGAGAGAGAGAGAGGCAGAGACACAGGCAGAGGGAGAAGCAGGCTCCATGCAGGGAGCCGGACGTGGGACTCGATCCTAGCTCTCTAGGATCAGGCCCCGGGCCAAGGCGGTGCCAAACTGCTGAGCCACCCAGGCTGCTCCCATAAAAATCTGTGTTAATGTCAATAGGTGGCAGAGTAGAACCCAATCTATGACCTACATAAACAAAAGCTCTTTAAGATCCCCAATAATTTTTCTCAAAAGATTTATTTATTTTTAGAGAGAGACAGACAGAGAGAGAGAACGAGCAGAGGGAGAAGATCTTTCAAGCAAACTCCCCACTGAGCATGGAGCCTAACACAGCAGCGCTGGATCCCACAGCTCATGAGATCATGACCTGAGCTGAAACCAAGAGTCAGAGGCTTGACTCACTGAGCCACCCAGGCACCCCCTCCCCAGTAAAAGGAAGTCTTGAGGCCAAAAAGTTTATGAACCACTGGCCTAGAACTTAAACAATGCCAACAATGGATGACATATTACAATAAACAGAATTACTAAGTGTTTTTTAGATGTACTTGCATTGTCCTCAACAACTGGCAAGGCTAGAACTAAGAGAGAATGAATTAGACATTTAAAGACGCTAATCCATATGTTCATTCAGAAAACGCCTCCTAAGCACCTGATTTGTGCAGCTCCTATTCTGGTGGCTGGTGAAATACGAAGAAAGTGACAGGAAGACATGGCCAGGAGGATATCTGCTGGGACTGAACGTATCTGAAGAGGTAGGGGCTAATCTCAGCTACTCTGGGTCATGCATGTCCTCTGCAACTAGCTATTCTGAGAAGCCAGAGAGTAGAGAGAAGTAAAGGGAGGGTGGGAGTACCGAGTTCCCATCTTTTGGAGACTCTGCTTAAAGTCTAGGAGATGAGTTTCTAAATTATTACGTGGGGAGGGGGGGCACGCAGAGGGAGAGAGAGACCCCTAAGTAGGCTCCACACCCAGCATGGGGCCAGATGCTGCCATTGTGACCTGAGCCCAAATCAAGAGTCTGATGCTCAACCGACTGAGCCACCCGGGTGCCCCTAAGAGATGAGTTTCTTTCTTTTTTTTTTTTTTTAAGAGATGAGTTTCTTACAGGCATGACCAGCCCAGCCCAGCTCTCAGAAGAATGGTCTACAGGAAGAACAGCAAGCTAAAATTCACCAAGTATCTCAATCGTAACCATTAAAAAAACCGTGTTCCAGAACTGCAGCCTACACTTTGAGAAGCTGCCAGAGTTGACCTCCGGACAAGATAGGTGACTGCAAGGAAGCACAGTGCGGTGGAAAGAACACCGTGTGTGGCACCAGGAGCCCTGGGCACCAGCCGCAAGGCTGCCTCATCCCGCTGTGTGTCCTTGGGCTCCTCCGTCCCCTGCTCTGCACCTGAGCTGCCCCATCTGTAAACGAGGACAGCATATTAGATCATTTTTAGTAGACTGTGCTCCACCAGAGGAAGGACCTGGTCATGTTCATCGCTGTTCCTCAAGTGGCTCACACACTCTGGCAACATCATTTCTTGCTAAGAAGTGGGAACCGAAGGTCCCTTGCTGTTCAGACAGTCTAGGATTCTCTATACTAAGCACAAGATATGCTGACAGAAAATACGCCAGGATAATTTTTAAAAATCTTGCGATGGTGTAACACTTGTAGACAGGGAGAGGGTGCGGGGCTTCCCATCTGCCAGCATAGCCCATTTCAACATTATCATCAATTTAAGGACAGACGCTGTCCACAGATCTAGGTCACCAAACAGAGCAGGTGCTATAACCGGATTGGCTTTGCTTCAAACTGATGGGACTCTTAGCTGCTACTGCAGGGAGCCGTATTTCCCATCTGAAGAGCACTCACAGGACATTCTAAGCAAAAGATAACTTTTAGAATTACTTACCCCCAAACCAATAGGATTTTCTTGGTGAGCTGCCGTGTTCAGTGCTTTGTAATGTTTATCCTTTGGAAAACAGTTCAGGCAGCCACTTCCTAATCTCTGTAATTACTGAAAAGATGCTTAAATTAATCTCTCTCTAAGCATATGTTTGCACTGAAAGGAGATTCACAAGGTAAATAAAGACCTTGTTTAATTAAAGAGATTGTTGAGTATAGCTTTGCCTCACAAAGAGATACATTCCAAAATTCCAATATCTTATAACTGGCATATTTCCAACAATTAGGGAAGGGTACCATAATGTTAATAATACTTTTTTTATAATTTTTTTTAAGATTTTATTTATTTATTCGCAAGAGACACAGAGAGAGAGGAAGAGACATAGGCAGAGGGAGAAGCAGGCTCCATGCAGGGAGCCCGATGTGAGATTCGATCCTGGATCCCAGGATCATGCCCTGAGCGAAAGGCAGACGCTCAACCTCTGAGCCACTCAGGCATCCCTATACAACTATTTTTAATTTGCATTTATTTAAGTAAACTCTACACCCAACGTGGGGCTTGGATTTACAATGCTGAGGTCAAGAGTCTTACGCTCTACTGACTGAGCCAGCCAGGCACCCCCAAAGAAGGAGATAGTTAAATATTTAAGTACATCATTAAACACTTATTTTTCTTTTTTTTTTTAACAGTTCTTTTTTTTATTTATTTATGATAGTCACACAGAGAGAGAGAGAGAGGCAGAGACACAGGCAGAGGGAGAAGCAGGCTCCATGCACCAGGAGCCCGACGTGGGATTCGATCCCGGGTCTCCGGGATCGCGCCCTGGGCCAAAGGCAGGCGCCAAACCGCTGCGCCACCCAGGGATCCCTAAACACTTATTTTTCTTATAGTACTTCTGTTCAAAAATTTCCAGAGCTGACTGCCACTGTTGCCGTGAGAAAGGCAGTTTCTCCTGTTTAAAATAATACTTTAGTAAGCATGAATCATAGAATTTGAGATAGAAGAGCTTTTCAAAATCATCACAATATAAACCCTTTATCTAAAGATCTAAAGAATCAGGGCAGGAACACTATCTGTTCAAAACTCTAACTAGATAGCTCTCTTGAAGTGGGGTTTTATTGCATTTTAACAGCTCTATTTTAAGAACTCGAATAAATAAACCCTACCAATTAACAGTGTAGCTTATTCTAAAAATGCAGAGCAACACAGAAGAGTCCGAGATCACATTTGACTCGGGGCATCAGCACGGGAATTGGACAGACTCAGATCTGATTTACAGTTCCCTGCGGTCTTGGGCAAACTGCTGAGCCTCTTGGAATCTGTTTCCTATATGTAAGATGGAATATCTTCACTGGGTTTCTGTAAAGATCAAAGATGGTAGGCGCCTGGGTGGCTCAGTCAGTTAAGCGTCTGCCTTCAGCTCAGGTCATGATCCTGGGGTCCTGGGATTGAACCCCACGTCAGGCTCTTTGCTAAGAAGGGAGTCTGCTGCTCCTGCTACCCTTCCCCCCACCCCATGATCTCTCTCTCAAATTAATTAATTAATTAAATCGTAAAACAAACAAACAAAAAGATTAAAGACAGCACTATGATGTGCCAAGGACTATTTTAAATGCTTTATATTCTTTAACTCTTCTGATGTATTCCACAAGCCTCTGAGCTAGATGCTGTTACTATCTTCATTTTGAAGATGAGAAAAGTGAGGTGCAGAGATGTTAGACAACCTGCCCAACTTTACAGACAAGTTGCAAATAAGTGGCAGAGCTGAAACCTGAATGCAGGCAGTCTGACTCCAGAGCTCTTGTGCTGGGTCAGCACATTACACTGCATCTCTATAAAAGCTAGTGCGTAGAAAGCCCCCCCTTGATCCTGGCTACTGGCATGATGGCTAGATTAACAAGAACAACTGGAAGGAGCAATTTCTGCCAACTTACACCATTAATGCTACTGTTAATACACACATGTTAAACACATGTAACAAATATACACAGAGAATATATATAAATGGGTACATGAGTCTGAAGGATATTAAACCTAAGCCAGTTATGTCTCTTGGCCAGAGGGATTGATCACACTAAGGCTAAGAATTCTTTAAGTTCTGTATTATATACCAAGGCAATTTAAAATCTCAACAGCAGAGTATACATACTTCAATAATGTCTGTGTAGTTGTGATTTATTATGAGTAGACTAATCAAAGAAGCAAAAACACTATTCAGTTATCTTCCACTGTTTATACTGTGAACATCCAATACACTTGAGAGGAGGGAAAGCATCGTGCTCATTTTTGTATCTGAGCTTTAAGCACGGCCTGGGAGAATGGATACAAGGCAAATATCTGTGGAATGAATGAATGAATGGGATACTAAGGTGAAGAGTCGTTTGGCAAGCAGCCTTTTTTTTTTTTTTAAAGTCGGCTCCAGGGGCGCCTGGGTGGCTCAGTCAGTTCAGTGTCTGACTTTTGGTTTTGGCTAAGATCATGACCTCAGAGTCCTGAGATCAGGCCCAAATCCGGCCCCTGGGATTGAGCTCTGCATGGAGTCCGCTTGTCTCTCTCCTTTGCTTCCCCACCCTCTTCGCTCACACTCTCTTTCTCTCAAATAAATAAATCTTTAACAAATAAAAATTTAAAAAAATAACGTAGGCTGCATGCCCAATGGCCAGCTTGAACTCAAGCTACCCTGAGCTCAGGAGTTACACGCTCTGGTGACTGAGCCAGCCAGGCGCCCTGCAAGAAGCTTTTTAAGGATCCAACCACATAAGGGTCCTTCAAAATTGCCCAACAACAAATCATTCAGGGAACAGTTCCCGGGGCTCTGTCCCAAATTTTAGGTTCAGGAAAGGCTGGAGAGGACTAGGAAAAGCCATAAACCCAGTTACGGCTCTGGACATCCTTGTTGGTTCCAGATGAAACCAGGCTTAAATCTGAATCCCAGGACCCATTTCTGCCTCAATTTGCTTTCCGCGGACCTTAAGATACCAAGAGGTCACTCTAAACCTAAGGCAGAGAATTCTCTTTTAAGTCTCCAGTGCAGTATTCCTCGTTACACTGCAGCAGATACCCAATTGTCATTTCCACGGAGAAAGTGGGACTCAGCAGAAGGTGGAGACTTGCTAAAGGTCACAGAGGCAGAGGCGGAGCCCGGGTACCTGACCTGACTTCCCTGACTCCCGGTCCATTGCTCAGGTAAATGCTAATGTCCCATCTCCCTCCCTCTCCCCAGATCTCCTTGGGGGGGGGGGGCGCGCACAGGGCATCAAACCCTAAACAAATACAAACAAAGCCGCCGTGGAACCACGGGAAGACGGCCTGATTCGACACCCTCGTGGTACAGAGGGGGAAACTGAGGCCCAGAGTCTCACAGGGAGCCAGCATTAAGGCCAGAATTTCCACCAAGGTTGCCCCAAGTTTAGGGGACAACCTGTGTCCAGTGTTCCCTTCCAGGCTCTCAGGTCTACCCACGCGGACTGTCAAAGCTTATGGGGAGGGTGGGCTGCGTGGTTCATCCCCCAAGATGGGGGCGGGGGCGCTGCGGCACCTCCCAGCCCAGGGCCGGCCCGCGAGCTCCCCGCTTTCAGCAGGCGGGCGGCTGCCGCCTGCGGGGCGCGAGGGCTCCCCCCGCCCCTCCCCGCCGCCCTCCTCGCGCTCCATACCCACCGGCGGGCTGGCGGGGCCGGGAGCTGAGGCCCGGGGGGCGCGGAGTGCGGGGCGTCCGCCGCCACCACGCGGCACAGCCTCCCGCGTCTCCGCCCCTAGCAACGCGGCGCGCGTCGCTAGGGCGGGGGTCTCCGCGAAAAGGCTCCGGGCGCTCGCTCTCCCCGGAACCGCAGTTCCGCTCGCCGGCCGCTGAGGCTCCAGGCCGGGGGTCGGCTGTGCCCAAGGAGCGCGCCGCCGGCGGGTCCATCGCCTGCGAGAGAGGCGGGACCACTGGAACCGTCGCCGAGGAATGAAGAATCCTGAAGAATCCTCATCTTTTATTTATTTGTTGTTTAAAGATTTTATTTATGTATTCATCAGAGACACAGAGACAGAGAGAGAGAGAGGCAGAGACACAGGCAGGGGGAGAAGCAGGCTCCGTGCAGGGAGCCCGACGTGGGACCCGATCCGGGGACTCCGGGATCACGCCCTGGGCTGAAGGCAGATGCTCAACCACTGAGTCACTTTTTTTTTTTTTTTTAAGATTTTATTTATGTGTCTGTCTTCCAACTGGAAGAGGCAATACCCTCCACAGCATTCCTTTTTTTTTTTAAAGATTTTACTTACGTATTCATGAGAGACAGAGAGGCAGAGACACAGGCAGAAGGAGCAGCAGCCTCCCTGCGGGGAGCCTGATGTGGGACTCAATCCCAGGACCTCAGGATGACAACCTGAGCCAAAGGCAGATGCTCAGCCGCTGAACCACCCAGGCGCCCCACCTCCACAGCATTCTTGAGGAGGGTTCCTCTAGCCCCTGTAGACCTCCCTCCGTGATGATGCACTCATTCATGACTTTCTGAGTCAGTGTCCAGTTGCTCCCGACAGGAGCTGGGATCTACCCCCATGCCAACACTGAATCTTAGTCCAGAGCTGAGGGCTCTCCCTATAACCTTAATTAATCTCTTTTGTCCACAAGAACCTGGGAACCTTCAACCGGCAAAGACTGACGGTTTTGCCCTGAGACACTGGGTTAGGCTGAATGCAGCTACAGAGTTGACTTACCTAATCCCTGCCCTCAAGATTTCCCAGGTCCGAGGATGCAGGTCTTCTGGAAGATACTTTAGGTTTAAGGCACCTGAGACTCCCAAACTGGTATCTCTAGCCAGACATTTCCCTACACCTGCATATCTACCTGCTTTCTATCCATCTCCACCTGGCTGTGACTCATATTGAAAACATCATCTCCCCCCCCACCCCACTCCCAAACCTGTTCTTCCTCTTTTCCCTCTGAATGCTGGGCACTACCATTCACCAATCACCCACGTCAAGGATCTTGGAGTCATTTGTAACTTCACTCTCTCTTCTTAGTTCCAGAACAAACCCCAAGATTTCTTATTTCTGCCCCTGACATATCCTTTAAAAAAAAAAATCTGTCCACTTCTCTCGACCCACCACCTTTGGTTCAGGCCAACATCATGCCAGAGTGTGAGAAATTACAAATGGCCACAAATTCTCTGTAGCTTCTCTCATCAGGGCTGGTCTAAAACTTATTTTGACCCAGAGAAAGTGGTGGAAGTGACATTGTGCTACTTCTGAGTTAAAGCCTCAACAAGCTTTGTAGTCTCTGCTTTCATCTTCTTGGAACACTGCCACCATGGGAAGAAGCCCAGTCTAGTCTAAGACACATGGCCCATCCATTAGCTAGCACTGCATGGCAGCCACACTAGTGAGAATGTCTTAGACCATCCAGTCCTAAAATAGCCATCAGATGACTATAAACACACGAGTAATCCTCCAAAGAAGAGCCCACATGAACCCAGCCCAATCTGCCAACCCACAGAATTGTGAGCAAATAAAGTTGCCATTTTAAGCCACTAAATTTGGAGGTGGTTTGTGATAGACAACAGATAATCGATATTCAGGGTGAAGTCCAATTTCCTTCCCTAGGTCAGTAAGGCTTGGTCTGTATCTCTTTAGCCTCGTCTTCCACCTCTGGCGCCCACACTGTGGGTTTCAATGGTCTAAACTACTTGCAGCTTCTTGGCTCACCCTGCTGTTGACTTTGAAACCTCGTACACGGTGTTCCGTCTGCCCAGGGTGTCTCCCCTACATCCCCTCACCTGTCTGGCTGGCTATTTATCCTCAGCTTAGAGACTGTCTCCGTCTCTACCCTCAGGTCTTCCCTAACCACGCCTCTCTTTCTCCAGATCGAGTTAGCTACCCTTCCTTTGGGCTTCCAAGGCCCCCACACTTTCCCTAACACAGTGTGATTGTCCATTTACTAGTTTCTCTCACTTAATTCTGAGCTCCGTAAGGGCAGTGACAGAGTTTTATTTACACCTGTATTTATTGCTGCTAATACAAGGTCTAGCACAGCACTGCATAGAACTTTCCGCTGCCTGCACTGTCCGATATGTTGGGCCCAAGTCACATGTGACTATTGAACACCTGAAGGGTGGCTAGTGCAGTTGAAGAACTGAATTTTAAATTGTATTGAGTTTTTAAAAAAGATTTTATCTATGCATTTGAGAGAGAGAGACAGCACAAGCAAGGGGAAGGGCAGAGGAAGAGGGAGAAGCAGACTCCTCACTGAGCAGGGAACCCCATGAAGGGCTAGATCCCAGGACCCTGAGATCATGACCTGAGCCAAAGTCACTTAACTGACTGAGCCACTTAGGTGCCCCTAAATTGTATTTAATTTTAAGGCAACTTAAGTAACCACCTGTGGCTAGTGACCATGGTATTGGACAGCACAGGCCTAGCACATGGTAGGTGCTCATTGAATATATCTCCTCAAGATTTTTTTTTTTAAGTAATCTCTACACCCAGTATGGAGCTCCAACTCACAACCCCAAGATCAAGAGTTGCATGCTCTACCAACTAAGCCAGCCAGGTACCCCACATGGAATATTTTTGAATAAAGACCAAAAGAGGATGGTAGTCATGGACAGTCAATCAAGACACAAGTAGAATGCTACGGATGTAATCAGCATAACTTCACGTACCCCTCGGACCCCCTCACTTTTCATTCCCGCAGCCTAACATTACCAATACTTCCCACCCTGCCTTGTATGATCTTAATCCCTGGCTCTTTACTGCCTGAGGTGGTTGCTGGTTATTCTCTCCTGGACCTGCCCAATTTGATATTGTCCCTCTTGTGAGAAGGGCTGGTCCTAAAAGCCCCCTGGAGACTAATCTCATGCGGTCCAGACTGGTCAGGCCCAAGCAGAGAGGACTCTCTCCTTGGGAGCCTGGACTTCATCACATGGGAACCCTGAGATCTAAGTTTGTTTCCACTGGACGGTTGCCAAGCGCCTCCTAAAGGTGACAGTTGAAGCTGTTTTTGCTATAAAAAGTCACACAAAAGGGTGCCGCATTGTAGGGCTCTCTGCCCAGCGGGGAGCCTGCTTCTCCCTCGGCCTCTTCTTTCTGCTCATCCTCTCGCTTTCTCTTTCTCTGGAATAAATAAAATAAAGATTAAAAAAAAACCAAAACAAAAAATGTCACACAGAAAAGAAGCCACAGGGTTGATAATCTTCTTGCTACTCTTTATAAGAAACCGTGCAAGCCCTGGTCAGATGACTTCCAGGCCTGACACCATAGCAGGGTCTGAAGAGGAAGGAAGCACAGGGACAGGGTGAGGTGGGATCAGGGATAGGTCAGGGCCTCCTGCCAGACTGGGCTGGGTCTGCGGTTGAACAGCAGGCCTGATGGGGAGTACAGTCCTTTCCAACAGACTTCCCCAAACATTCACTACAAAAAAAGGTTAAAAAGTGGGGGGTTGGGGTTTGCACCTGGATGGCTCAGTGGTTGAGCGTCTGCCTTTGGCTCAGGTCATGATCCCAGGGTCCTGGCATCGGGCTCCCTGCAGGTGCTTCTCCCTCTGCCTGTGTCTCTGTCTCTCTCTCTGTGTCTCTCACAAATAAATTTTAAAAACTGTTCTGTGGGGGTGCCTGGGTGGCTCAGTGGTTGAGCGTCTGCCTTTGGCCCAGGGCGAGATCCCAAGGTCTTGGGATGGAGTCCCACATCGGGCTCCCTGCAGGGAGCCTGCTTCTCCCTCTGCCTGTGTCTCTGCCTCTCTCTGTGCGTCTCTCATGAATAAATAATAAAATCTTTAAAAAAAAAAGTAACTGTTCTGTGGGGCGACTGACTGATGGGTGGAGGCTGGGTGGTGAAGGAATTCACTCAAGGGAAAGCAAAGGAGATGGAAGTTTTTTGAATACACTGCAAAGGAGCAGCAGGCAGGACAGCAGAGGAGAGACTGTGTGCCAGGAGGCAGTGGGGGGCCCTCCTTACGGGGGAGTGAGGAGGTCTGGGGAATGTATGAAATTTTCATTCTTTGGTACCTGCGCCCTGTTGTAAGTGGCCCATTGGTCAGCGAGGGCCTGTGGGTCTTTGGAGGCGGTCGCTTAGTGAGCCTGTCGGCCGTCAGCCGGTGGCCACTGTGGGACCCTCCTGTCTTACTCAGGTTTACACTGCTCAGGCCTAAAAGCCACCTCTGCACGTTCCCACCATGTCGTACCGCTGGGGTTAACGGGTCTTCTATCACGTGTGCGGATCTGCAGATATATTTGTAGCACCTTTTCAGAATGTGAATTGTGCGTGGTTCTTTAGTGAGGCAGGGAGCAGAGTTCACGGCAGAAAACGAAATTTTGCCCTTGCTAGTCCCTCTGTTTGGAAAACTCCTTCCTACTGGGGATCCCTGGATGGCTCAGCAGTAGAGCACCTGCCTTCGGCCCAGGGTGTGATCCTGGAGTCCCAGGATCGAGTCCCGCATCGGGCTCCCTGCATGGAGCCTGCTTCTCCCTCTGCCTGTGTCTCTGCCTCTCTCTCTGCCTCTCTCTCTCTCTCTGTCTCTCATGAATAAATAGATAAAATCTTAAAATTAAAAAAAAGGAAAGCTCCTTCCCCCGACCTTCTCAGGGTCCGCTGGCTGGCTATCTGGTTGGAGTGCTCCCCCTCCCAGAGACCTCCTCCATCCCCCTTTCTAGATCAGCACCTCTCTCAAGCCCTCTACCTGTATGCTTGAGAATGTTTCATACAGCTCTTCTCATTTACCGACATTATATTGCATGTCTGTTTATTGTGTTCCCTCGAGACAGTAGACTTTGTTCTTTCTTTTTTTTTTTTTTTTAAGATTTTATTTATTGGAGAGAGGGGGAGAGGGAGAGACGGAGCATGATGGGGGGGGAAGGGCAGAGGGCAAGGGAGAAGGAGACTTCCTGCTGAGCAGGGAGCCCAATGACAACATGGGGCTCCATCCCAGGACCCCAAGATCATGACCTGAGCCAAAAGCAGATGCCTAACTTACTGAGCCACCCTGGCTCCCCTAGATTTTCTTCTTCATGGCTGTATTCTCAGCGTCTAAAATATATCCCAGCACATAGGTAGGTGCCCCATAAATCTGTTGAATGACTCAAAGTAACAAAAGTGTCCATTCTGCTCTGCCTCCAGCTCGTGGTGTCCTGCCTAGACAAGGCCTAAAGTTCAAGCAGAGCCCTCCCCACTCCCACCAAGGCTCCAGGGGTCACTTTAGAGCAGCAGCTTTCAAACTTTTTGACCCTCTCTCTATTTTTTTTTAAAGATTTTATTTATTTATTCATGAGAGACACAGAGAGAGGCAGAGACACAGGCAGAGGGAGAAGCAGGCTCCACGCAGGGAGCCCGATGCAGGACTAGATCTCAGGACCCTGGGATTATGACCTGAGCTAAAGGCTCAACCACCGAGCCACCCAGGGATCCCCCTACCCTGACTCTCAGTAAGAAACACGATCCCCAGTGCTCACACATGTACATGTTTATGTAACTGAAACAAGCACAAAAAAACCTGTACTAGGAGCAAGGTTTTCTTTTCTTTTTTTTTTTTTTTAAATGCTGGTCTCCAGTCCTTGAATAGATTTCATCACCTGCTCAACGGTCACCATTGCCTTAGACCGGTGTTTCCAGGGGCGGTCTGGGAGCGCACTTGTACTCTAGCCTCGGGGCAGCTGCTACAGAGGCAGATTCCCGGCTCCACCTCAGATTTAGTGATGGAGAATCTTATCTCACCCACGGGAGAGTGTGAATGCTTAACAACCCCTCTCCCCAGAGGTCCTGACCCGGGTGATTCTGAAGCTGATAAAGCCTGAGAAGCCATCACTTGGGGTTCTGAGTGTCCCGAGGCCTCTGGTGGAGACTTGTGTCAGGCACCTGTACATTTAAGGGAAGGGGCTGAGTCTTCCAGCCCAGCCCAGCCCCTGAGTGGGTGGAACAGATGATCCCCACTTTATAAGAGTAAATCCATTCCCACCTAAGCCCCTTGCAATTCCTAGGTACCTGCCCGGAAGTACTTCTGGTGATTTTGCTACTGACTCCAGCCCTCCCGGGGCCAATGACTGCTCCCAGGCCACACCCGGTGAAGGGGCCCCACTTTCCCCAAGGACCTTAACCCCTACTTCCCCCCTCTGCCCTCCACGCTCTCTTTTCCTTCCCATAAAATCGCTTCTGTTTTCTTTGTTCTTACCATAAGGTTTAATTACCCTCCCCGCCCTAAGTCCTTAGAACAAAAAAATTCTAACCACAATCTCCAGTTATGGTGGGCCATTTCCAACCCCACCTCCCGGAAGAGGGTCAACTGCCATTATGAAGCCTTCACCTTTCCACTAGAAACGACTTTTGACACCAGGAACACTGCACTTCCTCGCCAAAGAACCTCACACAGTTTACATGCTGAACCCCTGCTACAAGTGTATTTACACATCCTCACATATACAATAAAAGATTTTGAAGCCCCTAGTGTATACCATACACCCAAGCTCAGCACGTTGCAGACAAGCTCTCATTTAAGTCTTGGAGCAGCCCTGAGGTAGGAAACAATTCTCACCCCCATTTTGGAGATGAGGAAACTGAGGGACTAAATGATGTGACCCAGGTCCCAAAGTTTTAGGTGGTGGAGCTCTGGGGCTGTCAGCTGCCCTCGCCCTCAGGGGCTGAAGTTGAAGGGGCTAACAGAAAGGAGTCTATCTTTCCCTTTGCACAGTTGTCACTTAGAGGGACCTCAGGATAGAGGTGCCTCAGCCCCTAAGTGCTGCAGGACATAGTGACGCTTCTCTTCAGGGTTTAGGTTTCACAAGTGTCGAGGCCCGATGAATTTAGAATAACCTCTGACACCCAAGGCCTGGCCTCGCCTTCCTTTGGCTGAATTTTCTCCTCAGGCCTCTGCTGTGACCTCCTAAAAGGGAGTTTGGGCGCTGGGGAACAGCACGGTCCTTGTACGCCCAAGCTGGCTGGACTGGAGCCCCAGCAGGAGACTTAATCTGGCCTTAGACTGACTGATGAGGTCCTAAGAAAATAAAGCTCCGAGGCAGCTCCAGCACATGCCAGCAGGGGCTTATTCTGGGGTGGTTTTTTTTTTTTTTTAAGATTTTATTTATTTATTCATGAGAGACACAGAGAGAGAGGGAGAGACAGAGAGAGAGAGGCAGAGACACAGGCAGAGGGAGAAGCAGGCCCCATGCAGGGAGCCTGACATGGGACTTGATCCCAGGACCCCAGGATCACACCCTAGGTGGAAGGCAGGTGCTAAACTGCTGAGCCACCCAGGTATCCCCTGGGGGTGGGTTTTTCATGCACGTTTTTTTGCATATTCACTTTTCTTCAATAAACATGCATTCATTTTTTCAACACTAGTTATAAAAAGTTTCAAATGAGGAAAAATTTAGTTGTAAATACTTTGGGGAAGTCAGTGTAATACAGATGTTCCCCACTAGACCTTAATATGCAGTTTAAAAAGGTTAATCATGGGGGATCCCTGGGTGGCTCAGTGGTTGAGCGCCTGCCTTCTGTCCAGGGCGTGATCCTGGGGTCCTGGGATCGAGTCCCTCATCGGGCTCCCTGCATGGAGCCTGCTTCTCCCTCTGCCTGTGTCTCTGCCTCTCTCTCTCTGTCTTTCATGAATAAATAAATCTTTAAAATAAAATAAAAAGGTTAATCACGTTAGCTACAAATCAAACCGCCTGAACTCCAATCTCATTGCTACCAATTAGTAACTGTGGCTCCTCGCAAGTTCCTTAACCTCCATAAAAATGGGAATCATAGGAGTCCTTTCCTATGTTAGTAACAGACACTTAGCAATCCCAGCCCCTGTGTGTGCCCAGGATCCTGTTTAATCATTTAATCCTCAGCACAAGGGTGTGGGGGCAGGTACCCCTTATCCCCTCTTTACAGCTGAGGCCATTGAGGATGCTCTGCCCCTGAACCGATCAATGGGATTTGAGCCCAGGCAGCCTGGCACCAGAACCCAGCCTCAAGCTACTTGTCTAAAGCTGCCTCTCAAAAAGGGTTGTGGTACATGATAAATCGCTTTATTTATTTTTTTGAAAGGTCTTACTTTTTCATGAGAGACACAGAGAGAGGCAGAGACACAGGCAGAGGGAGAGGGAGAAACCAGATTCTAGGGCCCAGGGAACACGACGGGAGCCAAAGGCCGACCCTCAACCACTGAGCCACCCAGGCGCCCCCTGATAAAACGCTTTAACGCGCTCAGAAGTCTGGCGTCTGGCACTTAGCAAGCGCCCAGGGAGGTTTCCTACGGTCGCATTAATATTTGGAGTCTCGTGTCCATCATAAAACTAACACGCATACAAGGCGACTTAATTGGGCAGAAAATCACAAAGACGGCTGGGGTCGCCGGGCAGGGGTGGGGGGTCGAGGGGCGGGGCGGGGGGGAGCTACGGGGCGGGGGGTAGGTCGCGGGGTCGGGGGTGTGGAGCGGCGGGGAGAGTTCTCGCAGCGGGGTTGGGGGGGCGCAAGGCCAGGGGGTGCAGAGCCGACCAGGAGAGGTCTGGGGCGGGGTTGGGGGTCGTGGGGCGGGGTGGAGCGGGGAAGGGTTGGGGGCACGGGGCGGGAGGGGGGCAGTGAAGCGGGGGGGGCCGCGGGGAGGCGTTGGGGGGCGCGGGTCTGGAGGGGGGGCCGCGGGGAGAGGTTGGGGGCGCGGGGCGGGGGGTATGTAGCGGGGGGGGCGCGGGGAGGGGTTGGGGGCGCGGGGCGGGGGGGGGGTGGAGCGGGGGGCCGCGGGGAGGGTTTCGGGGGGCGCGGGGCGGGGGTGTTTGGAGCGGGGGGGCCGCGGGGCGGGGGGGTGGAGCGGGGGTCCCGCGGGGCGGGGTTGGGGGGCGCGGGGCCGGGGGGCGCGGAGCGGGGCGGGGTTGGGGGGCGCGACCGGGGCTCGGGGCGGGCGTCCCCCCGGCGGGCGGGCAGGAAGCGGGGCGGCGGGCGCGCGGGGCCGCCCGTCGGGGCCGGGGCCGGGGCCGGGGCCGGGGCCGGGGGCGGGGTCGGGGAGGCCCCGCCCCGCGGTCACCTGCGGCAGGTGGAGCGCGCGGCGCCGGGCGCTCGGCCATGTCTGCGGGGAGCGCGGGGCCGGGGCCGCTGTGCCCGGAGCACGGCCAGGCCCTGGGCTGGTTCTGCTGCTCCGAGCGACGGCCCGTGTGCGCCGGCTGCGCGGGGCTGGGCGGCCGCTGCCGGGGCCACCGCATCCGCCGGGCGGAGGAGCGCGCGGAAGAGCTGCGGGTGAGCGGGCGGGGTCGCCGGAAGGCGGGGGCCCGAGGGGGGGCGACGGGGGGAGCCGTGGGGGGACCCCGGGGGCCGCGCCGAGAGCGAGGCGGCGGGCCCGGGCGGCCGGGGCGGGAGCGCAGGCTCGGCGGTGGCCGCGGCTCGGAACGAGGCGGTTAAGGGTGTGGCCTGTGGTGGAGTCGCGGAGACGTGAGTTCGAATCCCGCCTCCTCCCCCCCTCCCTGGGAGTCCCCTGAGTCTAAGCCTCAGCGTGTGGGGTGAGGGAAATAACAGCGCGAGTTTACTGGGGTCGTTGTGCCAGAGCCCTAAGCTAATGGGCGGAATCCTCCTTAGTCCCGCACACCGGGCGGGTCGGGCTGCCCGTGCCCCCTCCGCTGCCTGTCGGGGGTGAGAGCCGGGCCGGCCTTGCGTGTGCCCCGCGTCCCGCCCTGGTGGAAGCTGACCTGAGCCCCAAGCGGGCCTCCTCCCTCCTCGGCCCTGGGCTCGAGGCCCCTCCCCTCGTCCACCCTTCAGGCTTCCTGGTGAGCTCATTTCTTTTCCCTTTCTGCGTTGGCCTAGACTGGACCCCAAGCGGGTTCCACCTGGGTAAACGGCGGGGGCGGGGCGGATCTCGGGAGGTTCCTGCTGGACTCTTCACCTAGAGCATCACCCCACCTCCACTCCAGGTTAGCTCCAAGCTGCTCACCTTCTTCACTGCTCACCCCAGGTCTGCTGAGACTGGGGAGTCAGAGTCACCCTAGGTCTCCCTCCTTCCACCCTAGTGGCCCCTGGGGGTTTCCTTGCAATTTAATTAAGCCCCAAAGCTTGGGGAAACCCAGGTGCTCTGCCCACCTGTGAGGCCCGAGGGCTCGGCCTGGGGACTCAGACCGAGGGGTAGTAAACGCACCTGACTGGCCTGGAGGGGTTCACTTACTCAGTGACACCTGAAAACTCCTGGTTGGCTCTCCCTGTCACCACTATCCGTCATCAATAGTGAGGATGAAAATACACTTGGATAATGTGGTGTAATAAACTTGCATAATGGGTGGAAGCTTTGCCAGCACCAAAGCACTCCAGTATCTATCGTCTCATTCCATCCAGACTTCTGAAGTTACATCCTACATACGTTTTGAGCAAACTAAGGCCTGAACCGGGCAGTAACTCCTCCAGGGTTTCTAATATTCAGGAGCTGGACCAAGGGAGTCATTGATTTGGTCAGAGAAAACTACCTTTTTGCTTCAGTGGAGGGAGGAAGTGGTGCTAATGGGCGTGAGAATTCAATAAAAACCTTAAAAAAAAATTGCCATCAGAGCAGAATCTTAGTGGAGGGGGTGAAGGCTGGGGCAGGGTGGCAGGCCTGGGGCTTGATTTGGAACACAGTCTGCCCAGGGTGCCTTCTCTGGCCCCTCCTGAGGCCCTAAGCACATTCATCTCCTTTGCCTGCAGGGAAGGGTTTCTTGCCTTCTCTCCCCCCAATTTTGAGTATATTATGGCATTTACACACTCCTTCTGCTCTCTGTCCAGCCAGCACAGAGATTTTGCCCCAGGGCAAGATGGTTACTTAACTGGGCACCAACAACACCCATTCAACCAAGTCCTTCATACCTTCTGGGTTCTCGTCCTGTAGCTTTGCGGAAGCTAGCTTAGTTTCCTTGGTCCTATGGTGTGTGAAGATCACAGCTTCCTCCCAGCCAGCTCAATTCTTTCACTTAGCATTTGGACCAGCGAAGTGCCAGACTAATTCCTGACTGTGGGGTGGGAAGGATTTGCAAGGGTTGCCTAGAAGAGGAGCCGAGTTGCCTTTTGGCATCTGCTGCAAAGCTCAGAGAGGAAGGAGTGGAGGAGCACTGGTTGGGAAGGAGTCCAAGTCCCTGGAGAAATGGAGTGGAAAAGCAGGGGCCTGACAAGTCACTCCTCTGTGGGCTTCAGCTTCATTTCTAAAACTCTCCCCTGCTCTCCTGTGGGATGCTCACAGCTTTGGCAGATGTGAACAACTGAATCTCTTGTAATCAAGGAAGTAGATGTTCCTTCATTCAACAAATATTTATTCAGGACCTCTATGTGTAGGAGGAACTTTCTTCTAGGTAGTGGCCCATAGCGAACAAGCCAAAGTCATGGTGCCTGTGTTCCAGTGGTGGGGGAATGATACAAAAAAGTAAACGAACCCATAGTATGCAGGCAGAGAGTGATAAATGCAAGGGAGTAAAATGAGCAGAGTAGGCAATGGAGTGTGCAGTGGTCAGGAAGGGCTGAAGTGCTTCAGGAAGCACTTCTGAAGAGGTGACCCTGAATAGAGTAGGGGAGGGAACTTGTATATATGTAGATTTACATATATATATCTGAGAAGACTGCTGGACCCAGAAGAAGCAACAGGTGCAAAGATGCTATTGTCAGGACGAGTTGGTGTGTTTACGGAACAGAAGGAGGCCATTGTGGAGAGTGCTAGGAGGTGACATTGGAGCAACAGAGTCCCATCAGACAGGAAAGCCACTGGACAGTTTTGAGCCAGGCCATGACCTGACCTAATTTCCTTACACAAGGTGGCAGTGGCTAGCTGTGGGGGCTGAGCCCAGTTAGGAGGCTCTAGCTGGGCTCCTATGAGACAGATAGTGACCATCTGAGTAGAATAGCAAGAGTGGAGGTGACCAGAAGTGGTCAGAGGGGAGAGAGAGAGACTTTGGAGTCAGGGCTGATAGGACTCACTGAGAGATGATAGATATATGCCAGTTTGGAAAGTAACTCCTGGGGTTTTTGTTGGGGTAAGGAGGTTGATGATTGCTGGTGCTGTTTAATGAGTGGGGATAACTTCGGGAAAGGCAATTTGAGAAGCCGTGTTCTTCTGCTCAGGTGTGGAGAGCCAGGGAGCTGGGTCGGAAGGAATGCTGAGAGCTTACGCAGGAAAGTGATTACGATGATGGGCCTCGGATTTCAGGATAAGGAGGGAAATGAGGCCACAAAGTGGGTGATGGACACTGAAAGGTGTTAAGACTAATGTATTGGTGGCTTCAACTAGGCTAAAGAATGGCTGGACTGGAGGGGCGCCTGGGTGGCTCAGTCCGTTAAGCTTCCTACTCTTGGTTTCGCCTCAGGTCCTGATCTCAGGGTTGTGGGATTGAGCCCTGTGTTGGGCGTGCTCAGAGTGGAATCTGCTAGGAGTCTCCCTCCCTCTCCCATTCATGCTTTCTCTCTCAAATATTTTTTTAAAAAAAGAGACTTGTTGGGACCCCTGGGTGGCTCAGCAGTTGAGCATCTGCCTTTGGCTCAGGGCGTGATCCCGGGGTCTGGGATCCCTGCAGGGAGCCTGCTTAACCCTCTGCCTATGTCTCTGCCTCTGTCTCTCTCTCTCTCTCTCTCTCTCTCTCTGTATTTCTCATGAGTAAATAAATAAAATCTTTTTAAAAATTAAAAAAAAGACTTGTTGGACTGGAAAATCTAGAGTAAGTAATCTGGAAGGATGGAAGTGGTGGGCATGGTGTGGAAGCCTTGAAATGAAGATTTTGGAGGTGGTATGGTTTTCAGTAATAACAAGGTCTCAGATGTGACTGTGGGTGCAAGTGGCTGAGGTAGATGCAAGGGAATGGGGGAAAATCATTGGGGATTAGAGTGAATGGATCCACATGGATCAAGATGCCATGGATGTCATTTGTATTTTGCAGAACAAGATTGTGGACCAGTGTGAGAGGCTGCAGTTACAGAGTGCCAGCATCACCAAGTATGTGGCTGAGGTCCTGCCAGGGAAGAACCAGAGAGCAGTGGTAGGTGGTTCTCCTTCCCCTCTGCTCTGGACCCCTCCTAGGATAAGACTCCAGCCTTAGCATGGGCCCGTCTAGGATCCCTTCCCAACCTCACAGACTCACTGTGCCACTAGCGAAGCTGGATGCCCAAGGAAGGTTTCCTATCTCTCCGAGCCATGCATTTACCATCTGGGCAGAGAGGACTCTTCCCAGTATCACACTGGGGCAAATACTGGGAAAATGACTTTCTTGGAGAACAGGATCAGGAAGGGTAGCATTCTTCCGCCATCTAAGTATTTTGTGGTCAGCCCCCACGTTCTAAAGTAACCTATGGACTTCTACATGGAGTGTCCTTTATGACCATCTTATGCAGTAGGTGGCGGTAACATACCTGTTTACAGACAGGAAATGGGTCACCTAGAGGTTAATTGACCTGCCCACAGTCCACAGCCTCCTGCCAGAGGCAGTTCCAGGATCTTCTGACTCCCAGGCCAGTGCTCCTACTGCTACTCCCAACTGCTGAGCCTTTATTCACTTGCCCCCGTCACCTTTAAGTATGCCCCTCATGGGTAAGGGCTTTGAATTTCTTTCAGTACATCCCCTCCTTCCTTCTTCAACATGTACAGTGGAGCAGGCTTGGCATGGTCTTAGTCAAGGTTCTTTTCTTTTCTTTTCTTTTCTTTTCTTTTCTTTTCTTTTCTTTCTTTTCTTTCTTTCTTTTCTTTTTTAATTCATGAGAGACAGAGAGAAAGAGACACAGGCAGAGGGAGAAGTAGACTCCTCGCAGGGAGCCCGATGCGGGACTCAATCCCAGGACCCCAGGATCACGCCCCGAGCCAAAGGCAGACACTCAACCACTGAGCCACTGAGGTGCCCCAGTCAAGATTCTTTTGATTGTGTAAAAGGAAACCCAGTTGAACTAGTTTGAGCAAAACAGGGCATTTCCTGGCAGGATACAGAAGCCTCTCAGAACCTAAAAGGGATGAGAACCAGGAAGGAAGAAGCTGCTAGGAGGCCAGGCAGCTATTCTGTGTTCAGTTCTGCTTCTCTTAGCATGATGGTTCTTCTCTCTCTCACCCATTTTCTTCATCCTTTTTATTTTCTTGTCTTGACCGCACTGGCCAGGACCTCAGTACAATGTTGAATAGAAGCTCGCGTAGCAGATACTGACTTCAAGGGGTATACTCACAGCATTTAACCATTTCTGTATGTATTTAACAAATCTATGGAGCACCCACCACCTGCCCAAGTACCATTGTTTTATATACTAGAGATTCCACAGTAAACAAAACATATGAAAATTCCTGTTTTCTTGAAACTTATGTGGTGTAAGGGGGTAGGACAATCACAATTAAATACATGCTATGTCAAAAGGTGAGAAGTGCTATGGAGATGTTTAACACAGAAAGGAGGACCTTCTTTGTTGAGAACGGGGGTTGCAATTGCATATACTCTGATCAGAAATGACCTAATTAAGTATTGATATTTGCACAACATTTACAGAAGGTGAGGGAATCTGGGGGAAGAGTTCTAGGAAGAGGGAATGGCAAGTGCAAAGGCCCTAAGGTGGAAGCATACCTGACCGTTGGAGGAGCAGCAAGGAGGCCTATGAGGCTGAAGCAGAGTAAACAGGTGAGAAAGCAATAAGAAGTGAAGTCAGAGAGGCAGGGCGTCGGGGAAGCTAGATAGCATCATCACTGGATGCATGGGGACTTTGCCTTTTGTTTGGGTGAGGTGGGAAGTCTCTAGAAATTTATGAGCAGAGTAAGATGATATGACCTAAGATTAAAAAGAACACTGGTTACTGTTTGAGAAGTGACCATAGGCCACAAAGGCAAAAGCAGGGAGACCAATTAGGAAGCTGGCATAATAATCCAGGTGAAAGACAAGAGTGATTTGGACATGAGTGATGCTGAAAAGTGTCTGGATTCTATGTCTATTATGAAGGGAGAGACAGTAGGATATGCTGATGGACTGGATGTAGGCAAGAGAGAAAGGTAGGAGTGGGGAGGAATAACTCTTCACCATTCTTCTTTCTTAAATATTTTGATTTGAGAGCTGGAAGGATGAGGCAGCCATTTACCAAGGTGGGGAAGGACCACATGTGGAGTGATGGTTGGCAGGGAGGGAGATTAGGAATTCAGTTGTGGACATGTTAAATTTGAGATGCATGAAAGACATCCAAGGGAAGATATTGAGTAGGTAACTGAATGTGTGTAAGTTGGGAGAAGACCAGGCTAGAGACATAAATTTCACGAGACTATAAATGAGTGGTATAAATTGGAAGCCACAGGAAGAGATGAAATCACTAAGTGAATAAGTAAAGATTAGGAAAATGCAGGGATCCAAGGACCAAGCTCTAGGGCACCTCAACAGTTAACTGTTAAGAAGATAGAAGAGAGAGTGGTACCTGGCTGGCTCAGTTGGAGGAGCATGTGACTCTTGATCTCAGGGTCATGAGTTGGAACCCCAGGGTTTAGCGATTACATAAATAAAATTAGGGAGAAGAAGAAGATGGGGGAAGAGTAGGAAGAGAAGGAAGAGGAAAATGAAGATAGAATCAGGAAAGTCAACCAAGAAGGAGCAATGAATGAGATAGGAGTCAAACTAAGAGTGTTGTGTCCACACAATAGGTTTCCAGGAGGTGGGATGTCACGTGTTGGAGAGAGGTCAAGTAAGGTCAGAAACGAGAGTGGGCCATTGGATTTAGTAACAGGTTCATCACTGGAGTTCGTGACAAGAGGTGTTTTGTAGAGTGGTGGAGTAGAAGCCTGATGAGAGCGGGTTTCAGAGAGAACAGAACTGTAATTTGGGCACAGACAACACTTGAGGAGCTTTGCTGTAAGAAGGGGGCTGAGAAATGGGATGATAGTGGAGGGGGATATGGGATCAAGATGGTATTTTATTTTGAAGATGGGAGAAATTACTCTGCTGATAGGAATTGTCTGGTAGAGAGGGAGAAATTAATGGTGCAGGAGAAAGGGGGAGAGACAGGTCCAGCAGCGGGGGATGGGATCTAGTAAACAAATGGAGACTTAGCCATAGGTAAGAGCATGAGTGTTCACAGGAACGGGGAAGGCGGAGTATATGGGCACAGGTGCAGGTAGATGGGTAGGTGGTGGCACAGCTTACGTAAATTCTCTGCTGACTGCTTCCATTTTCCTTTGTTAATCATGTTTACTCTAAGAACATTAATCATGTTTACTCTAAGAACATTAATCATGTTCTTAATGCTGCCATTTGTCGGTTTATACATCTGCTTTGTCCCCCATCAACCTGTTAACATGGTAATACATTAATAAGAGTTTCTAATGCTAAACCATCCTGAATTCCTAGGGAAAACCAACTAAACTTGATCGTAGGTATTTTTTTTCAACTTTAAATGTTGAGGTAGTTGTAGATTCACATACTGTTGTAAGAATTAATCATATGGCCATATCCCCTATGCCCTTCATCCAGTTCCCCCCAATGGTAACATGTTGCCTAACTGTAGTACAATGTCATGACCAGGACACTGGCATCGATACAACCCAGCTTATTCATATTTCACTGATTTTACACTCATTTGTGTGTGTGTATTTAGTTCTGTGTAGTTTTATCTTGTGTATAGATTCATGTGACTTCTCCCACAAGCAAGGTACAGAACAGTTCTATCGTAAGGATCCCTGTGCTACCTACCCTTTTATCACCCAGCCCTTCCTCTCCTTCCCTTTGTATCATCGTTATACAAAATTTCTGAGTTTGGATTTATACATTTTTGTATTTTGTGGGTTTTTTTAAGCGTTTTTATGTCTATACTCAGGCATGAGATTAGCCTATGAGTTTCATTTCTTGCATAGTCCTCATCAGATTTTGGTATTGAGGTCATATAAACCCTATTCAATGAATTGGGAACTCTCTATTTTCACTGGAGGAATTTGTATTAAGACTGGAATTATTTGTGCCTTAAATATATGCTAACACCTGCTATAAAACTGTGGGCCTGCTGTTACTTTTTTAGGTAGTTTTTTATTTTAAGATTTTATTTATTTATGCATGAGAGAGAGAGAGAGAGAGAGAGAGAGGCAGAGACATAGTCAGAGGGAGAGCAGGCTCCATGCACGGAGCCAGAGGTGGGACTCAATCCCTGTACCCAGGATCACGCCCTGAGTCAAGGGCAGGTGCTCAACTGCTGAGCCACCCAGGTGACCCAGTAGTTCTTAATCTTGATTAAAGTTGCCACTAGTTTGTCTGTTTTATTAGTATTTTCAAAAACCAGCTTGTAGTATTTTGATCCTATCATTTTTTTAAGTTTATTTTTTTGTAGTGATCTTTATACCCAGCATAGGGCTCGAACTGAACACTGAGATCAAGAGTCACATGGTCTTCTGACTGAGCCAGCCAGGTGCCCCTCTTTTGTATCTTTAAAAAAGAAAAATAATCTCATTTTTTATTTCTTCTTAGCTTTATAATTTTTTCCTTCTAATTTTTTATATATTCTGTTGTTATTTAATTCCCTTAGCTGAGCACAGTCTATTAATTTTAGCCTATCTTCTTTCTTGAGGTCAACATTTAAGTCATATATTTCCTTCTAGGTATTGCTTAGAGGTAGCTCTCACAAATCTGACGGCAGACATTTCATTCTGAATGAAATGTCCATTATGATTTGTTCTTTTACTATGTGTTATTAGAAATCGGTTTTTAAATCTCTGAATGTATGGTTTTACTTTTAAAATTATCATCGTTATTTTTTTCCACTAATTTCTTTCTTTTTTTTTTTTAAGATTTATTTATTTATTTATTCAGAGAGAGCAAGAGAGAGGCAGAGACACAGGCAGAGGGAGAAGCAGGCTCCATGCAGGAAGCCCGACGTGGGACTTGATCCCGGGTCTCCAGGATCACACCCCGGGCTGCAGGCGGCGCTAAACCACTGCACCACCGGGGCTGCCCTTTCCACTAATTTCTAACTTAACTTCATTGTAGTCAGCCTATCAGTTGTTAAAAATTTGTTGAGACTTGCTCTATACCCTAAAACATGGTCACTTTGGTAAATGTTTCACATTCAAATCTTCTCTATAGTTACTATTTTTTTATCTGCCAGATTTACTGACTGCTGGCAAGGGGCATTTATAGTTTTATATCATGCTGAGGATTTGTCTATTTTTCTGTATAATTCTGTCTTTATTGGGCTCTTAGGTTTAGAAGAGTAGAACATTCTAAAATAAACCACAAACCACTTTCAGGGCAATAGAGTCTCAGCTCTCGATCACACTGGTTTTTAGTTTCTTTTCTACTTTTGGACCCCAGGGGATTTCCTTTACTTAGCTGCCAGAGCAGCTTCACTTTTAAAAGGATGCTTTGGGCTATTTTTCCAGCACTTCTGTGTTTTGTCTTAGGACAGCATTTAGTTTTTTCTGGCATATCTTTGGGAAGGGAAATTTTTTTTCTCTCTATTTTCTGGGAATGAGTCAAGAAATGTGTTGAAATTGATTACAGTCTTCTAGCAAGAGACTGACTTTGTGATGCATCTTGAGCCAGGGTCTGTTCTTGGTCCTGATGGCATACACAGTACACACGTGGCTCCCCCTGTGGGCAAGGCAGCAAGGGGCGATAGAACAATAGCTAATGCTGCTGAACACTTAACGTGCTAGGCTTTGTTCTGTTTACTTTGTATGTATTAACTCATTTAATCTTCCACAATAACCTCACGAGATAGGTACTTTATTATCCTCATTTAACAGATTAGAAAACTGGGGCACCGGGGTGGCTCAGTCAGTTAAGCATCTGCCTTCAGCTCAGGTCATGATCCCAAAGTCCTGGGATTGAACCCCACGTCAGGCTCCTTGCTCAGCAGGGAGTCTGCTCTCCCTCTCGCTCTGCCTGCCGCTCTCCCTGCTTGTGCTCTCTCTCTCTCTTATAAATAAATAAATCTAAAAACAAAACAAAACAAAAACAGATTAGAACACTGAGGCATAGGGAAGATCAGTAATGTGCTCAACATCCTGCAGATAGTAAGTGGAAAGCCTCATTCCCTAACTAGTGTGTTATGTTGGCTCAGGGAAAACTGAAGATGGAGCCAGAACTCCTAGGTTCACTTAGGCCATTCACTCTCTTCCTCTGCACTGGGCAAATTGTGGGTCTCAGTTGTTGCTGTGAAGCGGGAGTCATTATCCCCATGCACGGTGCAGAACAGGTCTACACAGCAGGACATAGAGAAAACTGCTGGCTATCCATGACTTTCTGGCATGAAGGAGACTGTTCTACTTCTTCTCACTTGTCTGGCAAGAGTGCAGGTATTTCATGCAACCTTTGGGGATGATTGATTGTCCGGTGGCATTGGTGGAAAGGGAATAGTATTGAACTGAGAGTCAAGAGAACTGGGTTCTAGTCCCAGCTCTGTCACTGACTTGGCCTGTGAGTGCTACCAAGAGATTTCGGACTTAGTCAGAAGAGACTTTTCCCTCAGTCATTCAGCAAATATTTGAGTACCTACTGTGTGTCAGACCCTTGCTAATTACTAGGAGATCCATATTAGCTTCGTTAGAGAATTGATTTCATTCCTCCTGGCATGAATAAGAATCCTACCACGGAAGCCATTGGAATGGACAGATTTAGGGAAAAATGAGATTTTTTTCACTCAGACATAGTCAAAATATCAACGGGGCTACTACTGTTGGTGTCGATCCTGTTGATGGGGATGCCCTCGTGGGCTCTTTTGCTCTACAATTCTATAGTTCTCTGACCTCGGTCCCTTGGCCTTGGAATTCTCCACTGTGAAATGATTGATTCTAGTTGATCTCTAGACCATGCCCCACTCTTCCATTCTGTGATCCTACCTCTATGGGATATGACCTAGATGTCTGGATCTCATATTTCTTTACCCTAAACCATATTTGGGAACTCTAAGGGCAAGCACTGTTTCTTCCATTACTGTGCCCATCGCAGTCATTACCAATCAATCCCAGCACTCTTTCCCACGGAGACTGAATCCTCTTAATCTTGACTGGGGCTTTGCTAGAACCCGATTCCTTGTGTTATCCCTCATCAGAGCACAGCCAGCGCAGCACGGGAACTGGTCATCCAGAGGCTAGGTGTGGTGAGGAGTCTGTGTGAGAGTGAGGAGCAGCGTTTGCTGGAACAGGTGCATGGCGAAGAGGAGCGGGCCCACCAGAGTATCCTGACACAGCGAGTACACTGGACTGAAGCGCTGCAGAAGCTTGACACCATTCGGACCAGCCTGGTGGACATGCTCACCCATCTGGATGACCTCCAGCTGATTGTAAGTCGGGCAGGGTTGAGGACACACCCAGTGGACCCAGATATGCCCAAAATCTAAAACACCGAGAATGATTATTGGTAAGAGTTGGGTGGATATGGATAATCTAGAGCAGGAATGAAGCAAGGAAATAAAATCATATGGAATTTTTTTTATCAGAATACTGATAAGTATTCTTTTAATAGTGAGCAAATATTTACTGAGTGTCTACTATGTGCTGTTGTGCCATGGGGTGGAGTTACAGGGCATAGCTGTTAATATCTTATGAAGGAGATGAATACATAATCTAATAATGGAAGGTTACATCCTCTGGTCGAGGACATCACTGGGAGCTAGAGACCCCACAATCCAGGCTTGTAGGTGGCAGTGGTCAGGGTGGGCGTCCTGGATGAAGTAACTTCGAAGCTGGTGCCTGAAAGATAAAGAGGAACAGCTCATTAAACGAAGTGGAGAGGCAGAGAGAGGGTGCAGAAGCGTGCAGAGGGAGGACACTGACCAGGGGTCCTTATTCTTACCACCCAGAAACCACCATGGGTAATATTTTGGTACATATCCCTGCAGAGTACTTTATATAGAGCTGCAGATCCGTGCAGTTTAACAGGACAGTCTGATGTTGGAGTAAATATGCCAAGCAGAGAAATCAGAATGTGGAACAATCCAGCTGTTCCCCTGTAGTTCAAGTAGGGCAGTTCCCTTCGCTGCCCTAAATTGTGCATTCATTTAGTCACAGTTTCCACGGACAGAGCACATTGTGTCCCAAACACTGGGATGGTCACAAGAGAAGATTCAGGAAGAGTCCCAGCCATCCAGGAGCTGGCAGCCTTGGGGTGGGGGCAGTGAAGTGTTGGTAGATGTGTACTTGTCCTAAAGTGCAGTTTAAGGAAACAGAGGATGCCCCAGGGCACAGGAGACAGTGATTCATGCCAAATGCGTGGTGGGGATTGTGTGTGAAGAAGAACCCAGATAGTAGCTTCGTTTTGGAAATTTTTTTTTTCATTTTGGATCTTAAAGCAGGAATAGGATGCTTTATTTTAGAGTCTGTCCACGTAGCACCCTCCATACCAGTTGAAAATATACAAGTCTTGACCACCTGCTGAGTTCCTGGTACCAAGCCTGACTCTGTTTTCTTTTCTCACAGCAGAAGGAGCAGGAGATTTTTGAAAGGTGAGTATGGCCCCATCATTTCCCTGGGCAGTCATGGAAACCATTGCCCGCCGGCCTGTAACTAGTCCGTTGCCTTGAGGCCTTGCTGCTCCCGGGAGGAAGCCCAAGGCATGCGGCTGAGTGGCTACCCTGGAGCCATGCTCCCTGGACCGGGGTCTTCTCGCACCAGACTTGGAGAACTGCTTTAGATGGTGGGGAAGGGGAGTGAAATCAACACTTAGCAACTATAGGCTGGCCAAGGGCTTTCTAGAATGTTATCCTGTTGGAGTGTTTTATATCCCCCATCTAAGGATGAAACTACTGAGGCTCAGGGGCACCTGGGTGGCTCAGCTGGTTAAGCATCTGCCTCCCTCTCAGGTCATGATTTTAGGGTCGTGGGATCGAGCCCTGCATCAGGGCTCTCCCGCTCCCCCTGCCTGTGCTCTCTCTCATTCTGTCAAATAAATAAACAAAATCTATGAAAGAAAGAAAATACTGAGGCTCGAAGAGGGGTGGGGACTTGCCTATGCCCAGAGTTGGGGCATGGACCCACACCCGACACCTGTCCCACCACTGTCTCCTCTGCCTCAGTTCCCCCTTTCTCGGATGAAAGAATCTTGGAAACTTAAGTCTAGTTACCACTCAAAATTTGCATTTTAATGAAGCAATAAGAAAAGCATTTAACCAGGCTCTCCCTGGGTCCTGAAGGGCTGAGAGCCAAGAGTCCTAGGAAGTGGCCAAGAGGATGTGATTTGCCAGGCAAAGAAATTAAATTCTTACATCTTCTTTGAGAGACTTCAGAGCTGTACCTAAGGAGCACAACCCATTCTTCTTACTTATTTTTTATATTTAAATTTCAACAGTAATACATGTGTATGAGAGAAAAAAAAATGCCACCTATATAAAACCATTTAAAATTTAGAATGTCTTGGGGTGCCTGGCTGGCTCATTTAGTAGAGCATGTGTAACTTGATATCAGGATTGTGAATTTGAGACCCACATTGGGCATAGAGATTACTTTTTTTTTTTTTTTTTTTTTTTTTAGTTTTTCCATCACACCTTCCTAACACTATTCTTGGAGGTGATCAGTTTTAACAGTCAGATGTGTATTCTGTGGACTTTCCTCTGTAAAGTCCTAGGAGAGTACATCTGGGCTTGTCTACCTCTAAAGATACGTATTTTTTTTTTTTTTAACACAGTTGGGATTGTTTTAAAACTTGCTGTTCTATAACTTATCAAGGTCTCGGGCAGCCCCGGTGGCGCAGCGGTTTGGTGCCGCCTTGCAGCCTGGGTGTGATCCTGGAGACCGGGGATCGAGTCCCACATCGGGCTTCCTGCATGGAGCCTGCTTCTCCCTCTGCCTGTGTCTCTGCCTCTCTCTCTCTGTGTCTATGAATAAATAAAAATCTTAAAAAAAAAAACTTATCAAGGTCTCTTGGAATCTCTCCCTGTCAGTATGTATAGATTTACCTCACTCTCCGGCAAGTCTGTAAAGGCTCCCCCAGTATGGATGCCCCCAACTTTATTTTCCGGTCTCCTTTCCTCTTTCTCTTTTACCTTCTTCATCTTTCTCTAAAACCATCCTGTCTTCAATTTCAAGCTGCTCAGATTTTTGAAGGAAAAAAGTTGATCTTTAATTTTTTTTTCTTTGCAACATTTCAAATATAGGGAAAAGTTGTGAAATAGTATAAGGTGCTTTGCCTAAAAATCCTAACTGGTAGTAATTTGCCACATCTGCTCTTTCATGGTTTGTTTGTCTCTTCCTTTCTAACAAGTGAATATATGGCACTTATTTTTTACTGACCTCTTTGAGACCAAGTTGCAGAAAGTGAGACCTTGTATGTCTAAATGCTTCAGCATCTTTCTCTCAAGAACAAAGACCATCTCTTCCATAACTACAGTGTCACTATTAAGCTCTGGAAATTTAATGCTGGTATAATACTATTATCTAATATACAGTCTGTATTCAAATGTTGCTAATTGTGCCCCAAACATTCTTTTTTTTTTTTTAAGATTTTATTTATTTATTAATGAGAGACACAGAGAGAGGCAGAGAGATAAGCAGGCCCCATGCAGGATCCCGACGCGGGACTTGATCCCGGAACTCTGGGATCACGTCCCGAGCCGAAGGCAGACGTTGCTCAACCACTGAGCCACCCAGATGTCCCTGCCCCAAACATTCTTAACAGGGTTTGCTGTGTTTTGTGTTTCCTGATTCATCTGGTCTTTTAATCTGGAATTGTTCCTTAGCCTTTTAAAACAACCATAACAACAAAATACTTTTGAAGAGTATAGGCCAGTTTTATAGACTATCCCTCAGTTTGGATTTATCTGCTGTGCCCACATCCAGGGCGGGACTCAGCTCTGGCTGCCACGGCAACAGGTCCTGCTGCCCGGAGCGGACATTCTGATCCCAGCCAGGGCCGTGCTGTACCCCAGCCCCATTGCACTGCCACTCCTTTGGGATCACGAGTTTTCCCCTTGGAACCATGAGGCGCTGGACCAGCTGGCTGTCTAGACTCTAGTGTCTATGCCTGGCCTCCGATTTGCCTTGGGTTGGCTCAGCGCTGCTGACATGGGCTCCTCTTTCCTCCCCACCTGATGGCTGGGGCTCCTCCAGCCCCACCTTCGGTGCTTGGAGAAGATGCAACAGACCCTCTCTTGTCCTGATCACAAAGAGCCTTTGTTACCAGAGCCTGTTCTCAGCTTTTCTAGGGCTCTGTTCACCTTGCTCTTCCCAAGCCAGGATACTGACAGTCTTTCAAAGGAGCTTGCACCCATGAGCTGTGCCCCACTCTCTGCTCCTTCATTATGGGCAGAGCCAGGAGATTTGGGGAAGAGAATGTGCTCTCAGAACTGCTGCCTAGATCTCAAAGCCATCTTCAGGGTCAGAGGTGGTGGGAGAGCTCTTTCTCAGAAACTAGTTCAGAGGCCCACAAAGCTCCTTAGCGAACCCTTACTTTGCCTTACACCCTCTTGATTATTTTCATTTTAGGTCAAGGGCAAAGTTATGTTGAATAGTGCCTGGACTCTAGACTGGATTTGTTCTGTTTTTGCATGGAGGCAGCACTTGAAACCAGCTCCTCTTTTTTGCTGAGTGCTTTCTCTGAATTTCTCTTTTTTCCTGTCAAATGGGATAACAGCTATGTCCCAGGTTAGAGCAAAGATGACATGAGATTCTATACAGAAAACTGGGAGCCCCATAACCTACATTCTTAATAAATAGTAATTCTCCCCTCCTGGGCATGCTCTATTCCCATATTCCCTCCAGCCAAACCCAGTGCCCCTGTGGAGAGGTATCTATTGGGAGCAAAGCACTAGAACTAATTTATGGTTGGGGGTGATAACCGATAGTCCCTTCTTCTGGGATTCCCTCAAGGGTGTTGCATTTTAAGAGTAGGGGAGTGGCTGTACCTTCTGACCAAAGCAATAGGTTTTGCTGTAGTAAGTTTTGTTTGTTTTTAAAGATTTTATTTATTTATTCATGAGAGACACAGAGAGGCAGAGACACAGGCAGAGGAAGAAGTAGGCTCCATGCAGGGAGCCTGACGTGGGACTCGATCTCAGGACCCCGGGACCCTGGGACCCCACCCTGAGTGAAAGCCGGACGCTCAACCGCTGAGCCACCCAGGTGTCCCATCTTAGTGGGGTTTTGGTTGCATCTGATGTTTGACCCAGATCCATGTCCAGAACCTTCCTGAATTTCTGTTTTATTTTGTTTTTTTTTTTCCACAAGGACCGAGGAGGCAGAGGGCATTCTGGATCCTCAGGAGTCGGACAAGTTAAACTTTAATGAGAAGTGCATTCGGAGCCCACTACTTACCCAACTCTGGCTGACAGCAGTTCTTGGGTCCCTCTCAGGTTAGGAGCTGTTAGAGCCTAGCACCAGTTGGCACAACTGGGCTGTTGGCTGGCTGGCTGGGGTTTGCTGCTGGGGTCACACTGGGAACCAGAGCATCTGGCATGGTAGCTTAAGCAATGAGTGATGCTAGATGCGGGCTTGTCAATGAGGCCAAGGTTTTGGACAGGCCTGGGGTGGCTGGGTCAGATCCTTCTCATTTCCAGACCAACCTGCTCCGTTGGGTCTAAGAAAAATCTGGTTCCTGTAAGTCACATCTCTGTGAGTCACAGCTTAGTATTATCTCTTGGAAACCTAGTTTCTCTTTAAGAAGATATAATTGATGGCCAACTGGAGAGTATCTGGAGCGAGAATTGAGCTGCCTGGATTTGCCTCACTTAGTTAACATTGACTCAGGCGACTGTGGCCTGGCCTTGTGCTGCACGCTAAGGCCACAGAGGTGAATGGGACACGGTCTTCGCCCTGCAGGAATTCCCACTTAGTGCAGAAGTTCTCCAAGCCAGATCCTCCAAACTGGGTGGATCCCCCAAACTGTCTTCCTAGTTGTGACGCTTTTGCACAATTCACAGAGTTAGGTTAATGGATTGAAGTTTTCCTCAATTTTAACTCTCCTCCCTTGCGTGTTAGCCTTAAATTTTTAGTACAAGCTATAGCTTGTCTGCTCTAGATTCTATTATCGGAGAGTGCCAGCAGTCCTGTTTAGTTCCTTGTTGGAAAGGATGCGTCTGATGCTTCCTAGCTCCCAGGGACCATGCTCCTAGGACATATCTGATCTGGAGGCCACAGATAGGCCCAACTGGAGTACACTCTGATCAGTGCTGGATGCTGGATCTTCATTTTGCCCCACCACCAACTAGGTGCGTGACTTTGGGCAACTTGCTTGTCCTCTCTGGGCCTTATTTCTAGATGGGGGTCTTGGACTAATGATAACTATTGTTACCATGGCCACAATTTATCGAGCGTTTTAATGGTAGGCACTTGATATGTATCATCTCATTTGGTCCTCATGTTCGCCCTATAATAAGCCCTGTTAGTCCCCATTTTACAGATGAGGATACCGAGGCTCAGAGACAGTAAGTGGCTTGTCCGAGGTCACACTGCCAGTGAGTGGGGAGGAAGCCCTTTGCTGCTGGACAGGACCAGGTTAGGGCTGAGGGTGGGCCGTTGGGCAACTCTGAGAATTCCTTCTGGCAGGCATGGAGGACGTGCGTATCGACGAGAGGACTGTCAGCCCCTTGCTGCAGCTGTCAGATGATCGAAGGACCCTGACCTTCAACGCCAAGAAGTCCAAGGCCTGTGCCGATGTCCCCGAGCGCTTTGACCACTGGCCCAATGCCCTCGCTGCCACCTCTTTCCAGGCTGGGCTGCACACCTGGCTGGTGCACGTCCAGAACAGTTGTGCCTATAAAGTGGGCGTGGCCTTGGGCCAGCTGCCCCGCAAGGGCTCTGGCAGCGACTCCCGGCTGGGCCACAACACCTTCTCGTGGGTCTTCTCCCGCTATGACCAGGAGTTCTGTTTCTCGCACGACGGGCAGCACGAGCCGCTGGGGCTGCTGCGTTGCCCCTCGCAGCTGGGTGTGCTCCTGGACTTGCAGGCACAGGAGCTGCTCTTCTACGAGCCCGCCTCGGGCACGGTGCTCCACACCCACCACGCGCCCTTCCCGGGGCCCCTCTTCCCCGTCTTCGCCGTGGCCGACCAGACCATTTCCATCGTCCACTGACCTGGGGCCACAGGGAGCCCGGGGCTACCCCCCACGCCTCCAGGCCACGTTCCTCTCCAGCGTCTTTTCCCCCAAATGTTGCCTCTGCCCAGTGGGCAGCTTTTAGGAGGGGTGGGGACCCGCTTCGGGCCTGCGTCCCGGCTCGGCATCCGTGGGGAGCCTGCCGCTCCCTGGGCCTCAGCCTCCCAAACCCGCCACGCATCTGCCCCTCTGAGGGTGTCTTGTTTACCAGTCACAGCTGGCATCCAGCGCGGTGCCTGGTGCCTACTGATTGTGCAATAAATATTTCACAAGCACGTGGATGGATGGAAGGGTGCCCAGGTGTGTGTGGGAGGCTCTTCTCGAGAACCTTAAAGGGATTCAGGAGTCCTGCTAGGCCGCTGTTGGCCACAGGACTCTGGCCTGGGGGGCTCAGAAGACTGAGGGCATCCTGTCCGTAGGGAACTGGACTGCAACACCCCCATTGGCGGTTCTGCCTCGGGGTGGGTGGCTGGGCTCAGCTGTGCACCCCTCCGTGGGAACAGGGACAACCCCCCCCCCTGCAACTCGTGGCCCCCCTGGCATACTGTGGGGACCCGGAGGGAGGGCTTCAAGCCTGAGAGGACAGAGGCAGTAAGAGGGTCAGGTTTGGGGAACAGGTATGTTATTAAAGGTTTTCAAAGACTGAGAAGTTTCTTCCATGTTCTTTGTGGCTAATTGGGCAAATCTCCCCAAGTGCCAGCTCACGTCTGAAGAGGTGCCCTTAGAAGAAATGTGTGGGAGATATCAGAAAGGGACACAGAACATAAAGACTTCTAACTCTGGGAAATGAACTAGGGGTGGTGGAAGGGGAGGAGGGCGGGGGGTGGGGGTGAATGGGTGACGGGCACGGAGGGGGACACTTGACGGGATGAGCACTGGGTGTTATTCTGTATGTTGGTAAATTGAACACCAATAAAAATTAATTTATAAAAAAAAAAAAAAAAAAAAAGAGGTGCCCTTGCTAGGACGTAGAGGCCTTCCTCACCCCCCTCGGCATGCCGAGCTCAGCACACACACCCAAGAGAGCCCTGCCTGCTGGAACCAAGGGCAATCGCTTCCTGCTCCAGGTCCCATCAGAACAGTGGTCCTCCCATTTCTGTTATTTAGGAACACAGTTCAAAGGCGATCTTACCTATAACCTCAGGCCCCGGGCTCAAAGATGGTGGCCAAAGCCGTCCCCACTCATATGCTTATTTACTTGAAACACCGGGTTGGGGACGCCTGGGTGGCTCAGCGGTTGAGCGTCTGCCTTTGGCTCAGGGTGTGATCCTGGGGTCCGGGGATCGAGTCCTGCACCGGTCTCCCTGCAGGGAGCCTACTTCTCCCTCTGCCTGTGTCTCTGCCTCTTTCTGTGTGACTCTCGTGAATAAATAAAATCTATTTTTAAGAAAACGAAGAAAAAGAAACGCTGGGTTGATCAAATCCAGTCCACAGATTGAATGGCAGCCTTTTTGGTTGAGGTGACTTCTAGGGCCTTTTGCAGCTCTGAGACCACAGCTCACAGCCCACATCCTCACTGTCTGATACTCGGGAATTAATGTCATAATATCACCCGGCCTTGGCACCAAGCCCAAGGAAGACAGACCGGGGAGAGGCTTGGCCAAGGTGAGAAGAGCCTCCCTCGCCTCATATGGGCACCATCTCTGCCCAGAAACCTGAATCAAAGCCAACCTTTTCTACATGGCACCTGAAGCACCCCCTCCCCTCCCCATGCCATGCTCCCCAACTCCCACTCTTTAACTCCCATGGCAGCCCTCAGTCCATAGTTCATGGGCCTCTTGCCAGGAATGCATGTCTTATTGCTCTACCCACCTAAATGTCACCGCAATTCAGGGCCACTCCAGAGCCATCCGTGACTGTTGACACCAGAACCGAACACGCTTCTATGTGCTTTTTGCCGGAGGAATCCATCCCCTGTGCCTGGCAGTGGGCAAGGAATCAAAATGTCTGGTAAATACCAAGCAGGTGTGAGAAGACAGGAGTGGGAAGGAGGAGAGGCAGGGAGGGACGTGGATTTTTTTTTTTTTTTTAAGATTTATTTATTCAGGAGAAGACACACAGAGGCAGACACAGGCAGTGGGAGAAGTAGGCTCCATGCAGGGAGCCCGATGCGGAACTCGATCCCAGGACCCTGAGATCATGCCCTGAGCCGAAGTCAGCTGCTCATCCCCTGAGCCACCCAGGCATCCTGGGACATGGAATTTTTAAAAACCCAGGTTACTTCACTCTCCAGTGATTCCCATGTTTGTTACCCTCCTGCCACCGCAAGCTCTGGTCCCTGTGCTACCTCCATGCTAACACCTCTGACCGGGGTGCCTTTCAAAACTGGCCTCCTTTAGAACACCTCCCCTGTTTTCCCAGGATCGCCACTGCACTATGTCCCAAGGGGCACAGCTCTCTCCCTGCAACTTCGTGGTCAAGCCAAAGGCTTTGGAGTCAGGCAACCTCAATAGGAACCCTGGCTCTCTCATGTACTAACTGTGACCTCAGGCAGGCTGCTTAACTTCTGAGTCTCTCATTGGTAAAGTGGTGGTCCCACTACCTCTGCCCATTAGGTAGCTTTGAGGGTTATATGGGCATACAAGGGACTAAGGCATGGCAAGCATGAATGCACAGTTCCTTCTCATGATGTAATTATGGTGCTCCTTGCCTAAAACCCTGTTTATACTGTATAGTCCTAGAGGACATGTCCCTACAGCACAGCTTAGCACCCTAATTTTCCAAACTAAGCTCATCCGATCTCCTGCTTCCCAGAGAGAGTTGAGAGGCTTCAGAACATGACTGAGGGGCTCTACAACCTGTGTCAACCCTAGCAGTTTCTTGCTTTTGCTGTTTTGCATGTTGGGGTTCCAGTAAGATCTCCAACAAAAGGGCCCTGATGCTAAAACAAAGTTTGAAGTCAGGTCATCTGGGTGGCTCAGCTGGTTAAGCGTCTGTCTGCCTTCAGCTCAAGCCATGATCCTGGTTTCCTGGGTTAAGGCCCTGAGTCAGGCTCCTTGCTCAGCAGGCAGTTGGCTTCTCCCTCTCCCCTGGCTCATGCTTGCTCTCTCTCACACTGTCTCAAATAAATAAAATCTTCAAAAAAAAAAGTAATAAAGTTTCAAAGTGCCTGGGTTTGAAGCTAGTTGGGCCCTCAGTGATTCTTGTAGGTTAGGGGGGTGGGAAAGACACAGGTGTGAACAAACCACCTCAGAGACATGGCACAGGGCTCAAAGCCCTGCATTTTACTGTTTTATAGTCACAATGCATTTGGACGCTGCAGAGAGAGGGGGCAAAGGCCAGATCTCAGGAAGGAAGGGGCTCTCTTATCTCCAGCATTTGCTGGGGCCCTTCCCTCATCAGACTCAAAGTTCCAGAGCTGAGCCCTCTAGGCGGTCAAGGGCAGGCAGGAGATGGGACAGTGAGGGGAGGAGGCGTTCTTGGGGTACAGAACACTTGATTGCAGAGTCCAAAGGCTCTGGGCCAAACACCAGGAAGCTGTGCATACCTACACCCTGTGCCCCCTTATAATCACAGAGATAACTGTCCCCAATATGGGCTGCTCCTGCCGGTTCCACTTGAGCAAGCCGCAAGGCCTCATGGAAAATACGGGGGTCAGGCTTGGGCCAGCCAGCAGCCTCAGAGGTCAGCACAAAGTCAAAGTGTTCCCGCAGACCAAGACCCATCAGGATGTCCTCTAGTCGCCGGTCAAAATTAGAGACCACTGCCAGCCTCAGACCTCGCTTCCGGCACCCTCTCAGGGTGGCCTCGGCCCCCTCCAACACCTGCCACGTGCAGGGCTTACTGAAGTCTTCATACAGCTGGTCAGCGATGGGGGCCACAGCCTGGGCATCTCGAACACCCGCTAGGTAGAAGGTCTGTAAGACCACATCCAGCCACCACCGGCGGGAGGTGAGGCCTTGGCTCAGGCCGTAGTTCGGGAAGCTGTGGCTCTGAGTCCTGTATGCCTGCCTGAAGGCTTGTCCCAGAGCGGCGGCCTCCACCTCCAGTCCGCGGGCCCGAGCCTTGGCGGCATATTCCTCTCCCACGGGGTGGCGGAGCCTGAGCAGTGTGTCTTTCACGTCCCACGTCAGCAGTCGTATCGGTAGCCGACGCCCCATAGGCCTGTAGGACGGAGGCAAGTCCGCCCCAAGTCTGCCGGAGGCTAAAGAGAAACTGAGCTGGACAAGACCCCCTCCACAACCTGAAGGTCTTCTCTTTCCAGGCCTCGTGGGTCACAGCAGAAGATCCTGGAACGAGACGGCAGTGAGGTGGAAATTCAGGCCTTGGACTCAAAAATAGATTAGGTTTAAAATCTGGCACTGCCCACTCACTACTTACTACTGTGTGACCCTCGGAGTGTCACTCTCTGAATCTCTGTCTCCTAATGGAAGAGGAGCACAGCGTCCCAACCTCACAAGATTGTTACAGCAAATGAGATCATCCATTCATTCCACCAATTTCCAGGCCCCTCCTGTGTGCTAGATGCTAGGGAATAGGAAAGATTTCCAGCCCTCCTGGCATTTACAGGCATTAAAGAAGAGGAGACACAGATATTAGGCAAAGAACTATACAAACACTGAAGTATAACAAAGTCAGCATGTACCATAAGGATATAAACCCCGGAATCCCATCTAATTTGTGCTGAACTTCCTAAGTAAGTCAAGTTTCAGTGGGGATCTGAAGAATGACTATGTGGGAAATGGAGGTGGTTAGATGTTGTTGGCACTGGAAACAGCAAGTGCAATGGCCCAGAGGTAGGTCAATGGCAAGTTGGCTGCTTTGGGTAAACTAGGGCCTTGTAGGTCAAGGTAAGGAAACAATTATGATGGCTATTACTATTGTTAGCAATGCCAAAGACACAGGGTCCTTGCAGGCCACGTGACAGACCTCTGGTTCATCAGGGAAGACGGAGCCAGGGGGTGCAGATATTTGCCTAAGGTGAGTCAGTGGCACAGCCAGCACCAGAACCCAAACTTCCAGACTGGCCAGTGCTCCCTTCCACTGCATCATGCTCAGGCGAATCTGGACTTTAAAAGCATCTAATTTCGGTGAATTGGAACAGCACAGGGCCAAAGGCAGGCAGAGCGGCCAGGTCCTGTCTCTAAGCCTCTCTGAGCCCCATTTTCATCTTTACTGGAGGTAACAAGGTCTGCCTAGGTGCAGAGCCAGTGAAAGGCCTGCTACTGACTCAATGCACAGGAAACAAGTCCTGAGCCTGTTGTCCAGCTTCTTGCCCCCCACGGTTGATTCCAGACGATCCAAGGCTGTCTGGCTGAAACCCAGAGTGCAGAGGACAGCCAAGGTGTTGCTGAGAAGTGGCTGGTGAATCTGGGGGCAAGCCGCAGGGGGAGCCTGTCAAGGAGCCATCCAAAGACCCTCTCACCTTCCTGGTGGGCAGAGCGAGGCCCAGTGAGGGGCGGGAACTCGCCCAAAGCCACGCAAGGGAGTCAACTGCCTGGCACAGCTAAAATACAACAGGGAGCTCTGGCTGCCGACCCACAGCGTTCTCCATGTCTGGAAGCCTGGGCTGAGGCCTCTGGGCTGCAGGCCGGAATTTCTCGGGCCGCCTCCTCACCTGCAGGGCTCGATGGCGACAAGGTCCAGGCAGCCGGCGTCACAGCGAAACCTCTGCAGCTGCCGTCTGCAGCGTGGCCTTGGGCGTCACGTGGCTGTGGCCGGCCTCCGGGGGGCCCTTCCCAGCTCCAGGGGGCTCCGACCCCTGGGTCCGGACCCAGCGGACCTGCACGCCCTCGGCTCAGAGGAAGCCACAGGAGCCGCACCCCCGCTCCGGAGAGGCGCGCAGGAGCTCAGCCGCCCGCGGAGCCGGCGCCCCGCCCTCATCCTGGCCCCGCCCCGTCCTAGCCCCGCCCCTCCCGGCGCCCCGCTCCCCGCCCTCACCCTAGCCACGCCCCTCTGCGCCCCGCCCTCATCCTAGCCACGCCCCTCCGTCCTCGCCCCGCCCCGTCCTAGCCCCGCCCTCATCCTGACCACGCCCCCCGGTGCCCCGCCCCCGGGTCTCACGCCCCCCGCAACTCTCCTGCGCGGAGTTCACTTGGTTCCCGCCCGCTGCGTCCTCTCCTCCCTCCCCGTGGCGCCCTAGGTCACCCGCCTTCCCGCCCCTTTCCGCCTCCCTCTCGGTCCTTTCGTGAACCCCACACCCGCACCCTCACCTGGGTCACCTTGCACACTCCTCGAGCTCCTCCCATTGCCCTCCCTCCCCCTCTCCTCCCCAGGCCCCTGCGCCTTGCTCGGATCCGCACACCCCCAGGAGGTCCCCAGGCTGAGTTGGGAAGAGGGGGATCTGGGTCCCGGCCTGGCCTGCTGGGTGCCGTGTGCCCTGGGGCAAGGCCTGCCCCCCTCTGGTTTGAGGCTCCAGCCAGTCGGCTCTAGGAATGGCTTTCCTTTGGAAACTTGTCTAATCCAAGACATTTTGCTGAGAGTAGAGTCCTCGGCAGTAACCTAGCTGGGTTTTTTGTTTTCTTCTGATATAAAAGTAATCACCCCAAAAATGTTTAAAAATACAAAGTGTACAAAGTAAAAGGAGAACAAGCCTGATCTCACTACTCACTGAGGGGCAGACACAGGGCAAGTAAATACACAAGATTTCAGATGGTGATGAGCGCTAGAAAGGCAGGCAAAGGGCGGCGGCGTGAGCGGCGCGGGGTGGGGGCTCCGAAGGGCGGCCAGGTGAAGATTAAGGGGCGTGTCCTGCAGGTGAGCCACCGGCCCCAGCAAAGGTGCGCGGTGGGGGGTGGGGGTGGGAACCAAGGGCAAAGCCCCGCCGAGGACCTTCGGCCCCCCAGTCGCTGCCCAGGGCTTGCTGCAACGGCACTTGTGCTCGTTATGCTCTCATTTTCCTGGGAGCATCACAAACATGCATATATTTTCTTTCTTCCTTCTCCCCCTCCCCGCCCCCTTCTTTTTTTTTTTTTTTTTTTAATTTTTTTTTTTTTTATTTATGATAGGCACACAGTGAGAGAGAGAGAGGCAGAGACACAGGCAGAGGGAGAAGCAGGCTCCATGCACCGGGAGCCCGACGTGGGATTCGATCCCGGGTCTCCAGGATCGCGCCCTGGGCCAAAGGCAGGCGCCAAACCGCTGCGCCACCCAGGGATCCCTCCCCGCCCCCTTCTTTTTAAACAAAACCTCCTCCTGTAGTCTAAGACCGGCCTGTTCATTTCATTCAGGGCCCCCTCATCCTCGTGGGGCCCAGGCCTGGGAGAAAATACCAAGGGCAGAGTCACAGAGCTTAGGCCATCAAGGGAGAGCTTGACTCCAAAAACTCATTATGTGTCACAAGCAGGATTCCTACAAGTGGGAGTGGAAGGGGTGAGTGGGAGGTCAGAGGTTCAACTGCATTTCACAGAAGCCCAGAAGGGTTGACATTGTTCCAGGTTCCAGGGTCGCCTGAAAGCCAACTCCTTAGGTTCTGGTCCCATCTCTGTCACCTGACTCTCTGTGAACCCTTCACTGAATTCTCTTCCTCTCTGGGCCTCAGTCTCCAATATCCAAAATGGGGGGAATTGGACAAAATAATATTCAACTGAGGTCCAAATCACCTTGTAAATCAATTTCCAAGGTAATTAACTTTGTCCCTGGAACCTCAGTTCCTCCATATATAAATAGAGCATGCTTACATCAAGATGTAATGACAGCACATGAAAAAGCTCTTTGAGAAGTTGATGCCTTTTTTTGTTGTTGTTCATTTATTCATGAGAGACACAGAGAGAGAGAGAGGCAGAGACACAGGCAGAGGGAGAAGCAGGCTCCCTGCAGGGGAGAGTGGGACTGGGACTCGATTCCAGGACTCCAGGATCACAACCTGGGCTGAAGGCAGGTGCTAAACTGCCTAGCCACCCAGGGATCCCCAGATGATTCTTTTTTCAAAAAAAAATTATCTTTATGGGCACCTGGCTGGTTCAGTGGGTAGAGCATAGGACTCTTGATCTCTGGGTCATGAATTCAAGCTCCACACTGGGCATAGAGACTACTTAAAAAATAGCAGTAATAAAACAAAAAGGAATGCCTGGGTGACTCAGTGGTTAAACATTTGTCTTTGCTCAGGGAGTGATCCCAGGGATCCAGGGATCAAGTCTGGCATCTGGCTCCCTGCAGGGAGCCTGCTTCTCCCTCTGCCTGTGTCTCTGCTTCTCTTTCTGTGTCTCTCATGAATAAATAAATAAATAATCTTAAAAAAAATAAAAAATTATAATTTTTATATAATTTTTAATATTTTTGTGTGTATAGTTGACACACAGTATTACATTAGTTTCATAGTTTCAGGTGTACAACATACTGATTCAACCTCTGTATACATTTTTTAAAGAATTTATTTATTTATTTATTTATTTATTTATTTATTTATTTATTTATTTATATTAGAGAGAGAAGCTCTGTATACATTATGCTATGCCAAGTGCAGCCACCATCCGTCCGCATACACACTATTACAACAGCATTGACTGTATTCCTGGTGCTGTACTTTTCATCCCCATGACTTATTCATTCCATAACTGGAAGCCTGTATCTCCCACTCCCCTTCATCTGTTTTGCCCATCCGTCCCCTACAAGATGATTCCTTTCAGATAATTGCGTCTCCTGAGAGGGTAAGGCTTCTGTTTGGTCACATAACTATTTCAAGCCCGGGCACCTGTTGCACACGGCAGGTAAATCTACGCGAGTGTGCCCTCTGGACTTGCAGCCCTGACTTTACTGTTTGCCCTTTAGGTTCTTTCTGTTTCCCTGAATAACTTTTCAGCAGAGATAAAGGAGACTTGCATGTCACAGGAAAGCCAACGACAGGTCCCCACTATTCTGCAATAAGCTTCTTTCTGATTTGCCAGTTCAAAAATGGGTACCCTTGGGGCACCTGGCTGGCTCAGTTGGTAGAGCAAGTGACTGTGGATCTCAGGGTTGTGAATTCAAGCTGCTCACTGGGTGTAGAGCTCACTTAAAAAAAAAAAAAGGTACACTCCGGATGCCTGGGTGGTTCAGTGGGAGAGCATCTGCCTTCAGCCCAGGGCGTGATCCCGGGGTCCTGGGATCGAGTCCATATCAGGCTCCCTGCAGGGAGCCTGCTTCTCCCTCTGTCAGTGTCTCTGTGGCTGTCTCTGTGTCTCTCATGAATAATTTTTTTAAATGATATACTCAGTAGGTATAGTTTCCTCCCTAAGTCAGATGACAGAAATCCTCCTTGGAGGTTTTCATTCCTTGATCTAGCCTGAGTAGACCCCGACCTTGTGACCACTCCTGGAGACACCTGGCATGTCATTATACTGAACACTGCCTTTGGTCCATTTCTCTTTGAGGAATGCCCACACAGGCCTGATCCCAGGATCCTGAGATCATGACCCAAACAGAAATCAAGAGCCAGATGCTCAACTGACTAAGCCACCAAGGCATCTCATATTGTGAGTGTGTGTGTTTTTAAAAATATTTACTAGTTTGAGAGAGAGAAACACGAGTAGGAGAGGGAGAGAGAATCCTAACCAGTCTCTATGCTGAGCATGGAGCTGATGCCAGGCTCAATCCCACAACCCTAAGATCATGACCTGAGCTAAATCCAAGAGACACCCATCTGACTGCACCACCCAGGTGCCCCTTGTGTGTATGTTTTAAGTAAGCTCTACATCCAACATGGTACTTGAACTCATGACCCTGAAATCAAGAGTTGCATGCTCTGCTGACTTAACCAGACAGGCACCCCACCACATTTTACTGTTTTTTTTTTTCCACATTTTACTGTCGATGGGCATTTGGGTTATCCAGTTTGGGGTTACTGCAAATATTAGAAAATGTTGACAGGAGCATTCTTGAGTATGTATATCTTTGGGGGAATAAAGGCACACGTTTGTTAGGTGAATACCTAGATGTGGAATGAACTATACATATTTTCAGTTTTAGTGGATAGGGCCAATTTTCTGAAGTGGTTGTGCCAGTAAATGTCTTTAGAGTTCCCTTGCTACCCATTCTCAACCATCGGCATTGTCTCTTTTTAAAATTTTAGGGACTCTGATAGGTGTGTGGTGGTATCTCACTGTGGGTTTTTTTTTTTTTAAGATTTATTTCTTTTTTGAGAGGGGAGAGAGATGGAAGGACAGAGGGAGAGAGAGAGAGAGAGAAAATCTCAAGTAGACACCCTGCTGAGCATGGAACCTGACCTAAGGCTCAATCCCACAACCCTGAGATCATGACCTGAGCCAAAACCAAGAGTTAGATGCTTAGTCGACTGTGCCACTCAGGTGCCTCTCGTTGTGGTTTTAATTAGAATTTCTCTTTGACTAATGAAAAGAACACATTTTCATATATGCATTGGTTTTCATTTTTATTTACACAAATCACATGAATATATCCTTGTTAGGTATAATACATGAATATAAAAAATGCATCTGATGCAAAGATAATACACAAAAAAGCTGAAGTTCCCCTAACACCAATACCCTTCCCAGGTTTGAGCACTGGGCTTGGAGTTTGGAGACCAGAATCCCAGCCTTGGTCTGTCACCAGCTTGTGTGAATTTGAACAAGTCCCATTTCTGGGTCTGTCTTCCATCTGCACAATTAATGAACTAGATGGTCTCTAAAGACCTCTTTGATGTTCTGATCACTGTTTCTGTGATTATAAGAAACTTCATGTGGTGGGGGTGGCCGTTTGGCCCTCTAACCACCCTATCCGTTTTCCTTAGTTAACAGAACCCTTGAGGTTTAGCTGGGCTCATGCCTGCCCCACTAGAGTCTATCTTTCGACATCCCTTACACAACTAGGTGTGGCCACGTGACTAAGCTCAGACAAGAGCATATGGACAGAAGTGACATGTGCAACTCCTGAGTTGTGCCCTTATAAAGAAGCATCATGCCCCCAACCTTCCCTTCTCTTTCTGGTGACCAAAGAGAGGAGCTAATGGTGAGGACTGGACTTGTCATCTTTGACCATGTGATGGAAGCCGAGATTTGTTGAGTTAGAACAAGTCAGGAGCCAGAACCCACCACATCATGGACTGGACTGCATGGGGAGAATCACTTCCATCTAACTCTCATTACTTTGGCTTCTTATGACCACTGAGCTTGAATCCTAATAGTCACTGGGGTATGACTTTGAATCGGTTATCAGGACAGGGTTTTTTTGGGTTTTGTTGTTTTTGTTTTTTTAGGAAGTGACAAGGGAGCCAAGATCTTAGCAATAGACAGCCACATGGATTTGGGGGAAAGCATTCCATGCAAAGGGGATAACAGCGGCAAAGCTCTGAGACTCCACTAGACTTCCGTAGAGTGAGGCAGACCTGGTCAATCATGGTGCCACATCTCCCTTGCCAGGGTTTACAGACTGGAGGTCGGTCATGTGACCTGAGCAGGGCCAGAGACCTCTGGAAATGTCCTGCATGGTGGGAAAAGATCTTTCTGGGGGAGCCTAAGTCATAAGGACCATGTGGCTGTCAAGTGGCAAAAGCCCATCTCTGAATAAAGCCAAGCTGAGGCAAACCTACAAGAACTAGGAAGGGACGTGGCCTCCATGACAGCCTTTAACCCTAGACCCCACCACACTTGACCTTACTAAAGTCCAGTTATGAAAACTAATCATTTCCTTTTTTGCTACTGAACTGGATTTGTCACTCGCAACCAAAAATACCTAAAATAGAATATGGGGTGCTGCAGATCACAGGTCCTAATATGTGGAACTGGTAGAGTTCGTGTGAGGTATGGGGTTGGTCAGAATTCCTCCTTTCCTAGTTGGGAAATTGGTAGTCAAGTGGCTGTTAAAATGCCCATGGTTTGTTGGGACCCTCCGCCATATGCCCAGTGAGGTTGTAGTTTTAGGGATGGTAGTAACAAAGTGAGATTGGTCGAAAGTATTGGCTGTTGTGGCCTTTGGGAAGGTCTTACAAGAAAGACAAGCTGCTGTCTAAGCAGGCATCTCAGAAGGAAATAAAGTCAAGTCTCGTTAAGAAAGGGCCCGAATGCTCACCAACAGGCTGTGATGCTTGGAAGTCTGAAAATATGCCAGGCTAATGGTGGGAGCAGCTGAGTTCTCTCTGTGCAAGGATAAATTACCACCAGCAAGGGGAGGGTGCGCAGGAGGAGACTGGGACGGTGGAGGAGCTAGATCCCCCGGGACCACCCAAACCCCTCCAGCTTGCCTGCCTGGCTATTGCCTCTGGACACAAAACCTAGCTGGGCTGGAACACACACTGAGCAGGCATCTCTGGTGACATACATATCCTGACTCCAGAGGGCACTTCGCTTAGACCATGATGCCTGAGGCACGCTGGCGTCGGTACACCCCGTTATAACAGCATCCCATTAGATCCTGAATTTGGCTACTGTTTATTGGGAGATGGTGTGGCACAGTGTTTAAGGGCAGAGGCCTTGGAGTTCAACTATGTGGGTTCAAATCCCAGCTCTGACGGCTTCAGTGATGGGGCTCTAGCCCCAGTTCTCTCACATACTAGTTGAAAGGCCTTAGGTGAGTCACAAGCTCTCTAGATAGAGCTCCCTCACTGCAAACCCAAGCTAAATTTAGGACTCCCCCGCTCTACAGTCTCTTCCAAGCTTCCTATCTTAGTAAATGGCCCATCAGCCACCAGGAGCTCAAGCCAAGTTCCTCCTTCCCATCTAATGTACCTCCTTCACCCCCACGGTCACCACTCCAGCCCAGGCTATGCATTTTCTCATCTGCACTTTGCCAGTGCTGTCAAACATTTTCACAAGATGCAAACTCGGAGCAAGTTGTTCTGTTGCTTAAAAATCCTTCGAATGGCTTTGCTTTCTCTTGGAATAAAGTCTGAAAAGCCTCCCCCATCTTCCTTATATGCTTTTGAGCCCTGCAAACTTTGGGCCTGGTGTCTCTCCCTTTCCAGGTCAGGCCATCTCTTCCTTCGCCCTCCACTGTGCTCCAGCTACAGCAGCTGTGTTCTCCTAGCTCATTCTAGACTAGACGCAGAGTTCCCTCCGTCAGGAATGCTCTTAGCTTGCTTGCTCATCTTTCAGGTGCAGCCTTGTGTCAGCTTCTCGGGGAAGTATGTTTGATACTTCAGACCCAGTCAGGTCCTGGTGACCTCCTTCACAGCCCCTGCCACATCACTGGTGACACATCTGCCCCCTGGTTCTCCTCAAGGAAACTCCTCCTCAGTCCACTTAACATTTGCTTCTGAGGGGCCTGGACACACACAGAGGTGTTTGCTTCTTGTGGAATTTGTATCTAAAGAGCCAGGTCTGTCTCCTGTCTCCCTATGCCTAGAAGCAGGCCTTGTATTAGCTTGGCGGTGATGAGTCTGGGATGTCCCTGAAGAACCCCCCTTTCCCTCATTCCTGAGCTTAGGGATCAGGGGCCGAGGGGCCAGGAGACAAGATGCCAAGAAGCTAAAAAGCTAACCGAGCCAAAGGTTCTGGTCTGATGAGCCCTGAGGCACATCAATAGCTCATCTCCAACAGCATCTAGGTGGGAGTCCCAGGCTCAGGCTCCTTGGACAGGGTGAGATCAGGTCCTCAGGCCAGCTGCAGCTCTGGGGAAGATAACGGAGTCAGAGGAGGCTGGTCTGCCTACAGGAGCTGCTGGGAGTTTCTGATTCTAAATTTTCAAATGGACTGTATTGCTTTAAGATCTGAATTGGGCTTGCTTTGGCCCTAGATTTGGGAATCCTTGTCATCTTGCAGGCAGGCAGGTAGACTTTGCAAAGGCCCTTGGCTGGGCCTTAACTTTTAAGTGGAGAGATAGGAGGTCGTGAGTCTCAGAAGAAAGCACGCTTTCGGGAGTTCAAGCCAGAAACCCATGAGGGCACCCTCGTTTCCTCTCATCCCCTGGACTTAAAGCTTAGGTAAAAGCTAATTCTGCCTCCAGAATGTATCCTGAATAGGTCTACTCCCTCAGTTCTTCACTGCCACCACCCTGGTCCAGGTCTCTGCAAGGGCCTCCCCACCGGCCTCTTTCTCGTTCCCCCTTCCCTGTTCTCATGGCAGCCGTGTAGGAAAGGGGAACACACGTAATTTCTGGTTGAGATCCTCCAGGTGGCTTTCCACCCAATGCAAAATGAGACCGAGCTTCCTACCAGGTACAGAGCCTTCCTTTCCAACCTCTGGTCCCGTCGCCACCCTCCGTTTCTGCACCCTGCTTTCAGCAGCCCTCCCACCTCCTTCCACTGCAGGACCTTTGCACATTTTGTGCCATTCTTGTGGCTTCTGGTGCACTTTGCTCTGCTTTCCGGAGGATCTTTTCTGGTCCCTTGACCTCATGGAGGGCTTCTTAACCACCCTCTCAAGAGACACCCTTGGTCCGTTATTCTGTCTCAGACCCTTTCTTTCCTTCAAAGTCCTAATTACAATTTGTAATTGGTTTGTTTTCTTGATGACATCTGGCTGCCTATTCTCCTTGCATAGATTCCACACGGAAAGACAAGCTGAGACCTGTCCTGCTATATGCCCAGTACCCAGTACCGTGCCTGGACACCAAGCAGATGTTCTCAAAAATTCTCTCTTCAACAGAAAAGCCTTTTTGGTGATAGCACCTCCAATCATCAGGAACTCTCTATTTGCTTCTGAATTTTGATCCTCAGGCAGTGTTTCTGCTCATTAACCAGTAATTCTTCTCTGGGTATATGGCTGACAGCAGAACAGAGGATCTCAGGTGGCCTAGAAGCGTGGGCCTGCGTGGGCAAATCATCTTCCAGTGGAATTGAAGCAAACCTCAACTTTAAACCTGAAGATGTCACTCTAGGTCTCTGGGCCACTGCCCAGCTCCACTGTGAAAGGCCTTGGGCTTTCCAGAGCTTCTCATGATACAAGATACAACTTGCCCTCCTCTACCCTAATGCTCCAAGCCCCTCTCCTAGGCCTCACCAAGCTTGCACCCTGACCTCCTAGTGGCTTTCAAGCTGAGGCCATGCCAGGAGGAGGAGCTGGGGTGGCGGAGGTAAGCCTCAGTGCTGACCCAGGGGAGGAATGGGGAAGCCTGGGAGGCTTGAGTGGTTAAAATGTGGCCGGCTGGCAGAAAGTACCCCGGGGCTGCTGGACACCTGCCAGCGTGTGAATAGGAAGAGGGCACGAGGGCACAGTTCTAAAGCAGCATTTACTTTGGTTTTCACTTCTCCAAGGCCCTGGGACCTTTTAAAAGTCCTAGCTGTTGGTCTTGTGCTCGGTCTCCATCACTCCTCCTTCAGCCACTGCAATAGCTGAGGTGTGTAGTAGGTGATGATGATGTCGGCACCTGTGGGGGACAGATGCAGGAAGGGGGAGGAGCCTGGCATCAGCTCTGGGCACCCCTTCGGGGAGACGAGGGCCAAGAGCAGAGGTTGGGGGGTGGAAGGCTGCTACCATGAAGGGGCACAGCTCGTGGGCATTATGACATAAGACCAAGCCAAGCTCCGGGCAGTTACAGCTCTGCACACCGTGCGACCCTGGGCAAGTCATTTTCGCTTGCTGGGCCTGTTTGCCAACGTATAAGATGCAAGGTGGGGAAATGAGTAAGCTGTGAGGGCCCTCCCCAGGCTGTATGCACACCAACAAAACCAGCTCCCATTTGCAGAGTGGAGAGCATATGCCAATGACATATATCATCCTCACTCAATTCTCCAGACAACTCCACATGTCGAGTGTTTTATCCCCCGTTTGCAGATAAGGACGCTGAGGTTCACGGAAGTGGCTCAGCTAAGGTCTCAAAACCAAATAGTGACAGGGTTCTGCTTCCTTCACTGCTGCATGCTGTGTTCTGCAGTTCCATGTCCCCTCCTCACCCTGTGTCTCTTTAGATAGCTGCTATTTCCAGGCATGCGATGCCAGGCTGTCTCATAACTTTATTTCCCTCTCTGGGCAAAGTGCCCATCAGCCCTGTAGCCCAGGTCAAAAAAACCCCAGCCCCGCCTGTTCACCTGCGCGGCGGAAGGCAGTCATGGCCTCCAGAACAGCAGCCTTGAGATCAAACGCCCCGGCCCGGGCTCCGTGCCACAGCATGGCAAACTCTCCGGAAACGTGGTACACGGCAAGAGGGAGCTCAGGGTGCTGCGGAAAAGCAGTGGGAGGCGGACAGGTGCAAGGGCGGAACCTCTGGGAGTGTCCCTTCCTCCCAACCGGTGAGCATCTTGAGCCCCATGCCCTGTGTCACTACTGCCGGCAGCCTGACACATTCTTTTTTTTTTTTTTTTTAAAGACTTATTTATTAGGACGCCTGGGTGGCTCAGTGGTTGAGCATCTGCCTTCGGTTCAGGGCGTGATCCCCGGGTCCAGGGATCGAGTCTCGCATTGGGCTCCCTGTGAGAAGCCTGCTTTTCCCTATGCCTGTGTCTCTGCCTCACTCTCTGTCTCTCATGAATAAATAAAATCTTAAAAAAAAAAACAAAAACAACTTATTTATTTTAGAGAGGGAGAGAAGCCTAAGCAGGCTCCCCGCTGAGCCAGAGTCCGATGACACTTGATGACACTTGGCCCCATGACCCTGACTTGAGAGTTGGACACTCAACCGACTGAGCCAGCCGGGCGCCCCAGCCTGGCCCATTCTTGAATGGTGAAAGCACAGCAGCTCAAAGGCCCTGTGCACCCTGGGGCAGGTGGCTCCGAACTCAGAGAGTCTGTCAGTCCGAGATCCCAAAGCCCGCGGACAAGCTCCCTCGTCTTCCTGGGCCCCCACTTGTCTCCGCTCTCCTGCTCACCTTGTCCTTGACCTCCCGCACGACGTCCAGGTAGGGCATTCCCGGCTTCACCATGAGCATGTCGGCTCCTTCCCGTACATCCCGGGCCTACGGGAGGAAGTACCGTGTGGGGCGTGCGCAGGAGGCGAGCCGGGAGGGGGACAGGCGGTGGGGCTCTCGCGCTGGTCAGTCACTCACCACTGCTCGGAGGGCCAGGCCCCGCGCTCCCGGCGGCAGCTGGTAGCAGCGGCGGTCTCCAAAAGCCGGGCTGGACTGCGCCGCGTCCCTGGGAAGCAGAGGCATCAGTGGGGGTGCTCCAGCTTTGGGCTAACAGGCCAGGGGTTTGAGAGCAGACCCCTGCCAATCCCCACTCACCGGAAAGGTCCGTAGAAACAGGATGCAAATTTGGCACTATAGCTCATCACTGACACCTGCGGGCAGACAACGAGGGTGGAGGTTTCAGATGTCCCCGGGTGAAGTGACAAGGAGAGACAGGATGTAGGCTTTGGTCTAGTCCCAGTAAAGCTCTGAGTCTCCATTGAGTGGGATCCCAAAGGCCTCGCCAGGGCTGTCTGCACTTCTGTGATGCTTAGCAGATATGGGGGCAGGGCTGGCCCAGGCTTTCTCCTTACCTTCCCCACACCCCCCGCCACGCTCCCCGCCCCTACCCTGTTGCCAAGTCCATGTGCCATCAGAGCCTCCTTGATGGCTTCCACGCGTCCGTCCATCATGTCCGATGGGGCTACCACCTGACATCCTGAGGGGCAGAGGGTGGCCTTCAGAACTCTGGGACCTGCCTGTCCACTCTGCTACCTCCCTGCCCCGGAGCTGCTCACTCACCTGCCTTGGCATAGGCCAGTGCCACTTCTGCTAGCCGCTGGCGGCTCTCCTCAGCCAGGAAGGCCCCATTCTTGCTCAGGAGCCCTGCAGGGACAGGCAGCTGGGTTTGGGGGAGCATCTTGGCCCCCAGCCCACCCCACCCAAAGGGGGACTAGGTAGTGGGAATGCAGATGGCAGCAGGGCTGGTGGAGGGCGGGAGCTCACCACAGTGACCATGGGAGGTGTAAGGGCACAGGCAGACGTCGCAGGCCACCAGAAGGCTGGGGAATGTCTTGCGCAACAGGCGGATGGCCTCGATAGCCGGGGAGTCCTCGGAGTCGGCTGCCGAACCCCGCTCATCCTAGCGGTGGCAGGGGGACACAGGGAACACGTGCTCCGTGAGGCCCCCAAGAACCAGGATGGCCAGACCTCACAGGGTGAAGCTCCCTGCATGGGGACGCAGGCAGGACAGTCCCCATTTTGCACAGACCTGCCCAGTCAGGGTGTTAAGGCCCTACTTATTAGCTTCCTGTCCCTACGTGGGTGCTGTCATGGGGGGGGCGTGCCCCCTCTACCTCCCCCAGAGCAGCCTAAGGCCATAACGAGGACGTGATCAGTGCGGGAGCTCAGCTCACCCTCACCCGACCCTCCTGTGACCCTCCACTGTCCTCCCCTTGAAGCTACTTCTGCTTCTCCACCTTGGGGACTCTGCTGGGGACTCCAAAGACCAGGACACAGCGCAGGCCCTCTTCCACCAGGGGCTTCAGCATCTCTTCCAGCCGGTTTACACCATACCTGCATGGAGGTGGGGCAGAGGGGATGAAAGAAGGTAGGAGGCAGGCAAGGGTCTCCCTCGCCCCCCTTTAAGAGCCAAGCTGCAGCCGGTGCCAGGGGGGCTCAAGCCCCACAGCACAGGGAGGGGTGGGAATGCTCCCACCAAACAGATGGAAAAACCGAGGCCTCCCCGGAAGCAGCTGTGGAAGGCCCCCCAAGGTTCTCACTGAACTCCCATTTGCAGCTCAGCTCTCCTTTGCAATGGCCTCTGCTATGTTGTTTCCGGTCATGAATGGGTAGCTCATCCCTTTATGAGGCTGCCTCTTCTGTTCTGGAACAACCTTGTCCCTGAGAAAAACCCATCTCTCTACTGAGCTGAAGTGAGCTTCTCAGGGTCTTCTACCTCTGGGTCTGCTTCCAGGCACCTCCAGCTGGGAAATCTCTCCCTCCATCCTCCCCGGGCCCTCCCCACCACATATCCTACCTGGCCACTCCTGGGAGGCTGCTGATGGGCTGTACGTCATCAGGAACGTCCCTGCAAGAGTGGGGGGCTGGGCTATGGACTGGTAGCTGTGGGAAGGGTCAGTGGTGAGGGAGGGCCTGGGAGGGGTAGTTGGGGAGATGGGAAGGAGCATGGAAGTGGGGATGGAAGGGGGAGGTTGGGGTCCAGTGTCTGGTTCCCTGCCTGGCCAAGCCCAGGGCCTGAAATAATAACAGGAACAAGAGTGACAGTGACAACAGAAGCAACTGGACTAAAAGAACACTTAATCATACGAAGGAGTCAGCGGCTATGAACTTGGGATTCTGAAGGCAGAAGGCCCTTGCCTGCGATCCCAGCCACCTGGCTGGGTGACTGTGCCAAGTGGAACCATTCTTTGAGCCTTGGCCCTTCGTCTGTATTTGGGTGGATTTGTTCATTCATTCGACAAATACCGAGCGCTTATCACGCACCAGGTACCATTCACTCTCTGGAGATACAAAGTGAACGAAACAGACACAAATCCCTGCCCGCGTGGAGAGGACACGGTCGGGGCTAATATCCATACTGTGCTCCATGAAAACTGTCAGGGCTGAAGGAGATCATCCACGTAAGCCTGCTCAGCAGAGTACCCGGTACACAGTAAGCGCTCAATAAATGTCAGCCATTGCGATCATGAATAATCATGCTGCCACCTCTCACACAGACATATAGCTCTTTACAATCTACAGGACAAGCCTTCTCAGCTTCTGGCTTATTGCAGAGCTTAGGATAGCGGACCAGGGAAATACTATTCTTAGTTTTCAAATGGGAAGACAGTTCTTTTCAAGGTTTGTTCGATTCCTAAGACTGTTGTCCTTAACCCACTCTCTTTCACACACATATACACTCTTTCACACACACACACACACACACACACACACACACACACACACACACCCTGCAGATCAGAGGCCTGCACCATTCCTGGGGACTTACGTGACAAAGATGGGGTAGATGAGGTTGGAGGCACTGAGGGTCGTGGCGGCTGTCTGCCAGGTGCGGAGCAGCGGGTGGAAGTAGCCGCTGTGCAGGACCGACTGGGGCTGCATGGTGGGCAGCGGGATCACGGCACCTGGCTGGTGGGAACCGCAGGCTCCGGAGCGGTGGCTGCACACTCAGCTCTGGGGCGGGGTGGGGGGCAACAGGAAGCACATGAGACACAGTCCCTGTCCCCAGGAGATGGTCAACCCCCCCACTCCCGGACTCCTGCCTCTTCTGCTCTCTGGCCAGCGCTCCTCCTAGTGTGGCTCACCAATCCCTGCTGCTCTGAGGCAGGGTTAGGCAGAGGAAGGGAAGTAGGCCCTTTGGAAACTTCCTGAGCTGTGGGACTCTAATAATCTCAGATCTGGGCTTGCATTTTATACGGTCTCTTTTTCTTTTTCTTTTTTTCGGTCTCTTTTTCTAAAATAACCTTTCTCTAGCAATTCGATACAATTTTTTTTTTGTATTTTATAAAAAAATCAATCTGCAATGGATTGGAAATTAGGATGAGAAGCACTGACCTAGGCAATATTTAAACTTTGTTTATTCCATGAAAAATGCTCATGTGATTGGCAGAAATTTTATTTTTAAAAAGATTTTTATTTCTTCACGAGAGACACACAGAGAGAGGCAGAGAGAGAAGCAGGCTCCCTGCAAGGAATCTGATGTGGGACTTGATCCCAGGAGCCCGGGATCACGACCTGAGCCGAAGGCAGCGCTCAACCTCTGAACCACCCAGGTGTCCCGCCTCCTGTAATTCAACCTCTAGAGAAAAACACTGTTCACACCTTGGTACAGAGACTTCTTGTCAGGCACAACCTACACTAAGAGGATTAGACAGCACGGGCCCGACAGATAGGCCCTCCGTAGGGTGACTGCCTAAGTGGTCTTTTCCAGCCTGAGAGCCTCCTGCTCTTCCCCAGCACAAACCACCCTTGGCTGATTTCTGGTTCTGCTCACCCCGTTCCCTTTACCTGAAACGTTTGTGGGCTCTCCACAACCTCTCACCCCCAGATCCTACCCAGTGCCCACCTTCCCTCCCCCACCGAAGCTCCTCTCGCCCAGATCATAATCTCTCTTACATAACAGCTCTTTCTGGATCTACTTTATCTCATTCTAGTAGACAGAGCTTCTGCAGGGCAGGATCCACAGTGAGTTCATTTCTGCCTGCCCACCCCCCTCACCCCTGCCCAGCACCCTGGCACACGGTAAATATTTAACTACATAACTACTTATTGCCTTAAATATCCATAGTGATATAAGACAGAAGGAAGCTGAGGTGGGGGGGGGGGTTGGTGCCTGGGTGGCTCAGTGGGTGAAGCATCTGCCTTTGGCTTGAGTCATGATCGCAGGGTCCTCGGATCCCAGCTCCCTGCTCAATGGGGACCCTTCTTCTCCCTCTCCTGCTTTTTAAAAAATAAAAATCTTTAAATCTTTTTAAAAATATTTTATTTATTTATTCATGAGACACACAGAGAGGCAGAGACATAGGGAGGAAGAGGAACAGGCTCCATGCAGGGAGCCCGAGGCGGGACTCGATCCTGGGACTCTGGGATCACGCCCTGAGCCCAAGGCAGATGCTCAACCACTGAGCCACCCAGGCGTCCCTAAATAAATAAAATCTTAAAAGCAAAACAAAAAAGAGGGAAGCTGGGGCATTAACACTTGTTTCTTGAGCACCAGGCTATGCTGGGCACCTGCACACACCATTTATCACCCAGGTGGCACTACGGTCCAGGCTGATGGAGGGCTCAGGTAGGAGCTGCCCTAAGTGAACCATGAATTTGGAGGCTGGAAGAAGCTTGCTGGAAATAGTTGGGGGGCTTCAACTTGGTTTTTCAGGATGCGTGGGTTCAGCTTGGCATAGGGAAAGGGGAGGATGTTCCCTTAGGAAGGGAAGAAAGGGGCCAGGGTAGGGAAGGAGGACTGGCTGTGGGCTGTTCTGAGGCTGAAGAGGCAACTCTTCAGGGGAGGGGACAAGAGGGGACCACTGAGGGCAGGGAAGATGAGCAGGGGTGGGGGTGCGGCCTACTGAGAGGCTCAGAACCAGGAGCAGAGTGGATGGAGCAGAGGGGCACACACACTGCAGGGCCGAGGGGAGGAAAGGGAAGGGCTGTCACGAGGCAGCCGAGAGCCAGTCTCTTGGGGCAGATGCTCTGAGCTTGTGGGACCCACAGGGCAATGGAGACAGGGACGAGGCAGGAACAGGGTGGCAGGGCGCTGAGCTTTCAGAGGTGCCTGGGGAAATACCCAGTAAGGGGGTGGAAAAGCTACCAGATATTTCCTTGTATGAATGGGACCAAGGGGTCCAGAGAAGGGCAAGGACGCATTCAAGGTCACACTTGGTGAGTTACGAGGCTGTAAGGGCAGGCCTAGAAACCCTGTGTGTCATCCTCCAGGTGGGGGCTGGGGGTCCCCTAAGACACTGATAATGCCTCTCTCCCCAGTCTCTGGGGTCCCTTTCGCTCCCTCCCAACCAGCTCAGGGGCCCATTTTATCCAGTTCCCCTCCTTGGCAGGGCGGGCTGGGGTTATCAGGAGCCACACAGAGACCCACCTACTACCACACCCCTAGGCCAGCCGTATCATCTGACACAGAGGCAAGCCAGGCCCCCCAAAGTCATCCCGACCCCCAAATGAGCATTCAGCACACAGAAAGTCCCACGTGCCCATTTTGCACAACATTTGCTGTCAGGTCGGCTGGGGGGTCAGCTCACCTTGGAGAGGTTAAGTCCCTCGCCCAAGACCACACAGTTGGTCAGTAAATGAGCCAGAATTTGAATCTGTTCTGGACAATGAGTACACGGTTTTATCTACCATCCCCCCGACACTGAGGAACACTTGATTCAGCGAGCAGGTCTCTGCCTATACGATCTGCCCGGTGGGTCAGCGAGGTGGAGGACGCACAAGAGAAAAACATCCCGAGCCTTGTGTTATGTGCTGGGCACGGGCCTAGGTGCACATGTATCTCATTTCACCGCAGAGATTATTCTGGCTCTTAGTGATAAGGAAACAGAGGCTCTGAGAGGTTAAGTGACTTGTTCCATGTTGTTCTAGAGAGTCAAGTCGGATTTTGAGCTCATCTCTGATCCACTTCCCAGAGAACTACCTGTATTTTATTTTATTTTTTAACATTTTATTTATTTATTCATGAGAGACACAGAGAGAGAAAGGCAGAGACACAGGGAGAGGGAGAAGCAGGCTCCATGCAGGGAGCCCGATGTGGGACTCGATCCCAGGACCCCGGGTATCATTACTCCAGTCAAAGGCAGACACACTCAATCACTGAGCCACCCAGGCGTCCTGAGAACCACCTTTATGGCTTCTGGAATCCAAAACTGCATTCTACTGGCCTCAACTACCCACCTGTTTTAGAAGCCTGGGTGAACAAATGCCTTCTTCTTATCAGAAGCAGCAGAGCACGGCTGCCTAGGGGCTTTGCAGCTCCAATTTTACCACGAGGTGGCGGGAGGGTTGGTGATAGGGGCAAGGGAGTGGGGTGAGGGTGTAAGAGGTAGGTCTGACTAGGGCAATTCTTGTTTCTGTTTCTTTAATAATGTTTGGGTTAGGGAGAAATTTGCCTTGAGAAACAGGTGTCAGTGCTGAGAAAATTTGAACTCAGGAAAATCACCAATCCTGTTCATCTCGCACATTCTGAAGCGGGAAATGAGGAGCGGAGAAGTACAGGATTTGCTTGACATCACACGGTGAGTCAGGTACAGAGGTGGATTTGACCAGGAGTCTCTCCCAGCTTCGAGTCCTGTGCCCTGTCACCTCAACCACACGCGGTCATTCTGTTACAACAGGCACTTAATAAATACCACAGAAGAGAAAAACAGCCCTTGAGCCAGACTTGCTTGTTTGCAGAGCCAAACCCATGCCAAGGTTTTGCTTCGCAAAAAAAGTCCCTCAGGATTGGGAGATTTCCACACATTTGGGAGGGCACTTCTTCCAAATTAAGGGAGCCTCCAAGCCACAGCTTAAATCCTATGACACTTCACTGAAGCAAGAGCAAGTCACCAGGGCACGCAGCACCTCTGCTCACCCACATTAGACTAGGTTAGCTTAGCTGGAAGGCAGTACAGGGCGGTGCAGAAAGAACCTTGTTTCAGGATCCCATGGTCCCACATCTGCTCTGCGCCCTGTGTGTCACTTTGGGCAAGGTTGCTGGCCTTTCAGAGTCCTTATTTCATAATCTATAAAATGGGACTGATACCATCAAGCTTGCAAAGCTGAGGAAATTAGAGATAGGAGGTGGTACGTGCCTGGCACTGGGTAGCAGCCCAGTAAACATGCAGCTACTTTTATCATCATTAGAAGTGAGCTGGAATAGACCCCCTGGAGTCATCACAGCTGTGCCTTCCGCACCACCCCAGAAGGGAGAACTTTCACTCAAACCCGTGTGGCCGCAGGGTCTTCCAAGATATCTCCAGTGGGGTCCCTACCTTCCAGCAGCTTCTATGGTGAGGAGAAATGATCACCACACTGACACTGCAGGAGAGGGGTGGACTAGATGTTATCTGTGGGAGGGGCCTGTGTCTCCAGGTGTCAAGCATGGCTTCATAGAAGAGGCAGTTTTGCAGACTGATGGTGAAGGCATCTCCTCCTTAGATGGCAACTTCCCCAATCTGGGCCCTAAGAGCTGCCATCGTGGGAAGGGGGGTCAGAAGAGCTGCGAGCCTGAACACCCCCTTCACACCACCCCAGCCCCAGGCTCATGCTGTGCTCTGCTGAGGATTTCAGAGGCTGTGCTATTGGAGAGAAAGTTGGGAGCTGCTGCCAACTCTGGCAGGCCCTGCTGCTGGCTGGGGAGGAGGCAGTCAGGAGGGCCAACTAAGGTAGAAGGTGGCCAAGGGCTGAGAAATCCAAAGCCCCAGAAGGGCTCAGGAAAGCAGCTGTCAGGCAGGTCTGAGAAGAGCCCAACTGCCTGCCTGTTTATTCAACCAGCATTTCCTGAATATCTACCCTGCGCCTGCCCCAGTGCTAGATACAGGGATTAAAGAGAAGCATGAGACAGGCGACCCGGGCCTTGACCTAGGCCTTTGAAGAGCCCAACCTCTTCTGGGTTTAGCCATCTGGAGCTACAGGGACAATGTGCCAGTTCCACAGACTCCCAGAACATCTTGGCTAGGAAGCTCCTTAAAGCCTTTTGACTACGTCATTGAAATGATGGTGAAACTGGGCTCAGAGAAAAGACGGACACTGGCCCAAGGTCAGGCCAGGGGTCAGTGGTAGATCTCGGGGTCAGAATCCAAGCCTTCAGCAGCCCAGTTCTCCGCCCACCATTAGCCCTCGATACTTGAAGTACAGACTTCAAAGCAGCTACCCGCAGAGGTGGGCTGGTGGAGAAGGGGGGGTGTAGGGGGGAGGGAGGATGTGGACCCTGGACTCGCCTGCAGCTGGCAGCCTGATGGTTACGTGTGTGGGTTTTGGAGTCTGTAGACGTGGGTTCAAACCCTGATTCCGACACTCTTCTAGCTGTGGGAGTTCAGTTTCTGCACCTGGTAAATGGGCGCGTTCTCCAACCGACCTCAACGGGCTGTGGTCGCCTTAATGGGCCAATGGATGGGACTTCTGTAGAAGCGCAGCACAAAGCGCCTGTTCCTGCCTCCACTTCCGTCCCTCATCCTTCGGGGCACTTCGGGCTGCTGTGTACTGGTGGGCAGTGTCCACGGGCCGCCAAGGGAGTGGACCCCAGAGAGGAGGGGACGGTCCGGAGCCGGGCCCCCCAGGGCTGCGGCCACGCTCCAGCCCCGCGCGGCTGCAACCCAAGCCCGCTGCAGCGGAGCAACCTACGCCCGAACAAGGGCTGCACAAGGACCGTGTCCTCGGCTGCACCCGCGAGGGGGTGACGGGGCCCGGGGACGCCGGGCTCTCGGTGCCACCGCCCCCACCTCCAAGGGCGCCATCCCCCGGAGCCCGGCCCCCGCTCACCTGCCTCCTCAAGGTCTCGGGGCCGCCGCTCCCGCCGCCGCCGTAGCGCCTTCTAGTCTCCCGGGGCCCGTGCGGGGGCGGGGCGGCTCGCCCGGAAGCAGCTCCCCCTCGCCGCGCCCCGCCCCCCCCCGGCGCGCAGGCCACGCCCCTGCGGCCGCTTCGCCCGCGGGCTGGTCAACTCGCGCGGAGGCCCCGCCCACGCCCGGGAAGGCCTGGCCAATCGGGTGCGCGGAAGGGCTGGCGGGCCCACGCCCCGCCCCCCGGGGCCCCGAGCTCGGGTGCCGGAAGGCCCGCGGGAGCCCACGTGGGGGCGCGGGGCCGCTGCGGCGGGGCCCTGGCAGAGGGGACGGGAGGCGGTTGCAGCCCCGAGGTTCCCCTTACAGTCCTCCCCTTCCCAGCCTGGCGCATACTTGGCGCTGCTTCGTTGTTGAAAGAATAATTGGGGGTTTGGGGGTTAAGGACATTAAAACAACACCTTAGATCTTGGGGTCCTGCAATCGAGCCCCGCGTTGGGCCCCCTGCTCAGGGTGAAGTCGGCTTCTCCCTCTCTCGCTCCTCCCTGCTTGTGCTGTCAAATAAATGCATCTTAAAAAAAAATAAAAATAAAGCAACACCTCAATGCCCAACACAATAGCTAAGTCCATTTTTGCAGACTGAATATTTTAAAGCTGTTGAGTTCAGCACCAGGCTGCCTTCCAGGTTTTCAGAGAAAATTAATTCCAGCGTAATTACTCAGGGCCTGCTCGGGGTACCATGGATGGAGAGATGTGATGTGATGTGATGTGAAAGGTATGGGCGCTCCGGAAAAGCGCCAGGTCTAATGGGGGCATCAAACGGATCTGGGATGGGTACAGTGTGAGATTTGACGGCAGGTCTGTACGGGGGGGGGGGGGGGGGGTTGGGTTTGGGTAGAGTATGTGCAGAAGCAGGAGGGAACTGGTGAGGCTTGGGGCTTGGGGGAGCTAGTAGGATTGGGTGGGTGAAGTAGGGGTGGAGATTAGGACCTTAGTAAAAGAATGCCTCCATAAAGGTGCATCAGGGATTCTGGAAAAGCTGACTTTGACTTGCTAAGGAGGCCAGGGGGCTGATCGTATTACACTTACTTTCAGATTTTCTCAAAATCGGTACTCCAAACCTGTTTTTTTTTCTTCTTTTTTTAAGATTTTATTTATTTATTCATGAGAGACACAGAGAGAGAGAGGCAGCGACACAGGGAGAAGCAGGCTCCATGCAGGGGACCTGATGTGGGACTGGATCCCAGGACCCCAGAACCACACTCCGGGGTCAAAGGCAGGCAGTTAACCTCTGAGCCACGCAGGCGTCCCCTCCAAACCTGTTTTAAAAGGTAGAGAGGCTTAAAGCTGGGGAAATTTGACCTGCGTAATTTCCAGCTACTAGAGCTCTGATCTGTGGCCAAATGAGGGAGATGGTAGAAATGAAGTCATATTTTTTTGTGCATTTATGAGTCAGGGACAGTACCTAGCGTTTTGCATTCACTTATCTAATTTTGATATAAATGGAATTTTGATGAGAACTATGTTACTACCCTCATTTGACAGACTAGGAAGACAATCTCCAGGGAGATTAAATAATTTGCCCTATGTCACACTGACTTTCTCTGCAATGCCTGCTATTTAGGTTCCTTCAACTCATAGGGGTAATTAGTTTATATTCCCTGTGCATTTCTTTCACGACACCTGTTCCATCTCTGAGTTTATTGATAATTAAGCATAATTAGGACCATCTACCTCAAAGAGCCCCCAAAGAGTGAGAAACTTAAGAATGCTGCTGTTTGGTGTAATCTATTTTTCACATGTCTCTTATTCTTGGCAGAAAGACCTGCTTCCATTCTCCACCCTGCAGGAGTGGCAGGTGGCGGGAGGGCAGTAAGAGGGAGAGAGAGAAAGAGAAAGGGAGAGAGAGGAGCAGACTCTCTGCTGAGCAGGGAGCCTGATGAGGCTTGATTCCAGGACTTTGGGATCAAAACGTGAGCCGACCAGGTGCCCTTAATCTTTGATCTGTTAGTTACATGGATGTGTTTGTGCAAATTCATCAAGCTTTACATTTATCTGCACCATTTAATATGTTATACTTTATTTTAATATTTTAAAAAGATTTTATTTATTTATTCATGAGAGACACAGAGAGAGAGAGGCCCAGAAACAGGCAGAGGCAGAAGCAGGCTCCATGCAGGGAGCCGGATGTGGGACTTGATCCCGGACCCCAGGATAATGCCCTGAGCCAAAGGCAGACAATCAACCTCCACCGCTGAGCCACCTAGGCGCCCCAGTATGTTATACTTTAATAAAAGGTAACAACAACAACAAAAACCCCCACTGGACTATTGTGAGTGCTTCCCAGGCAGGTATAGGGCCTTGTGCTAAACGCTGTGAAGTGAGTAGCAATAGGGATTAGTGGTTGCCAGGGGCTGGAGGGAGGGAAGCGTGGGGTCTAAGTGCTTGACAGGTACAGGGTTTTTCTGGGGTGATGAAAACATTTTGGAACTAGAGAGAAGTGATGGTTGCACAACATTTTGAATGTGCTAAATGCCCCACATTGGTCATATAATTTTATGTTCTGTGAATTTCATCTCAATTAAAAGATAAAATGGGGGCAGCACTTGGGTGGCTCAGTCAGTTGGGCAGCAACCCTTGGTTTTGGCTCAGGTCATGATCTCAGGGTGGTAGCTCAGCCTGGTGTTGGCAGGAGGCTCCACACTCAGCAGGGACTCTGCTGGAGATTTTCTCTCCCTCTCCCCCTGCCCCTCCCCCTGCTTACTCACTCTCATTTAAGTAAAGTCTAAAAAAAAAAAACAAAAAACTCTGGTCTTAAAAAAAAAAAAGATAAAATCGGTTCACTGAATGCAATGTGGTATTCTGGAATGGATCCTGGAACAAAAAAGGGCATTAGGTTTTTTTTGTTTGTTTGTTTTTTGTTTTTTTTTTTTTAAAAAGGGCATTAGTGGAAAACTGGTGAAATACAAGTAGTTTGGAATTTGGTAGTTTTTTCTTCAGTTTTGACAAATGTACCTTGGTTATGTAAGATGTCAACATGAGGGAAAGCTGGGTGATTACATGAGAACTCTGCACTCTGCAACTTTTCTGAAAACTAAGATTGTTCCAAAGTAAAAAAAGTTCATTAAAGAAAAAAAAAAAAAGAAAGAAATAGAAGCAAAGTCACACACAGGGCCGCTAGAATAGGATCCTAGCTTTCATAAATAAATTGGTGGTAAGATCTTGAGCAAGTCACTTCTCTCTGATGAGCCTCAATTTCTCATTGGCAAAAATCGGATTAGGTTGCAAAAGTAATTTCTTATTTTTTAAAAGATTTTATTTATTTATTCATGAGATACACACAGAGACGCAGAGACACAGGCAGAGGAAGAAGCAGGCTCCATGCAGGGAGCCTGATGTGGGACTCGATCCTGGGTCTCCAGGATCATACTCTGGGCTGAAGGTGGCGCTAAACAGCTGAGCCACTGGAGCCGCCCTAAAAGTAATTTTTTAAAAAAGATTTTATTTATTTGAGAGAGAATGAGCATGCACACACAAGTGGGGGAAAGGGCAGAGGGAGATGCAGACTCCCCATGGAGTTGGGGAACTCCATGCAGGGCTGGATCCCAGGACCCTGGGATCATGACCTGAACCTGAAGTTGGATGCCTAACTGGGCCACATGGGGGCCCCAGATTAAAAAAAAAAATCTCTATACTCGATATAGGGCTCAAATTTATAGCCCTGACATTGAGTTGCACACTTTGCTGACTGAGCCCCTCAGATACCCCTGAAAATGTAATTTTGCACTGGTAAAAATGGTAACCTTTCCACCCTCCAAATCTAGATCAGAATCTGTAGGCATGAAGGGCTGTGGCTTACAAAAGATGAGATTTTTGCCTTCCCTTAGTAAGCAACCTTCAAAATTCAGATACCACCACAGGAATGTTAAAGGTGTGCTTGGAAAAAACGAGTTGATAACCTCAGATTTTTCCTTTTTTTTTTTTTTAAGTAATTTCTAGGGACGCCTGGGTGATTCAGTGGTTGGGCATCCGCCTTCGGCTCAGGTCGTGATCCCAGAATCCAGGATTGAGTCCCACATCAGGCTCCTTGTGGGGAGCCTGCTTCTCCCTGTCTGTGTCTCTCTCATGAATAAATAAAATTTTTAAAAAATTTCTACACCCAGTGCAGGGTTCAAACTTACTACCCTGAGGTCAAGACTCAGGTTCTACCAGCTGAGCAACCCAGACACCTCTTAAATTCTGTGGTTTTAAGTCAGAATTCCCATTCCCAGGAAATATGCTTTTTTTCTTAGGTAGTCAAAGTTCGGGAAGACCTAAAGCCATGTGGAGAGAGAGTTCTTTCGGGGGATGCATTAACTAGAGACTTACAAGATAGAGACAGATTGGAATAGATGGTGAGGCAAGCCCTCCTCAAGCAGGTTTTGTGTACCAGGTTTAAGTATGGATTAAATGGAAGCAGTGAGGGCCTAGAACATAGCAATGTTCCAGGATGACCCACCTGGCAAGCAGTACTTGGGGGAAGTTGGGGGGCAGCAGACAGGTGGCAGGACACAGTTCAAAGAAGCCACAGGAGTCCAGAGGGGACTTGAGAACTTAGCTGAGTGGTGCTCATGGGAATTAGGAAAGGATGTTTCTGCTGTGGACAGGGAAAAAGCCACCAGATCTAATGACTCCTGGGGTTGCAAGTTTAAGGAATGTTATTTATAAATTCGTGACTTGAAAGTTATGTAGATTAGAGGTAATAAAGCATTGTGGTTGACATCATGAAGGTAAAAGTTCTCCTTTATAGGATTTCAGAGTTCATACTTGAAAGCATGTAGGACAGTACCAAACACACAATAGGGACTCGATAAATATGTTGTCATTAAGCAACTAGTAACCATAGGGTGCCCAGCAGAGCCATAGAAAAGCTCTTGTCGTGGTCGAAGAGCAGCATCTGCTGGTCATCCAAGGCAACGCAGGATCCCAGATTTACGAAGACCTGGCCCAGTCTACATTCCAAAAACCATATAGGGATGATCAGTGAGGGTCCTCCCCAAAAGCATAATATAAACAAGCAAGATGAAACAGGAGTCATCACTTTTAACAAGAATGTTCTTTATTTGTACAAAGCATTATAATTTTCCTCAACATTCTTCATTTATTTGTCAACAAACTCTTGACTATATTCATTAAACAAATTAACAGTGTCAAACTACATACATTTGACTATCTGTCAACCTCCAAGCGCTCAACTTAGAGACAAACAAAAAAGTGCTTGGAGCACCAAATATCAAGAGAAAAAAAAAAACCCAGAAAAACAACTCTGAGAAAGGTCAACAGAATTACTTTAGAAGCAGTTAAAGGGGATGGATTTTTTGCAGTGGGGATTAGATTCCTGAGCACCATCAGATTTCTGCACTTTGGGACATTAAGCAGGTTATCAAAGATCCTGGGTTGGCAGATGTGAGAAAAGGAGGAAGAGAGAAAGTGGGAACAGGGAACAGAGGGGAGGCAGAAGGGAGACAGAGAAGGGAGACGCAAGAGGGAGAAAGTTGTGCCTAAAAGAAATAAAGTTTGGAATTTGTCATGAATTAAAGAATGAAAAACAAAAGTCACAAGCCTGGGAAATGGACTATGAAAGAAAAAGCCTGGGGTTTTATACCTTCCAGGAGGTGACCATAAATCCTAAAGCCATAGAGTGGCAGGCAATGAGGTGCATCTGAGACTAAACCGTCTGGTTTTTTTTTTTTTTTTCTGGGGGGGGGGGTAAGATATTGGCACACGTGCTTGACGAGTTCCACTCTACACTAATGATTTAGAAGCATATGCACCCAGAGGACAGCCACGCCAGCAGGTCAAATGCCTACCAGGCAACATAGAGGAGCTCCACGCCAAGTAGGTCTGGAGAAATAAAAATTCAATCAATGTTAACGCCAAGTGAAGAGACAACAGATTTCATTCCCCCCCCCCCATAACCTTTTAGTAGTTTCCTAAAGCTAAACCATCCCAACCACTTGTAATAAGCTAGTTCTGCCAAATCCTATACAATCAAAACAGGCCGACCATGCTCAAAAGCCCCAATTTTTCCTGAGCTTTGACTGCCTCTGTGACCTGGAACACAGCAGGCAGCACGGAAATCATTATTACTTTTTTGTTTGTTTGTTTGGGGTGGTGGTGGTGATGGATGGGGACCAAAAAACTGCCAGACCACATATACAAGTAATAAGAGATCAAATCGACTAATCAAATTTAGCCGCTCAGGATCGCTCTCGTCAAAAAGTCTTTACCTTCAGAACTGACTTAGCAAAATGGGACTCTGCTATTCAGATGCTCTGACGGAAGCGCTGGTTTTGGTCATTTTAGTCAGTTTTTATTTTGATCTTCTCAGGCTCTTCTGGCGAGGCCCCACTCTCCCAAGCAGGGAAAGAGCCTCTCAGGACCGCACCACGTTTCTGGGCGGTGCCTGCCAAGGTGCCAACGTCTTCCCGTCCCACTAGTTGTCTACTTCCTCCTCTTCGTTCTGTTCTTCTTCTTCCAGCCTTTCCTCGTCTTCATCGTTGTCCTCATCCCTGCCCTTGTCTTGCTCCTCTGCATCGGTTTTTTTGTCTTTGTCCTTCTTCTTCTGCTCGGAAGCTTCCTTCTTGCCCTTCTGCTCTCTCCTGTACGCTGTGAGGAGGAAGGCGGTTAGCAGGCAGGGCTGGACCAAACCCACCGCAAGCAGCCAACTCCGCTGCACAACCGGAGAAGCTGGGGCCGGGAAGGAACAATAAATCTGCTCGGCATCACACAAATCAGATCAGATTCGGCGCCGATCGAACGGATTCCGAGTCGCAACCAGATACTCGGTTCCTGTTCCTACGCAGACCCCAGCTGCGAAGGCTCAGGGCGGCCAGGTGAGCCGGTCACACGGGACGGACATCTCCTCGGCCGAACAAAGCAGAGGGACGTTACCTTCCAGAGCTTCTTTCAGGGGGGTGACGAACCGCTGGAACTCCATCTCCTCCATGGCTGAGAGCACGTCACTGGCGTTCAACGTCTTGCGTTTTCCCTTCATCGCGAAGTTGTTGGCACTGAAACAAAAGGGAGATTCGGGCGTGAAAAGGGGGCAGGGCAAAGCCGAGGTCAGGGATGCACGGATACGTCCCTCCCCTTCCCTGCACAAAAGGGTCAAAGCAAAGGGACTTTGTTTTATTTCGCTTCAGACCTTGCGAGCCCTGGACGAGGGCGCGAGCTCCGCCGCACCGCGGGAGGGCCCCCCTGTTGGCGGTTCGCGACTCCAGGGTGCGGAGTGGGGACCGGGCGGGGTGGGGGGGGGGGGTCTGTGCGGCTCCCTCCCGCCCCAGCCCCAGCCCCAGCCCCAACCCCAGAGGAGCTCTCGCTGGCTCGGCCCGGCTCACCAGGAAGTGGCGTACAGCACGAAGACGCTAGCGGCGCGGGAGATGGCGCTGCGGGCCTCCTTGGAGATGTTGACACCGTCCGGGAGCTGCGAGAAGAGCGCGGGTGAGTAACGCTGCGGCCCGGGACCCGGGACCCGCTCCCCCGCTGCCGGCTCGTCCGCCCCGCGCCCACCCGCCAGCCGGAGCTGCCCACCGCTTCCTTGATGATCCTGGTGATGACAGCATTGGGCAGGTTTAGGTCCTCGGGCCTCTCCGCCATGGCCGCCGGCGCCGCGGCCCGCGCCTCCGCCTCGAGTCCGGACTTCCCGCGTCGCCGCGCGCTGACCCAAGGAGGCTTCCGTCCCGCCCCCCGGGGCCCACGCTGCGTCCCACAGTGCCCCGCGCGCCATTGCCTCCCTCAGCACCGGGCCCCGCCCCCGCCTCGAGTCGCCCGAGCGTCCGAACTCTGCACGCCGCTACGGCGTTGGCCTTCCCGGTTCTCGTCCGGCCTCCCCCCGGGGACCCAGCGGCCCCTTCCCAGGCTCGTGCCCCTGCTGCTGGCCGCCGCCACGTCTAGAGACTCCTCCTTCAGCTCAAGTATGGCTCACCGGAGCTTCCGTCCCTTCCCCACAGTGCTCTGCGCCGTTGCCTGGCAACGGCGGGCGTGGGCGACGGAGGCGTGGGCGGGGCTCCTTCCGACGCGGGGCGGGGCCTCGCCGCTTCTCGGCGTCGGCGCGGGCGTCGGGCTTTGCGGCCGGATTGGGCTCCCCGGCCGCCCGAGGCCCGCTCTCCCGCTCTGCGGTACCGGAGCGAAGCGGGTATCTTCTTAAAAAAAAAAAAAAAAAAAAAAAATTTTTTTTTTTTTTTTCCAGTTCTGCGGGACCTGCTGTCGGTCTTGGAGCTCTTCACCCCTCCCAGCTTTGCCATAAGCGCAGTACGGAGAATCGTCGCCTGGAAGTGTTGCACGCAAACTCCTTTGCGGGCGCAGCGCTAAGGCTGGGGACGTAGACGCGGGCGGGGCTCGCCCTCGGGCCTGGGTTCGGGCCGCCCGGGAGGAGAGCGCGGCCTTGCGTTCCCTCAGAGCCAAACCCTCTGAGCGTTCTGTGTTGTCTTTTACTTCGTTGACTTGTGCATAATACGTCTTTCCCAGTCGCAGGCATCATTAGCGTGGTTCTGCAGTGGCTTTTAGGTTGCATCATTGCATAGAAATTATTCTCATTCTCCCTGAGCTCGAATGCCTTTTTTTCCCCCCTTAAAATGTGCTGTCTTCTATCACCCTTAATTTTCCTTTTTTTAAAAAATATATTTTTAAATTTATTCATGAGAAACAGAGAGAGGCAGAGACACATGCCGAGGGAGAAGCAGGCTCCGTGCAGGGAGCACGATGCCGGACTCGATCCAGGGTCTCCAGGATCATGCCCTGGGCCCAAGGCAGGCTAAACCGCTGAGCCACCTGGGCTGTCTTTAATTTACTTATTTTGAGTAATTTTCTTTTCTTTTCTTTTCTTTTCTTTTCTTTTCTTTTCTTTTCTTTTCTTTTCTTTTCTTTTCTTTTCTTTTCTTTCAAGATTTTACTTGTTTATTCATGAGAGGCAGAGACATAAAGGGAGAAACAGGCTCCCTGCAAGAGGCTGGTGCTGTGGGACTCCATCCCAGGCCCGGAGGGATCACCATCTGAGCCAAAGGCTGATGCTCAACCACTGAGCCCCCTCAGGCATCCCTATTTTGAGTAATTTCTACCGAACGTCAGGCTGGAGCTCATGACCACAGAGTCATGATCAAGAGTCACATGCTCTACCGCCTGAGCCAACTGGGTGGGCATCCCAGTTTTCCAACTTTTTTTTTTTAATTTTTTTTTATTTATTTATGATAGTCACACACACACACACACAGAGAGAGAGAGAGAGGCAGAGACATAGGCAGAGGGAGAAGCAGGCTCCATGCACCGGGAGCCCGATGTGGGATTCGATCCCGGGTATCCAGGATCGCGCCCTGGGCCAAAGGCAGGCGCTAAATTGCTGCGCCACCCAGGGATCCCCCAGTTTTCCAACTTTTGACAGAGACATGAGTACAGAGAAATACTTCCCTATTAGGAGAAAAACACCAGCAAACGTGATGATAAAGGGCAACTGGAACTGGATTAGTTAGAGATTATAGGGTTTGGTGGGGAAACTCTCCATTTGGATGTAACAGGCCTGGTTTAAAGATACCAGGAGGCTCTCAGCTCCAATTGCTGTATAGTTGGAACTGTGAGTCGTGATGTCATATATTTTGATCTTTAAGAGGAACCAGAAATCTGAACACCGTGGACTATCTCTACTTAAAAAAAAAAAAAAAGAAGATTCAAAGTGCAGGCCAAACAAAACAAGTCATAGGGCAGCTGTGATGCCATGCCAATGCTGCGCTATCTTTGGTCTAATTTATAAGCTCTTGAGAACAAGGACTTATTTTGTTCATTACTGTTCTCTATGCCTGTTACAGTTCCCATCACATACATGGTAGTCAGTAAATGTGTTGGATAAAAGGAAGAAGAAATGGATACTGTCCGTAAAAAGTTATTAGGAACAAAAAAGTTATTAGGGATCAGGTGGTAGTGATTGCCTAAAATATTTCTAGAGAGAGAAAGATGATACTGTTTGTTGATCCCATATTATATATCATACATAAAAATACATTATTTCTCTTAATGCTTCTATAATCCTATTTAGGGATTTCTCTTCCCCTCTTTATATGAGGAAACAAGTTGAGAGAGTTGAAGTCCCTTGCCTACGACCATACAGCCAGTAAATGAAAAGCCAGAGGCCTCTGATATGTCTGTAAGTCTACTGATTTGGTGCTTGAGCAAACCCATTGGTTTCTGCTGGGTATTTTTTTTTTAAGATTTTATTTATTTATTCATGAGAATATACAGAGAGGAGAGAGAGAGAGAGGCAGAGACACAGGCAGAGGGAGAAGCAGGCTCCATGCAGGGAGCCTGACATGGGATTCGATCCCAGGTCTCCAGGATCAGGTCCTGGGCTGTAGGCGGCACTAAACCGCTGAGCCACCAGGGCTGCCCTCTGCTGGGTATTTTAGCTGCCTGTATGAGAATGGGAACATATTGAAAAATGAAGCATGTTTTCCAAAGGTTATGAGCCCATCTAAAGCCATCTCAGGCACTTCTGTGATTATATTCTGATTTGATAGGACTTTTTGGAGATGGGTGGTGTCTTCTCCCCAATGGCTAATTAAGGGGAAAAGGAAAGGATGCCAATACTTATTTTGAATTATGTGCCAGACCCTGTAATATCCATTAACTAATTTTTGTAATGACCCCGTGAAACAGGCTTATCCTCATTTTGCAGATGAGGAACCTGTAGCTCAGATTGCTTAAGTCCCAGGTTACTCAGCTAACTGGCCAAGTGGGAGACTTTATGAAGTCAATCTGTTCCAAAAACTCTTGCCACTCTACTTCATGCTGAGATGTTTTCATACTTCCTTGTTACCCAGTCTTTTAAAAATTTTGCTTATAATGTAGTCAAATATTGTGTTATAATATAGTGATGCAACAATTCTATATATTTCTCAGCAATCATCCCAATAAATATATTCTTAGTCCCTATCACCTATTACACGCTTACCACCCCCTCACCTCCCCTGTGGTGACCAGTTTGTTCTGTATAGTTAAGAGTCTGTTTTCTGGCTTGTGTCTTTTCTCTCTCTCTCATTTTATATCTTAAATTCCACATGAGTGAGATCATATGATATTTGTCTTCTCTCTGTCTGACTTATTTCACTTAGCATTATACCCTCTAGCTCCATTCATGTTGTTGCAAATGGTAAGAGTTCTTTCTTTTTAATGGCTGAGTAGCTTGTTACCCAATTTTTTTTTCTTTAAAGATTTTATTTATTTGAGAGAGAGGTAGTGAGAGAGAGCATGAGCAGGGAGGAGAGGGAGAAGCGATCACCCTGCGAGCAGGGAGCCCGATGTGGAGCTCCATCTGAGGACCCTGGGATCATGACCTGAGCTTAACTGACAGGCACGTAACCGACTGAACCAACTGAGCCACCCAGGCACCCCAGCTTGTTACCCAATTCTTAATTATCCTGTGATCATCATTTATGTGTATAGGTTCAATAGAAATATTTTATGCTTTGAGACCAAATTAAGATCTGGACTGCATGGCTAATGTATTATATGCTCTTAATTGTGTGGTGGTTGTTTCTTTAGAGGGCTAGAAAGCTGCAAGATTGGCTTTTGTCCTAAACCGTTTGTAGCTATGCATTTGCCAGATGAGAGTCAGTGGGATGAAACCACCTGCAAGTTGGCTATTTGTCAGCATCCACAGTGCTGGGCAACGATCCGCCGGATTGAGAGGGGCCACCCTCGAATCCTGGGCACCCCCCGCAAAACAACTATCGATGATGAAGGTGAATTAGTCAGCCCTGCTTCTTCCTTACAATGTCCTTGAATTATTTCTGTTTGGGTCCTTTTTGACATACCACATGTTTTCTTCTGGTCTATTTTCTCAGACAAACTCCCGATGCTCACCATTGTAAACGTGTCAGATTCCTGCATACGGGCCAAGAGACTTGCTCATCATCATTTATCAGGATTTACCTTTACCAAACCTCCCTCTTTATTGTCTCCTGGTTCAAAGGTTCCCTCCAAATTTCAAGGCAGGTAAATTATCATGGAATCCTCTTTTATGAGCCTCCTATCTCAAAATTCTGGCTTGACTTCTTTCACCCATGTAGCAGACTTTGACCAGTTCAGTTAGAGAAATGGAATTAGGTAGTGGTAAAGCATTATTTGTGTTGTAGGAGTTAAAATAGCGGTGTGTTACTTTGCTAGGGTCATCCTAACAAAGTACCCTAGACTGTGTGGCTTAAACAACAGAAATTTAGTTTTTCACAGTCTAACGGCTAGAAGTCCAAGATTAAGGTGTTGATAGTTGTTTTCTGGTGAACCGTTTCTCCTTGCCTTGTAGGTGACCATTTTCTCCCTATGTCTTAACATGGTTTTCCTTCTGTGTGTCTTTGTCCTAATTTCCTTCCTTCCTTTTTTTTCCTCTCCCTTTTTTCTCTTTTCTTTTCTTTCATTTTATTTATTTGAGAGAGAGAGAGAGAGCTGTGCCAGAGAGCCGTGCCATTTATTTGAGAGACAGAGTGCATGTGCCAGAGGAAAAGCACAGGCCTTGGGAGGCGCAGAGGGAGAAGCAGACTCCCCACCGAGCAGGGAGCCCAGTGGACATTGGGCCCAGGACCTGAGCCGAAGGCCCACGCTTAACTGACTGAGCCATACAGGCGTGAAACTTTTTTTTTTTTTATGATAGAGAGAGAATGAGAGAGAGAGAGGCAGAGACACAGGCAGAGGGAGAAGCAGGCTCCATGCACCGGGAGCCCGACGTGGGACTCGATCCCGGGTCTCCAGGATCGCGCCCTGGGCCAAAGGCAGGCGCTATACCGCTGCGCCACCCAGGGATCCCACAGGCGTGAAACTTTAATTAAGTTTTAAATTTTAATTCCAGTATAATTAACACAGTGTTATATTAATTTCAGGTGTAGGACATAGTGATTCAACCATTCTCTATGTTAGTGCTCGTCATGATAAGTGAACTCTTAATCCCTTAATTTCCTCTTCCTCTTCTTCTTTTTTTTTTTTTAAAGATTTTATTTATTCATGAGAGACACAGAGAAAGGGGCAGAGACACAGGCAGAGGGAGAAGCAGGCCCCATGCAGGGAGCCCGATGTGGGACTCCATCCCGGGTCTCCAGGATCAGGCCCTGGACTGAAGGCGGTGCTAAACTGCTGAGCCACCCGGGCTGCCCTAATTTCCTCTTCTTAATAATAGCATGAGTCATATTGGATTAGGACCTATCTACCTCTCTGTGTGACTTCATTTTACCTTAATTACCTCCTTAAAGACCCCATCTCCAACTACTGAGGGGCTCAAATTGTGAGGTATTGAGGGTTAGGACTGAAAGTAAGAATTTGGGGGGCACAGCTCAGTCCACTGCAGGGGGTATCTCATCAGCCTCTGCAGGTTATCAGAACACTGTGTCTACACACACGGTCTTTCTTATCTTTTATTTTTAGGCGTGAAACTATTTGTAAGCTCTTTTTTTTTAAAAAAAATTTTTATTTATGATCGTCACAGAGAGAGAGAGAGAGGCAGAGGCATAGGCATAGGCAAAGGGAGAAGCAGGCTCCATGCACCGGGAGCCCGACGTGGGATTCGATCCTGGGTCTCCAGGATCGCGCCCTGAGCCAAAGGCAGGCGCCAAACCGCTGCGCCACCCAGGGATCCCTATTTGTAAGCTCTTGAAGGCAAAAGCAGTGATCTTCTTTTGAATCTCCTACAAAGCCTAGGTGCCTAGTTAGTGCTCATTGATAGGGGAAGCTAAGGGACAGGGATCTGCAGAAAACTGAGACTTATAACATTTGGAACCCCTGTGGTTTGGAACCAAAGCACACCTAGCGGCCCCTTGTTCCTTTCTCCTGTTTAATGTAAGCAGCCCTTAGTGGTTTCCGTTAGACTAAAGACAGTATGAGAAAGGTTCTGGTTCTCTAGGACTTGAACCTTGGGAAGAAGGTGGCTTCTCCCAGTCAGGGCCTACGAAGGCAAAGATCATGACATCACTCGTGTAGTCACTCATTGAATTCACAAATGTAGTTTGGTGGGGACCATTGGCTGGGTTCTGGGGATTCAGTGGCAATTAAGATACAGTCTTTACCCCTAAAGGGCTTGCAGCCTAGCTGGGGAGGCAGAGAGGGGCACTCCCAGATGCATGGAAGCACATGGGAAGGGTTCCTCACCCAGGGCACTATAGTTTGTGCAGATGGCACTTGTGTCTGTACCTGAAATTCCAGCAGTCTGGTGAAGTGGGGGTTGCAGGTGGGAGGTGGCCACGAAGATAGTTCTAGACTATGGAAATAACATATGCAAAGGCCTGGAGGCAAGAGGAAGGTCTTCAGGTATCAGGAGAAGAGCTCACTGAATGTGAAACAGAGCAGGAATGGGAGAGTGGTCAGAGATGAAGCTAAGGGAGCTGGAGTAAAAAGCAGTGGCCTAAGAGAGTGAATCATACACATCCTGATTCTGTTAGTTTCACTGTCCTTTGAAGACTTTCACCTTGGGGAGTAGGAGTAAAGGAATTAATGATCACATGTTCAGCCACCCTTGATGTGCTAGCAAAGAAAGAAATATTTACATGCATTTCTGCAACATTTTCTGTGGTAGATTTAAGATGTCTTGCTGCAAATTCCTTGACACTCCTCTCCTTGAGAAATGGCGTCTGTCCCCTCCACTTGAATCTGGCAGGCTTCATGACTGCTTTGAGCAATAGATAGGAAAGAAGAGACGCTGGGCCAGTTTCTAGTCCCAGGCCTTAAGGAACAGGCAGTTTCTTCTGTTTCTTAAAATACTCTGGTAGCCCTGAGCTGCCACGGGGAAGTTCAAATACCCTTAGCCTGCCCTACTGGAGGGTGTATGGTTAGATGCTCCAGTTGATGCTCCTGGATCCAGCCTTCCAGTCCTTTCCTCTAAAGAACCAGATTTGAGAGTAAAGCCATCTTGGACTCACTAGACCAGCCTGTCCCTTCAGCTGAACACCACCAAGTAACTACTACTGATCACATGGGAAGAATCATCTACCTAAGCCCAAACCAAATTCCTGACCCACACAATTGTGAGATGTAATTAAATGGTTGTGGTTTTAAGTCACTACGATTTTGGTAGTTTGTTATACAGCAATTTGTAATGGGAGCATCCTCTTGGCATACTTCTTTTGTGTTTTGTTTTCCTTTTTTTCTCACAGTGTCAATGTACCTTGTTGCAATGCCCCCATACTACTAAAGAAAACAAGTGTCTTTTCTTTGTTCCCAAAGTGCTCTTATATTCAAACAAAGAGAAACTTAACTGACAATCAGACCCTCCTGTGTTGATAAGATAAAGTGTTAAAAAGCTAACAACTTGCTTCTAAAGGAAGATAAGATTTAGCAGAAGTACCCTGTTTTAGAGGAGCATTGTCTTGAGTGTAATTGCTTCCACCTTGCTCTTTTGCTCTTGCTAACATTGAACTAAATTTAACCTTTTCAAAGATGCGTGGTATTCAGGGGTGCCTGGGTGGTTCTGTCCCTTAAGCGGCTGCCTTCAGTTCAGGTCATGATCTCGGGTCCTGGGTTGAGCCCTGCATCCTGAGATTGAGCCCCGCATCCGGCTCTATGCTAAGTGGGGAGCCTACTTCTCCCTCTCCCTCTGCCATTGCACCTGCTTGGGCCCTGTCTCTTAAATGAATAAATAACAACAACAAAAAAGCAATGGCCTACATCACAATGTCTGTTTTGGAGGTGTTCCAGAACAAACACATACAACTTAAGGAAATGAGGAGACCCTACATTAATTTGTTAAGTATTAACCCTCAGGTTTTCTGCGGATAAGCAGAAGGCTTTTCCTCATAGCACTATCATCCCAGTAAGTCTTTTGTGTCCCTATATCATATTTGGAAACTCATTTTTTTAGGCCTCAGAAGGATTTACCTGACAAAGATGTAATCGGCGATACTGATAGATCTCCTAAAGTAAATCACAGATTAACAAAGGTACTTCCTCAGCATTTTCTCTTTACTAGTGGGAATAAAATATCTGTCTCTATTTAACATTAAGGGTGACTATAATCCAAATAATGGCAATGATAACTAATATTAGGCCCTTAAGTGCTGGTCTGCAGAGATGCCTATACTTATTATATAGTTTCCAGAAATCCCAGACACCAGTGGGATTGATTTTTGGCTGTTTGGCATGGGTAAGACTTTCCTGTCTGTATCCTACATAGAGCATGTTCAGCTACCCTATCATCTTATAATATGGGGAAATTAGAATGCTGGAATGTCACACCTAAAATGGGCCTTCAGGTCATCTACTTTGACAACTGTCAAACTTTTTATTATTTTATTTTTTATTTATTTTTTAAAAGATTTTATTTATTTATTCATGGGAGACAGAGAGAAAGAGAGAGAGAGAGAGAGAGAGGCAGAGACACAGGCAGAGGGAGAAGCAGGCTCCATGCAGGGAGCCTGACATGGGACTCATCCTGGGTCTCTAGGATCCTGCCCTGGGCTGAAGGCGGTGCTAAACCACTGAGACACCAGGGCTGCCCGACTGTCAAACTTTTTAAACTATGACCTACAGTAAGAAATACATTTTGCAACAAAAGAGCATAAAACAATCCTTACCCTAATTATGAGCAATCTACTCTGCTATTTTCTGTCCTATTTTACTTTTTTTTTTGAGAGGGAGAGAGAGCAGAATTGCAAGTGAGGGGAGGGACGGGGGAGGAGAGAGGGAGAATCTTAAGCAGGCTCCATGTTCAGCGTGGAGCCTGATTTGGGGCTTGATCCCGTGACCCAGAGATCATGACCTGAGCTGAAATCAAGAGTTGGATGCTTAACCAATTGAACCACCCAGGAGCCCCTTTATTCTGTATTACTTTTAAGCAATTTGGCTGCAATTCACAAAATTTGATTTCATGACCTATGAATTAGTTGCAATTGCAGTCGAAGAACATTACCATCGTCCATCTCACATGTCTTGCAGTGGAGGAAACTGAGGCCCAGATAAGGAAGTGATTTGCTAAAGCACCTAGTTAGAGGCAGAGCTTAATTAGAGTTTGGGAAGAAAAATCTTTCTACATATCTACAATGAAGAGAGATTTACTCTTCTTTGCAATCTTTAATGGGATGCCTTTTATTTTTTTCAAGAGATACTTCACCTTTCACTGTCATGGGGTGGAGAGTGTAAGGGATAGAGAGAGGGTGGGAGGGTTTGAATGGATGAATGAACAGATCACTCTCCTCTTTGACTTCTTTAGAACAGGGGTCTAGACTCAATTTGTTTTAAGTTAATGATTTGAATAGTTAGTACATGCACATGGTTCAGAATTCAAAAAGCATAAAAAGGGCGTACAGACTTACTAGAAGTCTCCCCTAGCCTCCCAAGCCAGTCAGTTCCTTTTCATAGGACAACCAACAACTCTATTTTTAAAAATTTACTTATTTGAGAGACAGAGAAAGAGAGAAAGCTAGTATGTGAGCAGGGGGAAAGGCAGAGGGGGAGAGAGTGTTAAGCCGACTCCCCACTGAGCTTGGAGCCCTACACAGGGCTCAATCCCAGGACCCTGAAATCATGACCTTAGCCGAAATCAAGATTTGGCTGTTTGACTGAGCCACTGAGGTACTCCACAACCCTATTTTTAATAGGTTTTTTCCCCCCTTCCTGTATCCTACCAGGGGTATGGACAAGATGGTTTATAAGGTTTCCTTAGTACCACTGTTCTAATATCCTAAATGGCTGAACGTGAAAAGTGTTGTGACCTTACCTTTTAGGCAGATGTCTCTAATCATAGACAGGCTATAAAAGCAGAAAACTTGCTTCTGTCTCTACCAATTCCCTCCCTGTCCTCAAATTGTATTGTGTTACCTGCAAGGGATCTAAGTGTTTGGAATGGAGTAGGTGGAATGAGTAGTGTTCCCTCAGGTAAGCCCCAAGTTACTCCTTTAGAGGTATGGGGTGGGGAGTTGCTCAGTGCCACCCTAATGTCACAGGGAGGTGGGGGGTAAGACTCTTTACTGAAAGTGTTCACTCTTGTAGACACCTGTACTGCTGTCAGGTTTCTCGAGGAATTGTTACGAAGACAGTATGGGGAAGAGAAATATCTTTTTGTTGTCTTCTGCACTACCTGACCCTTTTCATTAGCATGATAATTCAGTTTTTAGGCCTGCCCTGAATACTAGCAGGAGCTGGCACCTTTTAGCCATCCATAGGCTTTACATCTTTCTCTTAGCTTTCAGTGCTGAATTTGAATGAGACACAACTTCCCAGCCCTCAAGATGTTAGAAATATGGTTGTAATCTGGATCCCAGAACAACCAGAGAAGCAGATGAGGTGAGTATTGTGTCCAGAACTTGGGAGCCTCCCAGCCTTCTATTCTGCCCTTTGCAGGCCTCCTATCTGTCATCTCCTTTTTAGCCACCTCACTGCCAGTGACAGGAGGCCAACTAGAGAAGGTTATGGTCTCTTGTACTTGCCTCTTGCTCCACTGTGGTTCTATTTAATGCACTTTCCACTTCCTGTGGTGAGGCTTCTCTACATCAGTCCTACGTGGCAGTAAATAGCATGCACGACTGGGCCTGTGTATTGTGAGGTCTAAGAAACAGATACTTCCTGACTATCAGTTTTTCTTTTCTTATTTTATTTTATTTTACTTATTTTTTCTTTTTTTTTAAAGATTTTATTTATTTGAGAAAGTGAGAGATAGCAAAGGGGGAGGGGCAGAGGGAGAGAGAGAGAGAGAGAAAGAGAGAGAGAAAGAGAGAGAGGCAGACTCCCCACTGAGCAGGGAGCCTGACACGGGGCTGATCCCTGGAACCTGGGATCATGACTTGAGCTGAAGGCAGATGCTTAACTGACTGAGCCATGCAGGCAGCCCTTCTCAGTTTTTATTATTAGCCATCCCCAGCTAGTGAAAACATTTTCAGTGAAGCATGTGACTCTTTGGTCTCAGCTACAAGGCCTGGCACAGTGGCACAAAATAAATAGCATGTTGGGGATCCCTAGGTGACTCAGTGGTTTAGTGCTGCCTTCAGCCCAGGGCATGATCCTGGAGTCCCGGGATCAAGTCTCACGTTGAGCTCCCTGCATGGAGCCTGCTTCTCCCTCTGCCTGTGTCTCTGCCTCTCTCTTTCTCTCTCTCTGCCTTTCATGAACAAATAAATAAAATATTAAAAAAAATGAAATAGCATGTAGAACTTGTGTACAAAGCAGAAGGATTTGGCCAAGGCCCAAAGGCTTGCTAATACTGATAATCTTTAGAAGAAAGTGTTTGGCTTTTCTCTAATAAATGCTGAGGCTTTCAGGTTCTGTTAAGTGACCAGATATGACATGTTTTAAGAATTTCTTATTTTATTTTTTAATGATCCTATCAGCGCTTCTGCATATATGCATTTGTGTGTATGTATATGATGTAAACAAACAAACAAACAAAAAATACCCCTAATGGTATATTTCCTTTCATGTAAAAAGAAGCCCAGAGGTGGGTTGGCCAGGTCTAGTGCATTAGCTCCATGTGGTCATCAGAAACTGGCTCTCTGGTCATCATCCTTAGTCCATGACTTTCATTTTCTCATGGGGTATCTCATGGGGTCTTTTAAGATCTAAGTTGACTGCTAGAGCTCCAGCCATCATATCCATGTTCCAGGCAAGGAGGTGGAAGATGACAGAGCAAAAAATACTTGAGCATCTCCTCTGTGCCAAGCAGTAAAGAATCTAGTGAAGAAACAAATAGACTTGCTCCCTGTCCTCCTAGAGTCTTGTGATGGTGGTAGGGGGTGGGGTTGGGGGTTCTCAGGCCTTATAATGTCACCAGACTTAAGTATATAATTACTAATTTGGATTAATGCTTTGAAGGCAAATAACTGGATTGTATGAGAGAATAGTAGGGCACCTAATGTAGACGTGAGATTAGGTCTTCTTTTTCCGAAGCTTCTGGGCAGTTGGTTCCTCTAGGCTTCCAACCAGCCATCTTTGGGTACTGAATAGAGGATAGAAATCTTCAAATATCCTCGGTGCTTCTGTTTGAGAGGTCTGGGAATAAGCTGTGGTTATTCTTTCAAGTCCAGCTGAGAAGAAGCATGTTGTTCCCAGCCAGGACTGGAGGAAGGGAAGAATGAAATCTACAGTGGTAAGTTGGATATATTGGCCAAACCTTTATGAGACTAGACTGTAGAGTTTTGTCTTGTTTTTCCTTTCTGGTGCCTTCCCCTTTCCCCCATTCTTATTAAATAAAAGTTGCCAAAGAAAACCCCATTTAAGGAATAATTATCAAAGCATTTTCTGTTCAGAGACTCTCTTCCCTACCTCCTCCCTGTAGGAAGGTGAAAGGCATCTTGAAGAAAAGTTAGGAGGAAGTGTTGGGTATTCGGGGGTAGTTTTTGACTAACTAAAGACAAATTCCCAGTATGATAGAAGGAGAGCTTCAGTGGACTAGAGGTTACAATGGCCTGGGGGTTCTCATCTCATGCCACCAATTATGGGTAAATATAGCCTTGGGTAAGTCACAGAACCAGAAGGTTGCTACATCTGCTACCGTAGTGTCTCGGTCCACTTTGTTCATTGCTGAATCCCCAGTGCCAGTCCTGTACCTGGCACATAGTTGGTCAATAAATATCTATTCAGTTTGCTCAGTGAATGAATTAATAACCCTTTTGGGAGAAAACCAGAAACAATTAATCCTTGTGACCTGAATTCAACAATCGGGTGGGGAGCCAGAGAGGGAAAAATACGGTGGCCTTCATGGTGCAGAGGATGGGGAGCTGCTGGAGCGGGTCTGGAAACAGGGAGCTTGGTGTGCCAGGGTTTTGTTTGGGAGGCCCGGATGTTGACCGGAAGGAGTGGCACTCAAGAGAGTACTTCATTACCATTTTTGCTTTTCTAGAAAGACAGTTTTCTCTATGAAAAGCAGAAAACAGAAACACAGCTGGGACCTCTGGGGATGATTGTGCCCCCTCCGTCGCCAGTAAACTTTTTTGAGCAACTAAGTACAGAGTCCATACCTTCCTGGAACCAGTTTGACATAGTCCCTCAGGATCTACTGAAGGAGTGAGTATCTCTGAAGCCTGGGGGAGAGCCAGAGTACCTGCTCTTCTCTGAAGCAGCGAAGGCATGAAGAAGCATGCTCTTTCTGAGGAGGGAAGGGAGAAAATTGTCCTGCCTGCTTGTTCAGTGAGTTCTGAGATTTACGAATGTACAGTAATCACCGCCAATTATCAAGTACTTAGCACTTGTCAGTCTCTGCCTGTTCTCTTATTTGAACCTCCATGAGGCACTATTACTCTCTTTTTCTTCCTATTTTTAAAGTAAGCTGTACATTCAACGTGGGGCTCGAACTCACGACTCTGAGATCAAGCGTTGCACGCTTCACCGACTGAGGTGGCCAGGTGCCTCCACTCTCTCTTCTTCATGGATGAGTTATGGATAAGTGAGAGGCAGAGAGGAATGTGGCTCGGGGTGAGACAGCCTTTGGATTTCATATTGAAACATCCTGGTTTTGATACTTTATTGAGCATATTTATGCTTCGTTCCCTCATTTGCAAAATGGGGATAAGAAGGCCTGTCCTGATGAGTTGGAAGGTGTTACCTGATGAGTGCCTGTTGGCATAGGCTTTTTCAGGCCCAGAGTAGAAATTTATTCAAATTTGGAGCCCTTTTCATCCCTTTTTTCCTCAGCCATGCTCACCAAGAGGAACTGTTGCTGACTGGCTGTCTCTGTCCCCTTCAGCCTCTTGCCCAATGAAGGGAAAACCATGCCTTCTCTGGAGATGAAGACACAATTGGCCATGATGAAGAAGAAACCACCCCTGGAAAAGAGCCGACCCGACAGTGCCATTTCTGCTAAGATGTTTTTATCTGTACACCGTCTCACCCTGCAGGTGAGAGCTAGGGAGCCTTGAAGAAATGTCTAGGTCCAAATCCAAACTCATTGGTCTTCAAGGCTGGAAGAGGTTTTTTGTTATTTTATTTTATTTTATTTTATTTTAATTTAATTTAATTTAATTTATTTTTTTCATTCATTCATGAGAGACACAGAGATAGAAGCAGAAGGAGAAGCAGGCTCCATGCAGGGAGCTTGATGTGGGACTCCTTCCCGAGTCTCTGGGATCATGACCTGAGCTGAAGGCAGACGCTCAACCGCTGAGCCACCCAGGCATCCCAAGGCTGGAAGAGTTGACTTTCTCTTTCTTCTTATTTCTCTCCACCTTTCCACACTGGACCTAAGCCCCACAGAAGGACTGGGCTATATGTAGGTGAAAGCCAGTGCATGGGGAGGGGTTTGAGGAATGTTCCGTTTCTTCCGCAGTTTGTTCCCTGCCCTGTTTCCTCTCGCCAGAGCCCAGGTACGAGGCTGGTTGCACTGGGTTCTCAAACAGTGCTTGTCGGCTGGGTACCTGCATGTGAGGGGTATGTTTTGGGAAAAGGAAGCACCTTCAGTAGAGCTTTTCTTCTTTTTTATCTCCAGAGACCAGCATTGAGATATCCTAAACATTTGAATAAATTCTATTATAACCTAAACACAGAAGGTAGGTTTTCTTGGTGCCACCAGATCCTCTGGCCCTGTCCCCCCTCAGCCCACAGTTCTCATACTTGGTCTTGCTCCCAATTTGATGTTTGTGGCCATAGTCACATAGGATCATGTGTAGAACTGAGGAAACTGCGGATTCAGGAAGCAGCCCCCAACCCTCCCCATCACAAATGGCTCGGTTCTGATAGAGGATGTCCCCATTGTGGAGCAGGGCCCAGCAAGCAGCCCCCCGGGAAAGCTGGGAGCTGTCAGGGAGAAGAGGATTGAGCTGGGGCTCTGGTCACCAGGTCACAAGAAGCAGCAGTGGCAGCAGAAGCAGCTGCAGCAGAAGTTGAAAACACCACCTAGGAGACAGGTAGAGTGGCTGTGAGGGAAGCCCTAGGACTGGCTGGGACTGGGCCGAGGGGAGCAGCCTGAACTGGAAAGTGGTGCACGAGGTGCGAGTCTCCTGTTCTCTGTCTGGTTCTAGATACAGAGAGTTCCTGTCAGCTTGCAGGTACTGACTTCCTTCTTTCAGACTCTTTGTGAAATGTTTTCTTCACTTCCGAAGGGCCTAATTCAGTTCCTCCTCATATGGGTTTCAGGAGGCCAAAAAGAAACCCAAGAGTGATCCAGAGAGCCAGGACATTTTGCACAAATGTTCAGGTGCCGTGGCTTATGGTCCACGCTATGGTAAGGAGAATATGGGCTTGGGAGGGATGGAATCTCAGGACGTAGCTGAGGGCAGGAAAAGCTGAACATGTCTGTTATTTTCGGACCCGCCTTTGTTAGGCATTCAGAATTCTCGGAACGTTCTGGCTTGGCTGGGCTACCGTGCATCATCCTTCTATCAAATATTTACTAAGGAAGCAGGCTGGGCCAGATGTCTGCTTCGTGTGAGCATTCAAGAGAGGACCATGAGCATGAGTCAGAGTCATTTTTCCTCAGGTCTTTAGGAAAAGCAGAGTGGTTTGAGAAGGAAGAGCAAGCAATGAGTCAGAACAGAGCCAGGGCTCCTGACTAGCCCCAAGAGGGTTCTAAGGAAGCGGAATCCAGCCTCAGCACCCCCCCCTTCCCAGCCACAAATCAGTCCCTGGAGGCTCAGGTTGAGATCAGCACATTAGACCCTTCCAGGAGGCAGGTGGCCAATTCTTGACAGGTGATCCTTTTCCTCTGCTGAAGACCTGAATAGGTAGCTCTCCTTTTTGGAATCCTTATCACATGTCTGAGCTGAAGGATATACTTACCCTGGTCCCTCTGATGTTGCTCAGTTGGAGTGCAGAAAAAAGAAAGGGAGTGAGAATCCCCCTAAACCTTAGGAGCTGCTTTAGCCTTGCTCAGATTGGACCTTGCTGACTACTTCCTTGTCAGAATTGGCTCTCCCCTACCTCCCTGGGGCAGTGGGAGGGCTCAGGTAAGATGTTCCCTCAGAAGGGTGTTCCTCTCTCAGTTTGTTTCCCATCCTACTGGGCCCTCAGATGCCAACAGTGGCCCCTACCTGCAGATTCAAGAAGCTTCCTGACCTTCATATGGGAGGTAGACAAAACCAGAGCTGTGGCCCATCATGGGGCTGACGGGTCCAAGGTTAGCACCCCATCCCGGGTGGTCAGCACATCCCTGAATTCATTCAGGTGCCTTTCATTTCCTCTTCCTGATGTCTACAATAGGAGCAGATTTGCTTGGGTGACGGAGGTGCCTTTTTGAAATATGTTCTTGGAACAGTGGCCTGGTTGAGAAAAGCCTTATGGAAGAGTTGATTTTTGCGTTGGATCTTGGATGTGTGAGAGTCTTCCTGATACAGAGGAGAATCCCAGAAGTGGGAATAGACTGTGCAGATGTACCTGGGCTGTGCAGGGAACACAGTGGTCCCTCGTGGCTGTGGGTTATGTAAGAGGCCATGGTAAAAAGGTCAGGCTGAAGAGGTAGGCAGGAGCTTGTAGAGCTGCTAAGACGTTTGACTATGGTCATGGTGTTCTACTGTGACTGCATATTGAAATCAACTAAGGAGCTTTCTTTCTTTCCTTTTTCTTTTCCTTTTTTTTTTTTTCAGAGAGAGAGAGAGAGGGCGCATGAGTGGGGGCAAGAGGAAGAGGGAGAGAGAATCCTTTTTTTTTTTACAGAACTTTGATTTTTTTATTTTATTTTATTTATTTATGATAGTCACAGAGAGAGAGAGAGAGAGAGAGAGAGAGAGAGAGAGAGAGGCAGAGACACAGGCAGAGGGAGAAGCAGGCTCCATGCACCGGGAGCCCGACATGGGATTCGATCCCGGGTCTCCAGGATCGCGCCCTGGGCCAAAGGCAGGCGCCAAACCGCTGCGCCACCCAGGGATCCCGGGAGAGAGAATCCTAAGCAGGTTCCATGCTCCAGCGCAGAGCCTGACATGGGGCTCGATCTCATGACCCTGAGATTATGACCTGAGCCCAAATCAAGAGTCAGATGCTTAACCGACTGAGCCACTCAGTTGCCCTAACTGAGGAGCTTTTAAAACCCAGATACCCAGGATGTACTCCAGGCCTATTAAATCAGAAGTTCTATTGTTGGGACCCAGGCCTCAGTGTTTTCTAGAACTCCCAGTACTTTGAGTGTGCAGTTGAGGTAAAAACCAGTGCTGGTAGGGAGCCAACGGAAGTGTTCAACAAGGGAGTTCCTCAGTGGGCTTTGCTTTTTTGCATAATTCCTCTGGTGGCAGCTTGGGAGATGTTCCTTTAGAGAAAGGGAATTGAGAAAGGAGAGGATGAACGCTTTTAGGGACTAGTTGGGGAGACAGCCGATGCAGAAGAATCAGAGAACTAGAACTTTTTGAAGAGAGGGGTTCCATTTTCAGAAGCCAGTATGGGGACTAGGGTTGGTGCCAGAAGGTCAGAGGAATCTTCATAAACTGAAAACATAGGGTCAGGCTTCTTTTGCGGCTAGGGTGTGCAGATACCTGCCCCTTAGGTTTCTTGGAGGAACCCTAAATCGTTTTTGTACACTTGACCTAATTCTGTAGTAGATGTGGTCACAGTCCGAGGTGAACCAAGTCACAAAAGGCACTCAGAGGCCAAACTCCTCACCTCCTCTAACCTGTCTTGTCCTAGATGAGGAGTCACTTGTAGGCTAGGGGGTCAACTAGAAACCCAACAACGGGATATGAAATACGGATAAGAAGATAATTGAATTGACTTTGTGGTCACTAGGTCACAGAACTCTACTGGGTCGGAAAAGTGACAAAAAGCAGCCACAGCAGATGAAGTCAGAAGGACCCACCTTGAGACAGGTAGAAGTACTGGAACCATTGTGCCTGGGCCCTGTTTCAGTTATCTATTACTGTATAACCCACCACCTCAAAGCTGAAACCACAGTGGTTGGTTGTTTCTCAGGATTCTGAGGGCTGATTGGACAGTTTTTCTGGTGTTGTTTGATGTCACTCATGCAGGCACCTTCAGCTGGCAGCTGGGGTGGGGCTGTTAGCCAGATTGCCTTAGTTCTCTTCTGTGAGGTCTCTCTCTCTCTCTCTCTCTCTCTTTTTTTAAAATTTTTATCTATTTATGATAGTCATACACACACACAGAGAGAGAGAGAGAGAGAGAGAGAGAGAGAGAGAGAGAGAGAGGCAGAGACACAGGCAGAAGCAGGCTCCATGCACCGGGAGCCTCACGTGGGATTCGATCCCGGGTCTCCAGGATCGCGCCCTGGGCCAAAGGCAGGCGCTAAACCGCTGTGCCACCCAGGGATCCCACTGTGAGGTCTCTTTATTGTGGTTTGTTTGGGCTTCTTGACAGTATGGTAATCTCAAAAGCACTTTCTCGAGAGATGGGGCTGGACCTGGAACAGTGTCACTTCTGTTGTATTTTATTGGTCCAAAAGAAAAAAAATCACAAGTCCAACCCAGATTCGAGAGAAAATGGACTCCATCTCTTGGTGGGAGGAACAGCATGCACCTTCCAGGTTGGCCACCACCCCTGGAGGAGTCACTTGTAGGCTAGGCTTTCCCCAGTAGACAGCTGGCACTGGGACAAAGTGGGTTCTGGCTTCATCCAGTCAGCCTGGAGGGCAAAGAATTTGTGAGACAAGCCTCTCTCTTTAGTCTCAGGAGGTGGCAATTTGTCCTGTCCTCGATGTTAATTTTTTTTCCAAGAAAAGCATATTTTAGAAAAACCTTTTCTTGATTCAAATTTCCTTACACTTTAATGAATTACAGGATTCCAAAAGGAGACCACAGGTGGAATACTCTGAGAATTATCCGGATTCCTTTCCTGATAAGGATGGTAAGTTACTAGGGTGGAGGAACCTTAGTAAGTCACTTAGGCCAGGGGGAACTGAACCTGTGTTGACAAGGATGGTTTACCTCCCTGGAGGCCATAGTCCTCATCCCTCAGAATGGTCCTAAAGACACCTAGCCCTTCCTTTTCTGTCCTTCATTTGTCACAGTTGGGAGAAGCTTACAGGTACAGTTAATGGCTGGGTCTACTTTTAGATCCTGAGTTATCCAAGACAGAACCCTCTAAAAAGGACATCAGTGCTCAGAAGGCGGTCGTGCTGGCATCCCAAGGGAGGAGCCCAGAATCCCTTTCAGACAGCACATCTAGAAGAAGTTGGCGTCCTGAGCTCAAACTGCTGAGGATTCTTCAGGCCACTGATGATGAGGATGAGGAGGACCAACTCTCTGGGTCACAGAGTGCAGAGTCTTTCAAGACTTCACAGGGCAGCCTGACTCCAGATTAGGATGCTTTGAATCCTGAGGACCCCAACCTTGGACATAAGAGCAGAAAAGAGAGAGGACTTCTGCTCCCTGGAGCCTTTACCAGGGCCTGACTGCAGGGATTCGGCTTTCTTCATTCACTTCTCCTTCCCTCTAAAATAAGTGAGGGAGAAAAAGCCTCACCCTTTTTAAACGTAGATTATTTCTCTTTCATTGGGGACAGAATAATTTTAGTAATTAAACAAAACTGCTAATTAAGGAAAAGCCTCATTCTGTTTCTGCGAGGAGGGGAGAGTTGTTTCTGTAGATCTGCTTTCTGGGTCACTTTTATCCCCACTCTGAAGCTCTAAAAGGTTTCCAGTTACAGGAGGATGTATTTTGGGGCACCTGGCTAGCTCATTCTATAGAGTGTGTGAGTCTTGATCTCAAGGTTGTGAGTTTGAGCCTCACATTCAGAATAGAAATTACCAAAAAAAATAAAAAATAAAAAAAAGGAGGGGGGAAGATGAGTTTGGTCTGTGGGAACCCCTACTATGTGTCTGTCTTTTCCTCTCATTCCCTGGAAATGGTTTCTTTTAGGGTTGGCACCCAATGATCGTTATCAAATAACATTTGAATTAACCCAAGAGAGTCTAAAGCTCCAGCTTTTCAGTGACTGAGTCTGTGGGAATGTTTTGGTGATGCTCATAAAGACTCAGAATTTCAGAGTCTCAGGGGACCTTGAATTTGGTTTTTGGAAGGATTTTTTTTTTAATGTTTTTGTCCTTAAAGTTTTTTTTTTAAAGATTTTATTTATTCATGAGAGAGAGAGAGAGAGAGAGAGAGAGAGGCAGAGACACAGGCAGAGGGAGAAGTAGGCTTCATGCAGGGAGCCTGACGTGGGACTCGATCCTGGGACTCCAGGATCATGCCCTGGGCCGAAGGCAGGCACTAAACTGCTGAGCCACCCAGGGATCCCCTGTCCTTAAAGTTTTTAATAGAGAAAAATTTCAAAACTTTTGAAATTCAAGAGAATAATATAATGGAACTCTCAGTACGCAGAATGTTAGTTGCGGGCAGTGAAAGCCCTTGCCCTGTGCCCTTGGCCTGTGAGCTGTGGTCAGGGCAGCTGGAGCCAGTTATTCTCTCCAGCTCTGCACCCAGGGTCAAGTCCTCCCATCCGTGGGAGGTGGCTGGAAGAAGAGAGCCCTGGCTGTTGGTGGTACTCATTAGCACTCAGCCTCAGCCCCCAGTAGTTGGGGGTAGGATGAGAAATGATGACATCTTGTCCCTCTTGACCAGCTGTCTGTCTGGGAGCTGGGGGAGGGAGCCCTGTGTTTTTGGGCAGCAGCAATCTGGGGTAGTTGAAATTGGGGTGGGAAAAGCGGAAACATAGCTCTAAAGTCATACAGCACAGACTCAGTTCCTACTGAGCTCTTGTAGATTTTCTTAAACAGTTTGCTGTATGCTGTTAGGGTCATTTTCAGAGACATAACTTTTTTTATTTTTTCATTTTTAAAAAGATTTTATTTATTCATGAGAGACACAGAGACATAGGTGGAGGGAGAAGCAACCTCCCTGTCGGGAGCCTGATATGGAACTCAATCCCAGGACCCTGGGATCACTACTCGAGCCAAAGGCAGATGCTCAACTGCTGAGACATAAACATTTTTTAAAAAAGATTTCATTTATTTATTCATGAGAGAGAGAGACAGAGACACAGTCAGAGGGAGAAGTAGGCTCCATGCAGGGAGCCTGTTGTGGGACTCGGTCCCGGGTTTCTAGGATCACACCCTTGGCTGACAGCGGCGCTAAACCACTAAGTCACCAGGGCTGCCCGATAAACATTTTTAAAAATAATTTTCACTGGGCAACAGTCTGTGAATGTCTCACACTTTTGTTGGAAGTGGAACTCAGGACTGGGTCTGACATCCTTTCCCCCCCCCCCCTTAAGATTTATCTATTTTAGTGAGAGAGCACACAAGCAAGGGGAGGGGCAGAAGGAGAGGGAGAGAATCCCAAGCAGTCTGCTCACTCCAGTGGGGCTCTATCCCACAACCCTGAGCTCATGACCTGAGCCGAAATCAAGTGTCGGTCACTCAACTGACTGAGACCCCCAGGCACCCCCTGAGATCTTTTTATAAGAGAAACCTATCCCTCATCAATTACTTGGTTCCACTAAGTACAGTTTGTACAAGAAAGGCATTAAATGTTAACTCTTTTTTTAACGTTGTCTCCAAACAGACCAAATTAGAAAGTTAAAACTGCTGCCTACTCATTCCTCTCTTCCAAGCCAAATCAAAATTACATGACATCATTTGTGTTACTAGACTGAACTATACTTAGCTGAATCTTCATAATAAGAGGAGTCCAAGAATCCAAGAGGTGTTATGTGGGCTGTTTTTCTGCAAATAATTATTTCTCAAACGTACATTATATTGCAGAATGACTTGTGTGGATTAACTTGAAAATTACACCTTTTTTCAACATCTTAGCCTTCCCTCAGACCTGTCCACTCAAGCAAACTCGATTTCCAGTGGTCAGTAGTGAGGTTGAGGACAGGGCAGGGCTGAGCTTTCATTTGGTCATTTTATCTGAAGACTCAGAAGAGAAATTCTATTAACCAATTCAACTATTAGTCAAGCAACTCTCAGAAATTGGCAGATTCTTTTCAGTTTTGTTGATGAGCACAAAGTTACCTTTTGAATCATGACACATTTTGAATGAGAAGATGCTTGCTGTTTGAACACTGGCCTTTGCTTCTGTTTTCAAAGGGAGGAAAAACTATTTGCGGGCTGAAACTTGTTTCACCTTTGTTACACCAATCCCTCAGATCACAAACAGAATTTAGGGCAATATAGGGCAGCCCTGGTGGCTCAGCAGTTTGGCGCCGCCTGCAGCCTGGGGCGTGATCCTGGAGACCCAGGATGGAGTCCCACCTCGAGCTCCCTGCATGGAGCCTGCTTCTCCCTCTCCCTCTGCCTGTGTCTCTGCCTCTCTCTATGAATAAATAAATAAAATCTTAAAAAAAAAATTTAGGGCAATATAATCTGCACACCACATTACAATTTTCAAGCAGTTCATACCCACTATTTTGGTTGGTTCTCTGGCCAAATCTATAGATAGATGGGGATTGTCTCCATTTTATAGATTAGAAAACAGGCTCAGAATCCAGGGCTGATGAGAACTCATTTGGGGCTTCGAGAACCAAAAAAAAAAAAAAAAAAAAAAAAAAAAAAAGCATTCTTTAAGACACTTTGCTATGATCTGTTGAAAATTCTCTCAATGAATATACAGATCTACAATGATTACAATATGAGTGGCATCTCTGGAGTTGGTCCAAAACCTTCATCCCAGGACCTGATGGCCTTGCTGGAGAGATAAAGTCATTTAACAGAAATCCAAGGCCAGCAAGGGAAGGGGGCTGGGCTTAGAATCTGGGTCCTTGCTCTTCTCATCCACTGAACTCTGATGCTTCTCTAATTCCCTCTCTTTAATGCACAGCAGAGCCTGGGACAGTCTTTATCAGAAAGGAAGGATGAGATCACGTAGAAAAGAATTGACTGAGAGGAAAGAGCCCTCACGAGCACTTTGGGTTAGCCTCTCCATGTTCTGAGAGAAGAGGAGCCAGGTAACTGTTGCTAACTGCCACTTCCCCACTATCTGGGCCATAGGAATCAGGAGAATGAAGGCCCAACAGCCCAGGAAGCTCTAGCTAGAATTGCTTGGAGATTACTTTATGCATTTAAGCAGACAAGAGGTCTTAAGACTTAGTTGGAATATGGTCCTAGGATCCTTATAAAAGACACTGGCTCTTTTCTTCTTTTCTGTGTTCTTTGCGATTTCTACTAGTGGTGGGCCACTTTGGGTCACCATGTTTTCTGAGCACATTTCCAATGACACCTAGCCTGGTTTGACCTGTGCCTAAAAGCAGTCAGTGAGTCTTCAGGCAGTCTGTGTCTACACTTTCCTCCTTGCAGGGCCAGCAATTTCCTTTGTTTTGGTATTGGTCCTGACATCTGGGGTAACAGACTCTGTTCTTCATTGTGGGTTACAGTAAGCTCCCTTTGATGGGAGAGAGTCAGGGTTTCAACCAGGGTAGCAGTGACCCTTAAAGAAAATCTGTTTATTCAAATATGCCTAAAGGAATTGTTTGCTAAATTATTTTTTTAAAAGATTTTATTTATTTATTTGACACAGAGAGAGCATGAGAGAGCACCAGCAGAGGGTAGTGGCAGGCAGAGGGAGAGGGAGAAGCAGACTCCCCACTGAGGGAGCCGGACATGGGGCTTGATCCCAGGACCCCAAGATTATGACCTGAGCTGAAGACAGAGGCTTACTGACTGAGCCACCCAGGTGCCCCTTGTTTGCTGAATTAAAGACACAAATACCTCTGACTGTTAGATAAGAATGATTAGAGGTCCTTTGGAATCTAGAGAAGTCTGGGGAAGATTTTCTAAATTGTTTCTTTCAGTTGTCAGAAGGTACCAGGGTATGAAATTATTTTGTCCTTCTGTTTATATGTTTATCTAACCAATACTGAATACCTATTCTATGTTAATTGACCCTTAGTTTGTCTTGATAGAGATATGAAAAGTTCTAGGGAGATGAAGAATCATTCCCTGGAAGCTAGCTAGAATTTTTTTTTTGATCACTTGACAAAGCTGTTTGGGACCACTAGGTGGTGATATTACATTGTGAAAATGATACTCTGAAGCCTGGCGGCCTCTGAGGCCACAGTTTACACAGCCAAAGACATGTCCTTGTGAGTAAATGGAGAAAAAACTCCACATTTCACCAGTGAGATAGATGATCCAATTTAAATGCTCTGACGAATGAATTCATCTTTGAACAGTTTAGAATGTCATTGGAAGAACTCATTCAAGAGTTCTGGATAAATCCTGGGATGTGCCCACAGTTCTAGGATTTGGGGAAATCGGGAGCTATTGATGGTCCTGACAGTCATCAGTTGGGCAGAAATTGAGGGAGGCAGCATTTGATAGGTAGAAATACCAAAAATTATTGGAGGCTCTTATGCTGATTTGCAGCTCCTAAATTTATCTTGATCAGATTTTTAATTTTTTTAATTTATTTTATTTTTTTAAAATACAACATATAAACTTTATTTAACAAAAGTAACAAAGTCACACAGGCACTTATATTAAGAGAAAAACTGACTAGAAGAAATTTATCTTGAACATCTTATAGTAACCTACTTGCAGTTGCATTTAACTGCACTCTGTTGCTGTGAAGAATACAGCTCATGCACAGGTATGGATCAACAATTTGTACATTTTTCGAGTATTCACTGAAATACTACCTTACATACACATACACGTTAAATTTGAAAAAGATTTAATTGACGATCCCCAGAAAGACT